TCCTGAGAAATACCACACGGTACATATATTAGGTCTTTAGGGAAATCGCTAAGTAGCGAAACACTTAAGACAGGAAAAACCTATGCCAGGATAAACTTATGACAGGACAAACTTATGACAGGAAAACCTTTGACAGGACAAATTTATGACAGGACAAACTTATGACAGGACAAACTTATGAAAGGACAAACTTATGACTGGACACATTTATGACTGACAAAATTATGACAGGACAAACTTATGAAAGAAAAAAGTTATGACAAGAGAAGTTATGACAGGACAAACTTATGACAGGACAAATTTATGACAGGATAAACATAGGACAAGAGAAACTTATGACAGTAAAAAATTATGACAGGACAAGCTTATGACAGGACACACTTATTACAGGAAAAACTTATGACGGGAAAAATATCGAACAGGAAAAGGTTAAACAGAGAAGCATGGAACAGGAAAAACGAAGGTCGGAGAAAACTACACAAATGGGCCCGGTAAAAAAATATACGGAAGAAGAAAAACGATTGGTTTAAAGAATAGGGAACAATAACGATAACAAATTATATATTTGTTTATAACCTAAAAGATTCTACAAATACAATACATTTTGTCAATCTTAGCGATAGCATAAAATATTTCTCTAAGGTGTATATAAATATAGGTATTTGCCCACATTGATTCGGCGATTCAAAACCAAAACGATCCAATCAATGTCAATGACGCTTATTTAACCAATCGGTCCTTGTCCCAGCAGCAAGCTTTGACTTTCGATCCCAATTTGTCATATTACTAAACATAAATTCGTTTGTCGAAATTTGACCGTGAAATATTAATACATAAACGACGAACTTATATCACTGTAAAAAATCTCTCTCTCTTTCAATCTATGTAATCTTTGAGAATTTCTAACTATTTTATATGTTTCTACAATTTTAAACTATGCCGTCCATTTATTCTCTTTGTAAACATTAGAATGACAGTATTCTAAATTAATATGTTGCTAAATGTTATCATTTTACATAAAGTTTGCTTAATTTTACAATTAGATTTGATCCAAAAGATTTTGTTTCGTGACTGTTTTACGTTTTATCCGTATAATTTCTTCCCAATAAGGTTTAAAGATCGGATCCACTGTTAATTTTGAACACTTAATCTCGATTTCCGGTTGGGCACTTTTGAATTTGAGGATCGATGCTAGATTCTTCAAATAAATTTATCCCTGCAAGGTAAGATCATCAAGTGATCGAAGTGAATAAATAAGTTGGAGATCTATGATTGATCCCGAGATTCAAAATTCAAAAGTTCTTACTTCAGGTAATTTTTCATCAAAAGTTCTGAGCTGCAATTCTAAATATATGAAAATTTCTCCACTTATTACTGTTATAATTATACTGTATACATATTGTAGCGACCAGATATCGTATTCCACTCCTTCCACAGAAAGATAAAATGCGGGAATTAGAAAACGCAAATCTGTAATTTAGTAGTTTAACTGTGTAAAGCTGGCATCTATATTTGAACAAATATATATATATTTATTCTAACCTAATCTGAGCTGTGCTATAGAGATGCTTAATTACTAAAATGTTCTTGCTATTTAAGGCCGGCTTCATGCATTATTTATTCGTTTGCGATTGCTCATTAAGCTATTTGGGTTGAAACAAGTCTATAATTGATACGAAATTATCACTTTTTGTCTTTTCGTTTTAAATCTTTCTGGATTTCGTACAGTTATCAAAAACAAAAACATGGATATCTACTAATTCATAATGGGTCAGGTAAAGCTTTTAAGGGTACCGTTGTCAATCTTTTAATAAATAGATACGGTCACTTTGAAATTACGTTTCAGGCCCCATTCTGCCATCTCTTTATTGGTTGTGAATATATTATTCATTTATATCTAAAAAAAGTTCGGATGAAATTCGTGCTTTGTCTCTTTTTAATATTTAAATGAAAATACTAATTTGTCTAATTCATAACAAATCCTGGGTTGGAAACAAGGGAAATATGGAGGATAGAGACGGTAACTGAAGAGAGAATCGGTAAACAAAACTCGGTTTTCCTGTCGTAAATTTATATCTAAAAGACTGAAATTACACATAATAAAACAGTTTTTGAGAAAAAATAAGAATGATGGTATATATTTTTAAAATATGCATAATGGTACAAATAAGAGATTTTCTCAATTAAAACTGGGTTTCTCTGAAGTTGCAAGATCAAACATGGATTATTCTGGGAGTATTTAAATTTTATCTAGAGGTTAAAAATTATTAATATAAATTAGAAAATTGTAAAAAAAATTTAACTACACCACTGAAAGATGGATTATTCTTTTTAAAAAATAATAGGAAAACATTTTTTATTCAAAAAGTAAATTTTTCTTTTTCTGTTTGTATATGTTCTCCTAGTCCCGATTTACAGTGCAAAAAGTATAAGAAATGAAAATGCTTTAAGTTAAAATTAACTCTTGTGCACTGTTGTACCGTACATACATACACCTAGATTTTATTTATTTCCATATTCTGCATTAAAAGTTTAATGTGCCGGAAGATCAGATTTACTGAGATTTTATTATCAAAGAGAATAATAAACATGAGGAGGGGGGGGGGGCATCATAGCCCCGCCCCTCTAGTACTTTTCATTATTGCCTTTAAATGATAAAATAAGTACGTACAATTATAGATTGCAACGTGATCTGAAAACTAGCAGTTGTTAATTTTTATTGTATGCCAAATAGCAAAAAAAAATTTCAGCTTTATATACACAACTCTAATTGGTTGAATTTTTTACACATTTCAGGATACAAGTACACGATTAGGTTAGTCTAGATAATAAGAAAAAGAGAGGATCACGCATTGATCTCGATATCCACCATTATATAGGGCCGAATAAAAATCAAGTATTCCGGGCAAAGAGAATAGAATATATAGAGAGGAATTAAAAGAATCTCTCGGTATGAATTTTTTCTGTCCCTTTCAGCCTGAAAGGGAGTTCAAAGTGTACAAATCATGTAAATGTTCACAAATTATATGCAGTAGAGTACATTAATACAGTATGATCCCTAGACTAAACATTTCAATTTCGAAATTTTTAAAGCTGTTAAATAAACTTTATAATGAATTAGGTGAATAAAAACATCATTTGATTTATAGTTATAACGGAAAATCATCGTTTATAAAGTGGAAGGCATAGAGTCTATGTGAAATGATCATTGGTCAAATATGAAACCAGCCTATTTCATAATTTGGTTTTCTTTTAACAATAATTTTAGATTTTCTATAAAATGATATTCCAGGGCCCAACAGGTTATATAGCATAAATATGTGAAGTACACCTGCAGTATGGAAACAGTACAACAAAATGGCCGTTTTACACTTTTTTCTAGTAAATTCCTCTCTATATATTCTATTCTCTATGATTCCGGGTTTTGATCTAAATAATTTAAAACCCTCCTATTGGATGATATTCGTTTTATAATTCTACAAGATCCATAAAACTGTTGGATATCAAGACGACATTTTAGAAATGTTATTTGCACCTGATGTGGTTGCGAAGCAAATAGTTTCACCCTTAGCTTCCAAATCAATTATGCAATTGGTCTGTGTGTACTGTGTGTATGCTGCAAAATTGTTGTGTTTCATGTTCATTCGAAGTAAATGAAATGATCTGGCATGAAATATATGTACTAACATGTTAACAACATCTCTCAGTAAATGAAATGATCTGGCATGAAAGATATGTACTAACATGTTAACAACATCTCTCAGTAAATGAAATGATCTGCCATGAAGATATGAAATAACATGTTAACAACATCTCTCAGTAAATGAAATGATCTGGCATGAAATATATGTACTAATATGTTAACAACATCTCTCAGTGTCTTATTAAGATATCTATTTTAAATCATCAAAGATGTTTAAAGAATAAGCTTTAAGTTTTGACCAACTACCGCAGAAAGCGACGTCTGAGGCCGAAATCAGTGAATTTTAGCTATTAAGGTTGCTGAACTTCCTTTAACTGTCGATTCAGATACCTATCTGAAGATCTATGTATTTATTCCCTATGAAACTATAGTTTCAGTTGAAGTAAATATTTCCATTTACTGTTTTGTCCCGATGTAAGGATTCATCTCATAATTGGATAATGAGATATCATAGAAAGATAGATGATACTGCCATGCAATTTCTATTGGTCCAGAATAGACAACAAACACATGACTGAACCTAGATTGGATCAGGCGCAAATGGAATCTCATACAAGTGTGATGGTCCAATTCCTGTATCACCGATGTCATATTTTATGAATACTACGCTGCATGACATGATGCAATTGTTTTCTGCTGAAGTCGGATTAATATTCTAAACACTAGAACATTTTATTCTAAATTCCGTTTTCAATCCCCTGTGTTACAGTGCAGAACTATAGATTTGAAACGACAGTAGTTAGTTTGGCCCCTTTGCTCCTGGTCCTCTTACTTATAGTTTACAAGCTATCACGCAAAAATCTATTAGAATTTAGCCAAGTACTTAAAAAAATTTAAGCTATAACTAATTTCTTAACGGTTCTACAATTAACATGTCAAGAGCTACAAAAAAGTAAAATTGAGTTAGTGAGATAAAATCAAAGGCGTTGCGACACTTCAAAGTCAACGCAGTCTTTGATGCAACTTTTCATAGCAGTCTGGATCTTTGTGCGTGAATCCCCAGGGAATTCTTCTGGTTGGAATAAAAAGTTAACTCAAATGAAACATATTCAATTATATTTCGACATAAATGCACAAAGTAATCAAAATTCAAAAATTTATTTTTAAAACAAATTTTGAATATTCTCTATTAGGTAACATTCCGTGTAATGTAGTGTTCTAGCAGTGAATATTTTTTAAGGTGCTCTTCTTTGCACTATATAGGTATTCTCTAAAACTAAAACAGATTTTTCCAATTATCAAAAAATGAAAATGAAAAATCAGCAAAGACCACCGTTTGAATTTTATATTTTCGAAACAGAAAATGTCAAGAATCATATGAGATAAAGAGAACAGAGCTTAGTCCCAATAAAAATATGATTCAACAAAAAAAGATAGAACTGTTTTATTCCTAATTTGATTTCTTTTTGATTTATCGGAAATCTCTGGATTTGTTTCTGTAGGCATCAACCTTAAATAAACTGTATAGATAGTAAAGTCGTATTAAGTGGCTCTGAAACATATAAGGGACTGTTAGCGGGATTTTAAGTGACACTCCATGCAAAGATTTGCAACGGTTCCCTTGAAACCTTACTCTGATCAAGGATTTAATGCAAGGAAAGTTATTTCAGAAGTGTACGTATCTTTTCTACTGCAGTGTACTGTCTTTGGGCGGTAATGTAAACACAAGACGGATGTCGAAGTCTAACATGGTATCTATTTTTCACATAAAAAAATCAATGAAATATTCTGGTCATAGGAAACTATTATGTGAATTATCAAAATTTTTAAAATTCAATGCTTTTAACCTCCTCGGATACTAAACGAACACTGATGCATCTATTCTTGTTTACAAATTCCGCCCAGAGAGAACTGGTTTCAATATGTACGCAGAGTATACACAACTTCAATTAACTTTCCTTGCATTATATCCTTGACTCTGATCAAAAATGTGGAAAATCGTTTTTCTGACTCAGAAGTGTTTATTTGTGTGAGTTTCTCCATTGTTTCTTATAAGTAAAAAAATGCCCAAGTCACTTTTGCAGAGAAACCGAAATTACAAATAAATAGTTTAAAGAATTGAAAACTTCCGGCATTGCCATCTTTTTATGAAGGATCATTTGATATTACGTTTTCATTACCGGTTTAATTTCTTTTTGATAAGCTGACTTGATAGGTTTCACCTTCGCAGTATCCATTCCATACCCTTACTCTTAGTTTCACCTTGGCAGTATCTATTCCATTCCTTTACTCTTAGTTTCACCTTCGCAGTATCCATTCCATACCTTTACTCTTAGTTTCACCTTCGCAGTATCCATTCCATTCCTTTACTCTTAGTTTCACCTTCGCAGTATTCATTCCATACCTTTACTCTTAGTTTCACCTTCGCAGTATCCATTCCATACTTTTACTCTTAGTTTCACCTTCGCAGTATCCATTCCATACCTTTACTCTTAGACTACAAAGAATGAGACTTTAAAGACAACCTAAAACTTTTAAAATATGTAATTTGAATTTAGATTTTTATCATTATTAGATATATTATATTATCCGACAATTCTAGAAAATATTGTGCAGCTAACGGGTTGCAGTATATTAACAAAAGTACAAAAGTCGTCTTTGAAGTCTCATCTTTTGTGGAAGTTCTTTGCAGATTTTATTTATATACCTGACTGAAGCATCTAGTACAGTATCCAGATTTACAGCATTTTCTTCCTCCACCTCCCTTCATCTTTAATCCCACCTAGAATATTCATCTTTAATCCCACCTAGAATATTCATCTTTAAAGGGGGTGTCTGGCTAGACATGGTAGTTGAACTGAGAATGCAGTATTGTAGAACATATTTTTAGATTTCATGTGAAACCTATGAGACCTATGAGACGTTTGAATAAAAAGAGTGAACATTTAATCATTTAAATCCTCCTGGATTGTCCAATCTGCCAGGTTCATTTTTAAACCCACCTAGAATATACATCTTTAATCCCACTTAGAATATACATCTTTAATCCAATCTAGAATATACATCTTTTATCCAATCCAGAATATACATCTTTAATACCCCCTAGAATATTCATCTTTAATCCCACCTATAATATTCATCTTTCATCACACCTAGAATATTCATCTTTAATCCTACTTAGAATATTCAACTTTAATTCCACTTACAATATTCATCTTTAATCCCACAAAGAATATTATTTTTAAATCCAATCTAGAATATACATCTTTAATCCCACCTAGAATATACATCTTTAATCCTACTTAGAATATTCAACTTTAATTCCACTTACAATATTCATCTTTAATCCCACCTAAAATATTCCTTTTTTTAATCCAATCTAGAATACTCATCTATAATCCCACCTAGAATATTCATCTTTAATCCCACCCATAATATTCATCTTTAATCCCTCCTATAATATTCATCTTTTATCCCACTTAGAATATTCATCTCTAATCCCACCTAGAATATTCATCTTTAATCCCACCTAGAATATTTATCTTTAATCACACCTAGAATATTCATCTTTAATCCCACCTAGAATATTCATCTTTAATCCCACCTATAAAATTCATCTTTAATCCCACCTAGAATATTCATCTCTAATCCTACTTAGAATATTCAACTTTAATTCCACTTACATTATTCATCTTTAATCCCACAAAGAATATTCTTTTTAAATCCAATCTAGAATATACATCTTTAATCCCACTAGAATATATATCTTTAATCCTACTAAGAATATTCAACTTTAATTCCACTTACTATATTTATCTTTAATCCCACCTAAAATATTCTTTTCAATCCAATCTAGAATATACATCTTTAATCCCACTTAGAATATACATCTTTAATCCCACCTAGAATATTCATCATTAATCCCACCTAGAATATACATCTTTAATTCCACCTACAATATTCATCTTTAATTCCACCTATAATATTCATCATTAATCCCGCCTAGAATATACATCTTTAATCCCACCTACAATATTCATCCTTATTTCCACCTAGAATATTCATTTTTAATCCCACCTAGAATTTTCATCTTTAATCCCACCTAGAATATTCATCATTATTCCCACCTAGAATATATTCACCTTTAATCCCATCTACAATATTCATCTTTAATTCAATCTAGAATATTCTTATTAAATCTAACCTAGAATATACATCTTTAATCCCACCTACAATATTCATCTTTAATTCCACTTAGAATGTTCATTTTTAATCCAACCTAGAATATTCACCTTTAATTCCACCTACAACATTCATCTTTAATCCAATCTAGAATATTCTTTTTTAATCTGACCTAGAATATACATCTTTAATCCCATCTAGAATATTCATCTTTAATTCCACCTAGAATATTCATTTTTAATTTCACCTAGAATATCTATCTTTAAAAGGGGGGTTCCATACAAGGTGGGATTTTTAAAAATCATTTGCAAGAACGATTCTTATACATACTATTTTGCTGTTTGGAAACATTTTTTCTCAAAAGAAATTATTAATGACAGAAATGGAAAATCGATTATTTCTTTTTGGTCTTATGTAGCAATAATAGAATGTAAAATCGTCTTTTGGGTATCAAATGAATCCTGCTTATTCTATTGATACTGCACTCGAAGTTTAACCAGTCACTCCCTTTAATCCAAACATAAGAACAAAGCTGTTCTTACACTAAATAGAAAAGATAGACAACGTTTTACTAGTTCTAAATATCTCATATTTTCCCCGCCTACCTTCATTTTCCCCGCCGGCCTGGGTTGAACCTGCTGTACTGGTACAGCATCATTATGCTTCTGCTTTTTAGGCAGGGGCAGGTTTCTTTGCTCTGTCGGTCTTCATATCACCAGTATTAGATGAATTTTGTATTCTCAAAAATTACAAAAAAATTAATCAGAAGAGGCTTTAGAAATTTTTCTCTTCATAATTATCAATATCTTGCGGAAGACGATATTCCCACAGCTCCGGCCTCAGATATTTTCCAAACCAAACCAAAAGAATGAATTATGTTCTCAACTCGTGTGATATGAGATTGATCTCGAACCCTGGTCTTGTTTCATTAGAGACCGCCCGCGCTGCCTCTATAATCTAGTGTTTTTATTTTATATAAAAGTTATAACGTAACATATTTACATAAATCACATAATCTCAAAAAAAGTTCATTTTTTAACTATTGTAAAGCATCCATAGAAATAATTTGTTGGTTTATTGTGTATATATTTTGATAAACAAAAAGAAAAGTATTCAGCAAAAAAATAATATTTTTTTTGATAGAAAAATGTTCAAATAAAAAAATCCATGTTTAAATAATGTTCCTGAATAAGTTTGCTATGAATAACCGGAGAGCCGTTTCAACTCTAAATCATAATAATGTAGTTAGTAAAACTTAAAAAAGTCAAAAGCAGAATGTTGAAGAATTTTTGAACAATTTATAAAAAAAGTTCATAATTTCAAACATATAAATTATTTGGTGAAACCAAAATAATCCAGAGCTGAGGCCGAATTTAAAGAATTTAAAGAATTTAAACCGGTTCCAATTGAGCGAGAGCTCAAATCTCAACACACTGAATATAATTTCAATTAGAACCAACCATGTTTGAAGCGCGTCTCAAATTTGAGACGGGGCTTAGATTCTTTAAATTCAGCCTTAGGCTCATTGAGTTAACTTTCTTAAATCTGAAATTATAGCTGGCGAAACCATATCATGGCCGATTCATGGTCATTCTAGCAATTCTAGGTTTATATATACTGGGGGAACTTTAAACAATGAGAGAGCCAGGTTATTTTTTCCTTTAAATGTACAAAAGTGGTTTCGTTTAAGCCAATGGTTGGTTTAATTTGCTAAACAATCCAAAGACATTTTAGGAAAAGGAGATGATTGCTCTTGAGCCTGTACACTATACACTTTTTGTAATTGTTTTTTTTTCATTAACTGTAGTATCGTACTTTAAATAAAACTTTTCATTTGAGGTAAAAGTAATTTAATTAATAAAAATCGCTGAGAATTTTGCCAATTACTTCTTAAAAACCGGTAAATCTAAGCCCAAGGCGTTGCGACACTTCAAAGTCGACCCTGTCTTAAAAATGAGGGTGTTTGTAAGCAGCCTGGATCTATGAAGGACCAACATTTCCATTTTAAAAATTTTAAGGATAATAAATGCTTGATTTTATAATTAAGATGGACTTTTTTATATATTTTCATTTTTCATAATTTTAAATTTTAATTTTACACCCGGCCCAGTTTTCATTTCAAATCTAATTTTTATTAAAAGTGTTAATTTAAAGAAAAGTTAAGTTTCTTTTTCCCTTAAAAATATTTCTGCACTAAACCTGCAGATTAAGTACAAATACAATCTAGGAAAGTAAATAGTTTAACAAAATACAGTCTAGGAAAGTAAATAGTTTAACAAAAGTACAGTCTAGGAAAGTAAATAATTGAACAAAATACAGTCTAGGAAAGTAAATAGTTGATTAAAAAACACTTTGTTTATGCCGCAAATACATTTTTCGAAGTTTATTATCTATAAATTAGATTAAGGAACTGAGTTTTTGCAACAAACTCAAATATTCATATCCCTATATCCTTGCAACCCATGGTCATAGACCTTAGATATTTCAAGCTATTAATTCTGTTAGATCAAATAATCTAAGTTTGAAATATCAAAGGTGTACACTAAGCGGTTGCAGAGATATAGAAATTCGAAAATGGAATTCACATCGGTTCATGTTTTTTTGAAAATATTTTCTTGCTTACTTTGATGTTCTCCGTTTAGGTCTCGGCAAACTCCATCCCGCTTGTTTATCTCGTCTTCCCAACCTAGTCACATTTTTGATACAGTGAGATCCAAAAAACTATGGAATAGAAAGACGACTTTGAAGAAATATTTCAGTGTATTTGTTATTCTGCAAAAGATTTTATCATAGAAGTTTAATACTCACAGATGTCTCATATTAGTTGAGCTATTTAACAATCAAAACTTGAGCCAAAAGTTCGTCTTCATATTCCATATTTTTCTGGTTCTCACTGTACTTACAAACTGTTTATTTTACCCACCCGTTAACGACCGTAAGGCTCTCCCCACACATTCCCCCTGTTTCTTCGGTCAGTGCAGGGTACATTACTGCAGTAAGCACTGAAAGCTTAGTTTAGGGTTTGGGGTCCTTGTACATAACTTAAAAAGTCGGAGACTATTCAAATCGGTTAACTTGTCTAACTAAGACAAGTTTCTTTCTTCAGGCTAAGCGATTGTGTTTAATTCCTACTGCTTGATTCCTCAGACATGCTGCCTGAATTTTACCTTCACCAGACAAAATCTATATTAAGACCCACTTCTAGTTTTAATTTTTTTTTAATATCATATATTTTGAGAAAAGAACAGACACAGAATTTCTTTTGGAAAGGCTATCAAGCCTCATGAAAATATGTCTATGATCGTTATGCATGGCCATGCGGCGGCCAGTAGATATAAAAAGCCTTTTTTTTTGGCAAAAAGTGTCTGTATGAAAGAAATTAGCATAGCTTAAATCAACAATTAAATGTCTAATCATAATTAACAGAATCAGTGACAAACACCTCAGTAAGTAGCATCGTTCACAGGATTTCAACTCTTCGTTGGAATTTTTAAAATCACTCTGACATTATCCTATACTATCCAAGAGTTTTTGAGAAAAAAATACGACAAAAATTATTAGTTTAATCCTGTTGAACATTGATTTTCCTTGTTGCATGTTGTTTATTTAATAAATCAATAACTAAAAGAAAATTAAGTATTGATAGGAAAGTCTCTGACAATAGAAAGCAGATTGCAACAGTTGTTCAGAAAATAGAAAGCAGATTAAAACAGTTGTTTAGAAAATAGAAAGCAGATTAAAACAGTTGTTCAGAAAATAGAAAGCAGATTGCAACAGTTGTTCAGAAAATAGAAAGCAGATTGCAACAGTTGTGCAGAAAATAGAAAGCAGATTAAAACAGTTGTTTAGAAAATAGAAAGCAGATTAAAACAGTTGTTCAGAAAATAGAAAGCAGATTGCAACAGTTGTGCAGAAAATAGAAAGCAGATTGCAACAGTTGTGCAGAAAATAGAAAGCAGATTGCAACAGTTGTTCAGAAAATTTTTGCAAGTTTTAAGTTTTTTATTTAATAATCAATCATAAAATATAAAGCCTATATATAAGGCAGACAACTAGATTCAACCATGATATCGTCAATTTAAGAGTTTTAGGTTGTCTTTTCAGTCTAATTCTTTGCGGGTAACCCTGTATGTTTTGTCAGTGTGCGCGATTGCATAATGGTTTGAAATAAATCTTCAATAATCAACAACATGCTTTTGAATTTTAATATTTTTAGAAAATAACTTTTTCTCACCTACTTTGACCAGTTTTAGACTCAGACGGCAGCGAGCGGACACTAGTTGAGGAAACTCCTAAAATGAGTATAAAGTGTAATTAACTGAGGCCTAAAAGAGAGGCAAGAAGCACCCTGATTTTATCCAAACATATATTTTGTAGTTTCTGCTTTAATTGCTTTAATTAAAGTTGGCAGTATACGCACAAATGTCAAAACCGGGAGGATTAACGTCATTATTTTCCTTTCCAATCTGAAATCCGTGAAATTGCATGCTTAGGCCATGGTCATGCAATTTCCTCTAGGTTTGAATCCATGGCAGGGACCGATAATATTTTTCCTATTTCTGTTAATTTTATAAAAGATCTGATTTTATGATTGGTCCTACAATTTTCAGACATACATGATTACACGACATGGCCGGATTATCCAAAAACTATTAAAATAATTAATTATGAATTATAAAGTAATAATTTTTAATGTTTATCTGAAATTAAAACTAGATTAAGATTATAAACAAAGCTCAGAATTCCGAAATATCTTAAAAATATTCTCCAGATTTTCTTTTTTAAGTTTGATTTTTTCATGTGATACTTACCTTCTTTTTCAATTTCCATTTTATTTCTATAAAAGTCCACGAGATCTTTCTGATAAGACCTGTATATCCTTGCTTTTATTGGTTAATCCAGTGTTAGTGCGCCAATAGCTTTTCTTTTTATTCGACAGTAAGAATCAGAAAACTCTAGATTAGGAAGACTACGTACGTTTAGACTAAAGTTTATACTTTAAATATTCTAATGAAAATGCGACATTTAAATTTTGAAAAAACCAATTTCACTTGATAAGCGATTTGATTAGTTGATTGTAAAACTATTTTCTTTGTAACATTATCAAATATCCAAAAGTATCGCTATAATGTCGTCTTCATATTCCACGGTTTTCTGGTTATTAGTGTACTCCCCCCCTACCCCCCCCCCCTCCCCTCTCCATTTCAAATATGTATAGAAAAAAGAAAGAGCTAAATAAAATATGTGAATTGAGTGAGGAATTTCAGATCGTCTTTGTTAAGAATTAGCATTGTAATATTCGTGATTTCAATAGTCACAATTTGGGTTTCAAATGCACAATAGCTCAAAACTTGAAAACTTTCCTGAATTTGAACATGTAGTAAATGCCCTACTCAATAAGGGCTTCTCAAACCTGTATCAATTCAGGTACAACTCAATCTCAATTTACTATAAATGTGAAACCGGAGACGATCTATCTTTACATGAACTATCAATGTCTCATCTCGGACACAATCTATTAACTATGAACTATCAGTGTCTTAACTTGGACACGATATCATAAACTATCAATGCTTCAACTCGGACACAATCTCATAAACTATCAATGCCTCAACTCGGACACAATCTTATAAACTATCAATGCCTCAACTCACAATCTCATAAACTATCAATGCCTCAACTCGGACACAATATTGTAAACTATCAATGCCTCAACTCGGACACAATCTTATAAACTATCAATGCCTCAACTCGGACACAATCTCATAAACTATCAATGCCTCAACTCGGACACAATATTGTAAACTATCAATGCCTCAACTCGGACACAATCTCATAAACTATCAATGCCTCAACTCGGACACAATATTATAAACTATCAATGCCTCAACTCGGACACAATCTCATAAACTATCAATACTTCAACTTGGACACAATCTTATACGCTCTCAATACCTCTACTCGGACACAATTTTAGGGGTATCAATTGTTGGCTATATAAACAAGGAACAATTACTCTTGCTTGGCAATCGTTCAAGAGTCTATTCCAACTAAATATATTTGGGTTTCTATGTTACAAGTTAACATTAATCGACGTAATTACAAGTGGTACAACAAAGAGTAATATTTTGTTAGGTTCCCTGTCTATTTATTTAAACTTTTCAGAATCATTTCTTTCTGATTATTTGAAAACAGTGCTTTATACTTTTTTGCTTTCAGGTATCTCAGGAAAACTGTAAAAGACGGGAAAAGACGAAAATACGCAAAATCGTCACTCTATTCCTATGGTTATTGGGACAACCTGTACCGACACCATTTTTCTATAAAATAAAAGTCTTCCTAAGTACAGCTCTTTCTTCGGGTGGATCAGTACTGCAAAAGAAAGATCATTAAAATTTTATTTTAGTCTATGTTACCCCCGGGGTACTGAAGGGTTCCCTCAAAAAATTTCAGCCAATTTTGTTCAGCTGTTTTGCCAGTTTCAACTAACATAAATATATATGAATAGGTGTACTAATTAGCATTATGCAAGGCCCTCAACTTATAATGAGTTGGTTGAGCTCTCTGGTCCCTATTTCATTACCAAATCATAAGGATTTGATGGAGCAGTGGTTAGCGTCTTTGATTCATAATCTAAGGATTCATGGTTCAAGCCCTGTCAACTGCAAAATCAAATCTGATGAATAGAGCCATATCTGATGAGTCCTAATAGGACGAAACACTGTGTCTATGGATGTATATTAAATATATATATATATATATTCAATTTTATTAGTTAATCAAAAAAGATATTTACACATATAAAAATAGTTGCTATTTGCTAAAGTACCCGTCGTTGCCCGTTGAATTTTAAAATACTTTAGAAAATTATTTGAATTTTATATTTCGAAAAAAAATTATAAACATATGAATATATAAATAGGAGCGAAGAGCTTTACTATATAAAAATAATAGATCACCAAAATGATCTATCTAAAAAAACTCTTTACCTAAGCAATGATGTGCTCTCTGTTCCAGGGGATGTATCTTGAAAACTTTCGTCGATTTTTAAACTTGCAATTCCCAATATTTCTGAAATATAAAAACCTCTAAAAATCAATATTCTTTCTTTAAAGTCTTAACTATTTTTGTGATTTTAATGTATTCGAGTGTGCTGTGAAATATTTCTTCTGTCATATTAGAAGGATTTTTCACAAAGTTTTAGACTTTAATAATTAAAAATTTAATTTAAATGGCGAAAATGGTTCAAATCTTTGATATTTCAAACTTAGACTATATGAACATAATTCAAAGTTTGAAAAATATAATTGGTCTGCGACTTTGGGTTGCAAAGATACGGGGATGCGAAAATCAGAGTTTGTGGCAAAGACTCAGTATAATTTTTGCTAAATGTATGGTACCCCAAGAAAAAATTTACTAACCGACATTTTTCTTTTCGTCTAAGACTTGCTTTCTTTAGCAAAAAGTCTTATTTACATTTTATTAGATTTATGTTTACTTTGATTTTAATCTTACCTGGACCTGGATTTTCTATTGGTTGTTCAATTTTGATTGATAAAGAATTTTTCTTGACTTTCTTTTCCATCTTTTTCTGTTCATCTAAATAAAATAGATTTTACTTCAGATTTTTATACTCTTTTCTTATTCACGAAACTATTCTTATTTAAAAAAAAATATTTTCAATTGCTAATGGTTTGTTTTTTTTAACATATAAATTATTTTTTGTGTGAAAATATTTATGTTTTGATTCTCAGGTTTTGTTTCTTTTTTTACATAAACTCTCCACAAATTGTCTAATCTATTGGTTTTTATAACCTTTGCAAGGGTTTAGAAGAATTGACAGAATGAAATATTTAAGCTGAGGTTGTGAAGAAAAGTGGGGTAAAACAATTGTGGATAGTGTTCAGTTTTTTGTTTTGACTTACATTTTGTCCGGTAAGCAAGGTCGTTTTCAGTTTTACTCTTTTTAATCTTGTTTGACTTGGAGACGGTTGGAACCTTCTTAATTTTCTCAGAATCCGTTCTTTTCTGCAGGACTCTGGGAGGCATAGGGGGCTGTGGCTGGGGTTGGGTTGGGTTCAAGGGTTGCTGGAGCATAATGTTCTCCGGGATAGTTTTCAGGTTACTCGGTGCAGAGATAGATTTCTTGAGGGAGAATTTAGTTTTTAGCTTTGGTGAAGGGGTCTTGATAAAATATATGGATGGGTTGTCTGGTGGGTTATTAGGGTCAGGGGAGCGTGGGGCTTCTCGGTTCTTAAATTTCAGCTGGATTAGATCGGGCTTGTTGTCCTACACAAATCTGTTTTTATTCAGAATATCATTAGACAAAAAACTAAAGTTAGCTCGAAACGCTCAAAACAAACTATAATGTGCGGGAAAAAACAGAAAAGATTGTACTAATTGCCTCTCCTTCTTTCTTTTAATTTAGAATGTTCTCCAACTAGCTTAAGGGAAGTGATCGGCTGTGTAAAAGGTAGTTGAACTGAGTATGCAGTGTTGTGGAAAACTTCTTTCGGATTCATTTGAGACATATTAAACTTTTTAAAGATCTCTAAATCCTGAGTTTGAGAGCAAATTCGACGTTCAAAACTCCTACTTTGGGTGTGGATACGCTTTCAGGATTAGTTTTTTTTTTAATTATTAAATAACGACAACGAAAAATAAAGTAAAAATTATACAGTAATCTAATTAGATGGCTAGGAACATATTTCACAAAATAAATTTGTCAAAAATCATTGCTAAAATCGATTATTTCGTTTTCATTATTATATTGAATTTCTAATTTTCTTTGAATTTATTCGCAGATTTCTTCAAATTCTTCAAATGTCATCTTTTCAATAATAATTATAGAAAATCTGCGAACATCCTTGTGAATAAAGAGGAACCAGAATAATGAGATAATAGAAACTAATAATTGAATAAGATTACTTATTTTCGATGAGAAGATTAATTTCTATTTTCTCAAAATGTTCCTAAACATGACGTCTGTAGTTTATTGTAGAATGTCTTTACATTTTATGTCGTCGTTAATTAATAATTAAAAAAAACTAATTCTGAAAGCGTATCCACCCCTAAAGTCGGAGATTGAACTTCGGCTTTGTACTCAAACTCAGGATTTACAGATCTTTAAAAAGTGTAATATGTCTCAAATGAATCCGAAAGAAGTTTTCCACAACACTGCGTACACAGTTCAACTACCTTACATAACCGGTCTTACTTACGGAACATAGACTTACGGAACTTCTTCATACATTTGTTCCCCGCATTTTCATCCTTTCTTTCTTTTCAAATCTTTTAATAGATTCTCAATATACTATAGTTTTATGTCAAAAGACCTTATTTAATCTTCAAATCATTATGCTCTAAAGAATTTAGTTTGTGAATAACGTCTCATTTTTGAAGTAACAATGTATGTTTATATCTTATGAGAAATAAATTTAGAGTATTATAATTAATAAAAATAGTACCAACAGCTGACATTGTAACCGAACTGGCAACGGACTAGAAACCTAAAATGTATTATCAGAATTATTATCAACATCTGCTGAATTCTAAAATCCTGCAGAAATTGATCACAAAAGTTGAAAAGAATACTGTAAACTGAAATACTTCGTATTTTTGTTCGTAGATTTTTATTTTTATTTTTTCGATCGTTTCTATTATTTTTTCGACTGTTACTGGTCTTTTGTCGATTTTTTTTCTTTTTTTAAAAATTGATATTTGTTCTTTGATGTTTAGGTTTCCTGTGTCGTTAGTTACTGCTCATTTTAATTCTTTCGTTCCAATAGAAATTGGAGGGTGGTATATTTTTAAGATTTTGAAAATTTCCCAAATAATTTGATATTTGGGGATATACCCTTACACCTAAGCATTTGTGAAATTTCCCCAATACCCAAGCATTTGGGAAATTTGTCAGATTCCCAGGAATTTGGGGAATTCCCAAAATTTCCAATATTCCTTTAAAAATTTGAGGGGGGCATATTTTGAGGATTTTGAATATTTCCCAAATGATCGGATATTTGAGGAAAAAACCTTGGCATTTGGGAGATATCCTAGAAATCCAGGCATTTGGAAAAATCCAAGATACTCAGGTATTTGGAAATTTTCCAGATACCCAGGCATAAGGAATTTAAGGGTGGTATATTTTTAAGATTTTGGAAATTTCTCAAATGACTGCAGATAATTTTGGAATTTTCCAAAAACCTAGGCATTTGGGGAATTCCCGAAATTCCCCAGATTCTCAGGTATTTGGGGGAATTCCCAAGATTCCCATGTATTTAAGGAATTCCTTAGATTCCCAGGTATTTGGGTATTTCCCAGTTTCCCAGGCATTTGGGCAATTCCCAAAATTCCCAGGCATTTGGAAAATTTCCATTTTTGAACATTTTTAATTTGCTGTCACTCCCTCGTTTTTTTTTAACGTAAAAATGTTCCGTAAAATTTCTCTGTAGTAATGAAGTTATGAAAATAGTGTTTTCAGTTTGTCGTCTTTACCTTCCTTGTATTTTGTTTAATGAAGACGACTGAACCTGATGGAATTGTTTGCTCTCCTAAAAGTATCAACAATTTTTATTCAATATCAACATTTTCTTAAATCTAGTTCAAGTGATGTCACAATTAAAAACATTGTATGCACAAATTAACTTTTATTTCATTAATTCTTTCTCGATACGGCATATGTACGCAAGTCACTATTATAGAAAACTCTGATGAGAAACTATCAAATTTCATAATCTTCAAAAAGCAAAACAGGAGGATAATATTTACGCAAGGTTTCAAGGGATAGACCGATGTAGATTGGGTAATGCAGTTTTTTAACTAGATAATTACACTTACGACTACGGATTATTTTATTTTCTTGTTAAGGGACTGCAATTGTAATTTAACGTGACTGTCAATGCTAAGATAACAATGCCCAATTATCAACAATACCCTTAATTATGAATGTTTACAATTTTGAAAACATTTTGATTACTTTTTATTGTGATTTCTTTACAAGTGACTGGTGTATTTCTACTGCATGGTAATTATCCATTTTTAAGCCAAAATAATAACAAATTTTTCTACATAATTAATCAGATAAAGTTTTTAAGGGTTGTATATTGAGATTTGGTATCTTTACATGGCGGGGGTTACTTGATGTTACACTTTTATCCCTATTAAATTCATTTTTATGAATAAAATAATTCTTTAAACTTCATTTCAAGACTATTTTTATATTTTAAAAATAATTCTGTATTTTTTCTCTTTATTTAAGCTTTAGTGTGTTTATTCATGAATTATACGGCTTAACCCTGTATTTAATCTTACTCGTTAAACTTAATACTTTTTGAAAATTTTAAAAATCTTAAAATAAGTTTATAATACAGATCAAAACCATAAAACTATGGAGTAGGAAGACGACATTTTAACAATCTTATTTTCAATATTGTTCAAATAAAACAAGTTCAACCTTGACAATAAACTTGACAATAAACTTTAGGAATAATTTACAATTGCCATGTATTTTGATTTATTTAGACAATATTTAACAGACGTTGTTTTATGGGTATTACTGTACTGAACAAGTTTAGTATTGTACCTGACATATGGATGCTAGTGGGGCCGTGCTTAATTTCTTCTATACCCATATTTTCTAAACTTTTTCCTAAAAATAGTGAAATTAAAAATAATGTTACATTTTTTTATGATTAATGATATACTTTTTGGTTGAACAAGGGCATTAAATAGCAAAATAATGTCAACACAAAAAGTATAATATTATTGATGATGAGATTGCATTTGTACTTTTCTATGCCCCCCCTCCCTTAAAAATATTTCTGCACTANAGGGTTAAAGGGTACCCCGCTACTTCCTCCTTGTTATTCAAGTAAAGGATTAAAGGGTACCCCGCTACTTCCTCCCTGTTATTCAAGTAAAGGGTTAAAGGGTACCCCGCTACTTCCTCCCTGTTATTCAAGTAGAGGGTTAAAGGGTACCCCGCTACTTCCTCCTTGTTATTCAAGTAGAGGGTTAAAGGGTACCCCGCAACTTCCTCCTTGTTATTCAAGTAGAGGGTTAAAGGGTACCCCGCAATGGAAGGTTACTTAGTTGGCTTCGTATACATTCCCTTTAAAATTCCTTTTTAGAAACAATTGTCAAAAATTTATTGTTTATGTTACTAAAATCCCCTTTTTCAAATTTTTGAACAATCCCTGTAAATTTTATATTTTTGATCGGCTGAAACCGATATTTCATGCAATACAAAGGTTAAAAACTAAACTCCAATAAATAAACTAAATATCACATTATTGTAAAAATAAACATTAAAAAACTTATATTTTCACTTAAAACGAACGCTAGAATAAAAGATGTAGAAATAAAATTAATTGAGTTTTGCCACAAACTCTTATTTTCTAATCTTTAGGAATTCTCTGAAATAGTCTTAGTATAAAATATTATGTTTACATGTTTACATCATCATGTTGCAAAGATATGGGATTAGAAAACTTGAGTTTGTGGTAAGAACTCAGTTTATTTTCTAATAATAAATATAAAATTATACGTAATCCATTGAAGGCAGAGGAAAGACTGCTTTAAAGCCTACAGAGGCTGTATTGAAAAGTATACGAATCATCGATTTGTTTCATGGCAGAACTCTTTAAACGACATTTATACATTTGAAAATATATCAAGAGCTTAAAGAGACTGTTCCAATAATGAAGTTAAGATTTTGCAAACGATTTTTACAAATTTTTACAATTTTTGATATTTAAATCTCACACTATTTGATCTAACAGAATTTATAGTTTGATGAATATCAAAGGTTTATGAAGTCAGGGGCCGCATTTAAAGAATATTTTAACCGCGTCGCTGAACCGCCAAAAACCGGTTCCAATTGAGCGCTGTCAAATCTCAAAAAACTATATGAAATTTAAATGGAACCAACGATGTTTGAGACACGGCTCAGAGTCATTAAATTTGGCCTCAGGAGTCAGGTTAGGCATTATAAATCAGTCTTTGTAGCATTAATTCAATTCCTTGGGAGAAACAAATCCTTTTAATCGGGATTATATCTCAGTTTATCAAAGATGCTTGCTACCATAAAAAATCTGTCATTTTTTATTAACTGAGTAATAATATTTATTGGGTTGTCACTGTCAGTTTTTGATTAAAAAAGCCACAAAAGAAATTAAAATCCGGGACATTTTTAAGGACAAAGCTGGGTATTTATATGGTACGCTAAGGAAATCATGTCTAAATTTCAAATCCTTATATCTATGACACCTTGATGGTGTAAACCTTTAGTTACAAAGTATTTAGGATTAGACAATCAGAGTTTATGCCTAATGTTCAGTTTGCTTTTATGTTTAGATCGCTGCTTTTTAGATTTAAAATAAATAATTTAACTCACCAAATTTTTCTGAAATAATTCTCAAAATTTCTTGTTTGTCTGTTTATATATTTTCAATGAGAAATAATATTGGTTTATAAATATTAATATGTTTAGAACAAGGAGTTGAAGAGATTGTTGTACACTGTTTATTAATCCAAAATCCTGGAAATTCCATATTCTTTGTATAAAATAATATGATTCATGAATGTGATACATTAAAAACAGTATTTTTAGGTAAAAAATCGTTGATTTATAGAAAACTGACAAAAAAACAAAGCTCTGAATTTAAAATCTAAAACAAAGTTCAGTAAAAATATTTGACAATTGAACACTAGATACTAAATTTTTGAAAACCAATCTCATATTTTTTTAGAAAAATCTAGACACACAGTTTATTATTCCAGTTCTCAAACTTATATCCGTTTTTAATGAATTGATTGACACACATCCCTTAATATTTAGTTGATTTGGTGCAGGCCAATATAATATCCCTTTTTACAGAAAAATCTAGAAACACCATTCATTAGTCTCATTTCTGAAACACATATCCTTAATTGATTGATATACACCCAAGATATTTTATTTCGTACAGAACAATTTCATATTCCTTTCTCCAGAAAAATCTAGACACACACTACAACCTTGATTTTATATTTTTATTTTTTCTTGTATCTCTTGTTGTTTATGATAAGACATGTACATGTTGATTTAAACAAATTTTGCTAATATATTTTAGTATATGCGCTGTGAAAAACCTACTGGTCCCATACACCTTAACGTATTGTTGTGTACAACACGTGTTTTGATCATTAAAAAGTATGTTTAAACAACTAAATTTAATTTTCTAGTAATTTCACTTCTATAAATGATGTTTCTAGCAAAGATACCTGAACGAGAATAAGTGCCGTTTGCATGTTTTACGTTAAATGTAATTAAAGTTCAGAATTTAATGTTTTGTCACAAATATCAAAATAAGAATAACTTTCGATGTAAAAATGAAAATATAAATCAAAAAGTTAAATGTCAATTAAAATTATATTATAAAAATTATATTATATTCTCATGAGTCCTGTTTGTTTGTTTACTGCTACACTTCCCATAAATCGATATTTGTCCCTCTCTATGTAAACATTATTATATCCTTATATTTTAAATTCTATGAAATATGTTCTTTTTTAAATATTTTATGTATTGTATTCCATATTGAAAGTACATTTTTAAACCTTTTTCCCATTGGCAACCTTTGTAGAATTAACACTTTTTTTCATTGAAGACCCCAATTTTTTCATTGGAGACCCCAGATTTTTATTGGAGATCTCAGATTTTATTGGAGACTCCAGATTTTCATTAAAAATTCAAAGGAAATCATGAGAAACCCCATCCCAAACGCATACTGGGTCTCCAATGAAAATCTGAGGGTCTTCGATTAACATCTTGGGGTCTCTAATAAATTTGAAAGGGGCTTTGGGGGTTTCCAATAAAAAGCTTTGGGTCTCCGATGAAAGGTGTGGGCCCCAAAAAAAACGCAAAAAAAGAGTTTTAAAATAGTGTTTGATGTCTAATGTTTGATGTCTAATTAAAAAAATAAACGTATTCCTAGTTTTTCTCTAATAAACAATAGTGTATCCTTCTCTTCTAATTCTGGGCTTCCAGGCATATTAGATATATCCTATTCTACTTGTATTAGATCAATTATCTTTGCAACCTGACAACTTTGCAGATCGGGTTATTTCCATCACTCGGACCTAACCCTCATGCAATGTTGTTATCTTTGCAACCTGGCAATATTATACCTCGGGCTATCTCTATCACGCCGAGTAAACCTTTATATAATTATTTGCTCGTTCAATAATTAACACCCAAAGTAATAAACATATTTTCTACAATGTCAACACATTTATTTACATAGTCATAAATGCATACATCATATTAGATAAAGATAAGCTGATGACATGATTATCAGCCTTGATCCCTTTTACTTATAAGGTGTCTTAGCTTGACGTTTAAGCACTCTCTCAGTTTGTTTACCAAGTCTAAAGTACATGACTGATATAGCTTTCAGTCCGTCTATCAACTTTTTATCTTTACTATTACAGGTCTGCTGGTCAACCCGCTCCTGCATGATCCGGAGCAGATCCCAAACCTGGTTAGACAGCATGTCACTGACCTCTTTCCTAGTAGAGTCAGGATGCAGCCTGTATTCTTGCTCCCAAGCCTTCCCTGTGTCCCATACCTCAACTTGGGGGACAACAGCAGGCTGATGGGAGCTAGTGTCCCCAGGAGTAGGGGACAGGATGCTTTTCATCTCCTTATTGAGTTCCGTCAAACTAGCAATGACGTCTCAGAGCATCTGTGGAACATCCTCCGTCTCTTCATCCTCCTTACTATCCTCTACAACATCCTCAGTTACATCTTCATCCTCCGAGGTTGGGACAGTGACAATGGGAGTGTCCCCACTGAAAAGAGGAGTGAGGTCAGCTGGATCAACTTCATCTTCATCCAGCTCTACTTCTTCAATGTGGGCGGGGTTCCGCACAATAACAGGAACCTGGTTCATCTTCTCCTGATGTAGCTCGTCCAGAAAGGTTCCCTCTGTATGTTGTCTGTTCACTGTATGTAGCACAGGACCCAGAGCGGTAGTGTGCAGGAGACTTGTGTCTACTGCTACGGCTCGGGTTGTACTGATCCTTGGTATCCAGTTGTATTCAAGGGACTGTTCGCTCTTATTAAGAACAATCTGAGATACAACAATAATAATATTAAAAATAATTAAAATTAAAAAATAAAAGAAGCTAACCTGATGTTTTAAAATTTTGGTTTCTACATAGATATACAAAATATCGCCGAGAAAATATTCTTCCAATTGAAATATTGTGCTTTTCAAGGTTATATCCAAAGCTCTCAAACTAAACAAAAGATCATTTAGAACATTTATCAGGAATTAAAAAAACGGGACTATTATTAAATGTTGATTTAAGTGTGTGGTTTACCCACCAAGAGAACTGCATATGAACAACTATTCATGATTCTTGTCATGTAAAAGTTTTCAACCAAACTACAAACACCACTTCAAAAGTCTAGTTTTTGCCACCAGATTTCGCACATGGTTGTAAGTGGACTTTAAAAGTGGTTCAAAAGTCGGTAATTCTACTAAACTAAGTCTTCTTTTGAACTCGACTAAAACTCAATTTGTAATTATATAATTTGTTTATTCATCAATTTTTACTAATTAGATGTCACTCTTATAATGTAAAAATTATTTACATTTATTATGAATAATTACCTAAGATGATTATTGTTAAAGACCCAAACTCGTCCTGGAACACTCATCTCACTGTTCTAGATATATTTACGCTCAAATTTTAAATTTTGCGAAATTACCGCTACGACTTGGAGACCTTCCCCTCTACGTTTGATTTTATGCAAGAATATGAGAAATCTGATACACAAGCTTACACATTAGAAATTTGAAACATTTTTACTCTTTCCAATAGCTCTTCAGTTATATGAGTTCTGGTTTAAAACTTCCCAAAAGCTTTTAAGTTATATGAGTTCCGATTTAAAACTTCCCAATATCTCTTCAGATATATGAGTTCTGATTGAAAACTTCCCAATATCTCTTCAGATATATGAGTTCTGATTGAAAACTTCCCAATATCTCTTCAGATATATGAGTTCTGATTGAAAACTTCCCAATATCTCTTCAGATATGTGAGTTCTGATTTAAAACTTCCCAATAGCTCTTCAGTTATATGAGTTCTGATTGAAAACTTCCCATTAGCTCTTCAGTTATAAGAGTTCTGATTTAGAACTTCCCAAAAGCTCTGCAGTTAGAAGAGTTCTGATTCAGAACTTCCCAATAGCTCTTCGAAATAAGAGTTCTGATTTAGAACTTCCCAATAGCTCTTATAACTACAAGAGTTCTGATTTAAAACTTCCCAATAGCTCTTCAGTTATAAGAAATCTGATTTAAAACTTCCCAATAGCTCTTCAGTTATAAGAGTTCTGATTTAAAACTTCCCAATAGCTCTTTTAACTAGAAGAGTTCTGATTTAAAACTTCCCAATAGCTCTTCAGTTATATGAGTTCTGATTTAAAACTTTCCAATAGCTCTTCAGTTATATGAGTTCTGATTTAAAACTTCCCAATAGCTCTTGAGTTATATGAGTTCTGATTTAAAACTTCCCAATAGCTATTTAGTTAAAAGAGTTCTGATTTAAAACTTCCCAAAAGAGTTCTGATTTTTTTGATTTCAAAAATAATTTTTAAAAAAGCTTTTTTTTTCTAACAAACGTATTAAAGTTTTATGAAACGAACCTGATCACGTGCCACTATCTTTTCACAATCTGATGTCACTTGGTCATACAGCTTACTCAAACTAACAAAATTATACAATCACTAGTTTTATGGGCTTTTATTTGCTCAAATATGCCAATGCCCGATTCACAACAATACTCTTAAAATCTTTGGTTGAATAATTTGAATCCGAAAAAATAACGATTACAATTTTAAAACTTTTTATTTCAAAAGTGGTGTCAATACAAAAAAGACTTTTCTACAGCAAAAATCATAATAAATATTCACTTTTAAACCTACGAAAACAAAAATATCTTCCACAATATTTCATGCAGGGCTATGTAAGGTAGTTGAACTGAGTATGCAGTGTTGTGGACAACTTCTTTGGGATTCATTTGAGACATATTAAACTTTTTAAAGATCTGCAAATCCTGAGTTTGAGCGCAAATTCAACGTTCAAAACTCCAACTTTGGGGGTGGATACGTTTTCAGAATTAGTTTTTTTAAATTATTAAATAACGACGACATAAAATGTAAAAAAAGTTCTGCAATAAACTACAGATGTCATGTATAGGCGGGAACATGTTGAGAAAACAAAAATTAATCTCATCATGGAAAATAAGTAATCTTCTTCAATTATTAGTTTCTATTTTCTCATTATTCACAAAGATTTTCGCCGATTTTCTAGATTTTTTATTGAAAAGACGACATTTGAAGAATTTGAAGAAATCTGCGAATAAATTCAAAGAAGATAAGAAATTCAATATAATAATGAAAACGAAATAATGCATTTTAACATAGATTTATTGACAAATTTTTTTGAGAAATATGTTCCTAACCATCTATAGTTTATAATTTACTCTTTAATAAATTCATTTTTTATGGAAATATTAAGATAATAAATACAAACCTAAAGTTTTTAGGAATAACAATCTTCTTAAACTGATTACATAGCGGGAGCAAAGTGATTTCGTTTGCGTCAGCAAGATCTTCTGCTGTTATAAGCCTTTACAAACTTATATTATTTAATCTCACAAAATTCATTGAAATATCTGAAGTCGATAACATTTGGCTGCAAAGATTTAGGGATTAGAAAATTAGTCTGTATGGGAAAAAATATATAAATAATAGACAAATGTAAAGTAAGAAATGTTATTAGATGCGTAAGGAAAGGCTATGAATGAGCCATAATTATTTTCCTTTCCATGCCGCATAATATCCCTGCAACTATTCATAGTTCAAACTTTAAAAATCGTGAAATTTTGCACCCATCTGCATATACATATAAACTGCTTTAAAATAAGCCGTTTTTTGGCAGCGACAAATATATAATGTGGGAAAGTAAAAGTTTCCTCTTTTCAATAAAAGTGAACTTCAAAGTGAAAAGTAAAAGTAAACTTAAAACAAATATTTTGAAATAGTGCATGGCTTGGCCAGATTTGTGAGATGATTTCTTTTTTTAAAGCATTTATTTTTTAGTCAAGAAATAACAAATGCCGGATGACTTTTTTGTGTAACTGTAGCTAGCAAATAGTGTGGCTCATGGCTGACATGGACGAAAAACCAGTTTTGTCTTCGGGCCTTACCCCCCTCGCAAATTATAATTCAAAGTTATAAACCCCCTAATTTTACCGTGTTGTGAGGCAAGGATCTATGTCTAGAATGATGTTAACTGTAGCTCCACCACTAGCATCCAAATATCCTGAATCAAGTTTAATCTAATCGAGTTAAATACATTAAAGACTTTGCGACCTCGTTATGCCTCTAGTTTTGATTTTACACTAAAGAGGTAGAAAAGTCGAATAGTTTTCTTAAAAGGAGCAGTGACGTCATACAGTTATTTAAAGTGTCCATTACTATAAAGGTTGTCTTTACTTAAAATAGAGCGAATTCAGAGTATCTGACTTCATGAAACCTTGGTCTAAGGTAAAATTCCTTAATTTACCTAGGGTTGGATCCACGAGGTTCCTCCAGGATACAAGTCTACACCCCCACCTAGGGGAGCTGGGGGAGAATACCTGACAGATAGGAATACAAAATATAAAGAAAGGAATTGAGTTTCAGCAACAAACTTACATTTTCTAACCCCTATATCTTTGCAACCTGATGGTGTAAACCTTTGATATTTCAAACTTAGACTATTTGATCTACCAGAATTAATAGTTTGAAATATCAAAGGTCTAGGAAAACGGTTCGTTAAGTTATAGGAATTAGGAAATGTGAGTTTGTGGCAAAAACTCAATTCCTTTAGGACTGTTTAGGAAAAACTAGGTTATTAGGGCGCTTCGTGCCCCTTCGCGTCTTTTTTAAGTTCACATTTTATCTTGTAACTGCTGAGTTTCAACATTTCAAGGCATTATTTTTTCATCAAAATTTAATAAACATTTTTTCTGTTTTGATTTTTGGATTTCCGAAAATCGTAAATGTTGAAAAAAATATTTCAGATTTTTTTTTTAATCTTTCATGCATGGGGTCACATGAGTTGCCACAAAATATTTGGGCCTGATGGGTTCAGATATGGAGGGACAGGCAGACAAGCAAAGTATATATATTGGAGGAGAAAGTGAAGGTAATAGAAAAAATGCAAAACTAACCTGACACAGTTTAGATCTATAAATCATAAAACAAATTTCTTTCTATCTTAAAAAGTCATTTAAAATTGATTCTGTAATTTTGATAAAACTTTTAAGATTTTTTAGATCAAATTAATATTTTTGAAGATGAAATATCTTTTATTCCTTAAGGGGGGAACATTTGGTCTGCTGCTCCTTTAACAAACCATCAATCTTGTTTTTTTTATTTTTTTATTACAAATGACAATGTTCTTTTTAATTTAATTTCATCTCTGCAGTCTGGAAAATTGAAAGTTGTTTGAAGTAAATCCATTTTTACCAACACAATACAATGAACAGACTGTAAGTGCTATTTCAACTGACCATTCATGCAAAGATTATATAATATGTATAAATAATAATTTCCATAATTAATATATAATTACAAAGATGGTAAAATATATATAATATATAATTTCCATAATTAATATATAATATATAATTACAAAGATGGTATAATATATATAATATATAATTACCATAATTAATATATAATATATAATTTCCATAATTAATGTATAATATATAATTGCAGAGATGGTTTAAAATATATATATAATATATATATTATTTACAAAAAAAACTAGCATCTACTTTTTTACTCTACAGAGGTTTGGTCTATCACCATCACCAAATTTTAAATATGATAATTTCCATAATATATATAAGATATAATTGCAAAGATGGTATATATGCCCGATTTCTAGGTATTTTAATTAAGTATTATAATTAGATTTCAATGTTTATAATTTCAAAAAACGATATATCCAAATATGGATTCTCTGCGAAAGAGAAAAATTGAAGGAATTATCAGAATTAAATACTTTTAAACCTAGGAAAACGACAACATCTTTCTCATTGTTAATCACATAAGGTTTCAAGTATACCGTGTAAATCTGGCCTTGCCATCTTTGCGTGGAGGATCATTTGAAATTACACTTACAGTTCCTATAAGCAAAAAAAATGCCAATAGTAGGTAGATACAGTGATAATATATAGATATAGTGAAATTGGAAGACGACTTTTAGAGTCAAGTTTTAACTTTAAAAAGTCTGGGAAATAGAAATTGTAGAGTGTTAACACACAATTATCACTTAATTAGTGATTTAATAAGTGTCTAGTAAAACTATTTTCTTTGTAAAAACATCAAATACACTATTGCTAAAAATCATCTTCCTATTCCAGCGTTTTCTGGTCATCACTGTACTAACATATATACCAATTAATTCATGATTTTATATAACTTCATCTCTTATATCGACTTAAAATTTTTGTTTGTGTTTTTTTTCTTCTTCTAAAGTTCTATTTAGAAGTCTCATCAAGTTAACAGTTTTCCTAATACTATGTTCACTCCAGACACAGATGCTGTCACTAAAATAAATAGGTTTAATTTTACCTTTATCTAGTTTTTGAAATACAATTTATATATTTTCTAAAATTCAAATATAAAATTTGTCTCTAAATTACCTGATATCGAGGGCGAAAATGCTCACTTCAATTTCTTGAAGCCGCCTGCTTAGAATGGTATCTTGGTGCATATTGGTAGGAGAAAATTTGTTATATAAATTTTGTTTCTAAGAAATTGGTCCAAAGGAAGGAAACAGTTGTCTCGAACTTTAAATTTCAAATCACTTTATTTTTGAAACCTGATGTAGCATATACAATTGGTGTAATATTCCGATTTTCCGCACATAGTCTGCACTTTTACTGTACAGCTTCATCTTAAAGTATATTGGACCCAGGACTTGAAATAAACCGGAGATTATAGTGGCTAAAGACCTCATTTCAAACTATTACATTCTTTTAGATCTATAAAAACAATTTGAAGTATTAAGAGCCATTACAGTCTTTGAAAAAAATGTAAAGCAGTTGAGTATTTGCTACAAGTTCACATTTTGTTATCTTAATAATTAATTAATTAATCTTCTTTCTATATCTTTGCGACCGGGTGTTTTAAATGTTTGATATTTCAAACTTATTTGAGCTAACTGAATTCATATTATGAAATCTCTAACGGCTATGACATCAGGTTGCACAGATAGTGTTTGTGGCAATTGATTAATTCCTTCAAGATGAAGGGAGGGTGTAGGAGCTTCAGAGACTAGAAAAAGTTAAATGTTGATATTTGATTATTTAGAATTTTAGAACCAACTACGATATCCCTGATTTCGTAATAAGGATCTGAGATTTCTTCTTCAACAGACTCAAACTTTTCCTGAGCTTTCAAACTGACACTGAAAAACACAAACCATAGGGTTTCCAGCGAACGAAAACTTTCGTGAAAAAAATTTGAACATTTTCTTTTGCATTTCGTTAACTTTTTCGCGAAAATGAATAAACATTTATTAGCCATATTTCGCAAAAAAAAATAATTCTCCAAAAAAAAGTTTTCGGGAACAGCTTTATTATCTCATAATTAATAATTTCTCGCAAAATTTGCGCATTTTCTTTATCCAAAAATGTTCGCATTTGATTTACAGCGAAAAAGGGAAAATTCTTATTTAATGAATTTTATCCTCAGATTTTTATCAAATGAACTCTATTCATTAATTTAATATCATTATTGCACTGAAAGAAAATCGAATGGGAGAAAAGCTGTTTAAAAGTAGTGCTGCATTCATTTTGTATCCTCAACATTTCAATTGATCCTTAATCTGCCAAAGATATACAATATGATATAATTATTCAAATGGACAGATTGCTTCCTATAAGTTAGCTAACCTAAAGTTTATTCCTCCCAAAGTACAGGTTTCTTTATTTAAATTTTCACCAAATTTTGCAAAAATGTCTCCGCGAAAACTACCAATCCACTCATGAATTAGAAAAAAAACTAAATAAGTATAAACGTCTAAAAGTGTCCAAAGCACTGATAATTTATTTAGAATTGATAATTTTTAAGAATTAGGGACAACTGAAATACTTCTGAAATACTACTGAAATAACAAAATAATTGTGGTTTAATTTAGTCTCCGTAGTTCAACTACGTCTAGGTGTTCTTTTTAATTTGGAAAAACAAAATTAGATTGTGTCATTTTTGTGTCATCGATCACAATAATTCAGATTTTTTATTATTGTTTATTGTATTATCTATAGGCAAGCAATTTTCAAACTAACTACTTAGTTGCAGTATTTTATTATTATTAAACTATTAGTGGTGGAAATAATAATTTTGGAAATCTTCAAAATTGTCAGAGGAAATTAGGGAATATTCCATTTTTTGTAATTTAACTTAATTTCATGAGGCATTCCTAAGGGTTATCTGGCACTGTTTCCCGGAACCCTAAACAATTTTACATTTTCAAATTATTTTTCTTAAGAAAAAACACAAACAAAAGTACATTTTTCTTTCTCTTTATGTAATCTATTGTTTAACCTTTTGAGTAGTGAAACAGCTATTTCTTTTCAGAGATCCTCTCATGACATCGATACACTTCAACCGAAACTGTTCTGTAATCATCCAAATTAGATTTAGAAAATGCAGGAAAACATTTCTTTAAAATGGATCAGTTTCTTTCAATTTATAAGGCTCTGAATACTTTAAATTCAATTTTAGAAACAAACCTTGAAAACATGATGCATTCATGAAATCTAGAAAATTTTTAGAATATACCTCTAGTTAACGTATTGCTGGGCACTGCAGTGTTTAAGAAATCATTAACCCCCATATGATCAAATTCAATCGAAGGTAGAAAATATACCTATTGTTAACATATTGCTAGGCACTGCAGTGTTTAAGAAATCATTAACCCCTATATGATCAAATTCAATCGAAGGTTAAAAATATACCTCTAGTTAACTAATTTCTGGGCACTGCAGTGTTTCAGAAATCATTAACCCCTATATGATCAAATTCAATCGAAGGTAGAAAATATACCTATAGTTAACGTATTGCTGGGTACAACAGTATTTAAGAAATCATTAACCCCCATATGATCAAATTCAATTGAAGGTAGAAAATCACACATTGCTTCTCTAAAATAAAGATGATCAAATTGTTTATTATAATTTTTAGTAAAAAATTTTAATTTTTTGATAGTGACATGTGCTTAAAGGAACTGTACGCGTAATTTCAAGTGACCCTCTCTGCAAAGATAGCCATGTTCGATTCACAACAGAATACTTAAAGCAATTATCCTATCAACAAAGTGGAAGACATTGTTGTTTTTCTTGGTATAACATTGTTTCGTTCTAATAATTTCTATATGCGTTCCTGCAGTAGAAATGCGCAAGTCACTTTTGAGTTTTGTGGAGCAACAAAAAATATAAAAAATCAAAATATTAAACATCAATATCTGATTTAAACTTGATCAAACAAAGCTTTAGGTAAAAATGTGAATATGCCATTGCAATCTTTAAAGAAAGGGCCACGTGATTACGATTATACAGTACCTTTAATACTCTAAATGTGTGACGTGTGAAAATAAATTGATTTTTTCAATCCGATTCGAACATTGCAACTTTCTGAATTTGTATGGACGCTACGTTCTTAGGTATAAGTCGTTTTTAAAAAATTTCACATTATAGACGCAACAGATAGAAGTAAGATTAGTAGCAATCACAATCGAATATTTTTCGGTATAAGTCTATTTTCGTGAACACTCCCTTTAATGTTCTTTTAAAACCCGACATGACGAGCTTTGTTCTAAAGTTTAAAGTTTATCTAGTGATTAAAATATTTAAATTTGTTTTTAGAGAAATGAACAAATTGTGTATAATAATGATAGATTTAGGCAAATCTCTTCTTAAGTATTTCTGATTTATAGTTAAATAGTTCTTATCCTCATTATTTAAATAAGAACTTAAACCAAAAATTTGAAATTTCTCTTCGTTTGAATTAAGCCAAGGCTCAAATATTCAATTTAGGCCGGCGCTCAATCAAGAACGATTTTTTGTAGAATTTAGAGGCGGCTCAAGTTGATTAAATTTTACTGAATCAGAGAGGACTTAACAATCGTCTGCCGATCGAAAGCCAGACCACATTTTAGAAAAATATTAATGCGAATTTGTATCGTTATTTTTGATGGGACAACCTGTAGGTACAATATAAAAGTTATTAATTTGATTTAGAAGTTTTAACATTTTTTTCTTATCATTTTAAATATCGTAGTAAAAAAAGAGCTTACATTTTTATTACAGTGAGAACCGTACAACTCTGTAATAGGAAGACGACTTTGAGTTTAAATATGACTTTAGATAGTTCAATGTACACGAGACACAGAAACTGTGTAGTGTGCAGAGACCAGTGCACTATGTGTAGATTTAATTACTAGTATATAATTACATCAAATACACTTAATATTGTTTCAATGTTTTCCTTTTCCACAGTTATTTGATTCTCTCTGTATCTTATTTTTTGTTTTGAAATCTTTACCTAAGGGTTGCATACTCTCCTTCCTCCACTTTATGTGTTGCCCAGGTTTGAACTCCCAGATATATTTGTCCTTTGAAATTAAAAAAATAAATTATAAAATGATAAAAAAAAACTTGTGAAATTATTATACTAAATACAAAAATTCAGTTTCAGCTCCTTTTAAAAATTATAAACATCATTTCATTTTTAAAAATCAGAAAAAATGTTGTTCCAGATTTAAAGGGACTGTAAACGTTATTTCAACTGACCCTCTCAATTTACCATTGATACCGATTCACATCGGGTTTACCCTTAAAATTGTTGTCAGATTATACCACTATAGTTTCAGTAGAAGTAAATATTTCCATTTACTGGTAGCGCCGATTGAAGGATTCATATCTCTAATTGGAGGATGAGATTGATAGAAAGATAGATATTACCGCCATATTATTTGCATTGGTTCAGAATAGACAACAAACACATATTACAAATATTGTAAGATATTGAAGTGGGTTTCTTGGTGAAAAATTTATTTTGGGAAGAAAAGATTTAATAAAAAACCTTCAGTTGCAGCTAGAGTTTCTCTTGAAAGAAGTTTTCGAAGTGTCTCCTTCAGATTTATTAAAAAATATTTCAAACAAACGCTTTGTAAAATTCATGCAGATTTAATTTTGAAAATAATTTAAATAAAAGTATTAAACCTATTCCAGTTAGTTTTTTCTCTTTAATTAAAAAACGGGTTCCAATAGAACGCTCAAACCCTTCAAAGTTACATAATGATCAAAAGGTCTGTAGATGTTTAAAAATTAAAAATCGCCGATAACTTTTAAGATAAAGTTATGTGTTCAATCTTTCAAAAACGGGTAGGCCTGAAATTTTAGAGAAGTGTCAAATTTCAAACTTTCCTACCTTAACAGCCCCTCTCCGTCAACTTTTTTTTTGAAAAAGTATAGCCCAACCTTGATAGGGTTTTTAATAAAATATATATTGTTTTTTTTGGACACCCAGTACCACAATTATAATTTTTTGGACACCCAGTACCACAATTATAATTTTTGGACACCAAGTACCACAATTATAATTTTGGGACACCCAATACCACAATTATAATTTTTGGACACCCAGTACCACAATTATAATTTTTGGACACCCAGTACCACAATTATAATTTTTAGATATTCAATTTTAGGGGAAAATTTATTCAAGCGCACATTTCTTAATAATATTTTTAGTTTTTAGTTTCTGTTGTTTTCATCATTACTGTTTTCATAATAAATATTCAAGGTCTCATGCTTTGCGGGCCTTGATAATCCTGTACAAACCTTTAGCGTTGGGTAAATACAACAATTTTTTTTTTCAAAATTCGAACAAGATTTATGACTTAATGCTCTTTTCCAAAGGAATATACGAGAATGATAAAAGAAACTTCAAAACTTAAATTTGCTTTTAGTTCGGGTGTTCTTGTTCTTAACTAGCTAACTAGCTAACCTTATTAAATAAAATGTGAGATCGATTTTTTCAACTAAGGAAATTTTTTAGAGGAACTGAAAAGGGCGTCGTTCAGGAAAATAACGAACGATGGATGACCGAAATGGATGATTCATAGAAATGAAAAATTATCGTTTTTAAAAACGAATGCTCAAAAAACTAACGATCTTGAACGAAATTGAAAAAAAAAAAATTTTTTAACAGAACGAACGATTTTTTTCAAAACGTTTGAAAAAAAAGAACAATTTTGCTGAACTTTTGTACAGTGAGAAAACGAACGATATAGATGGATAATGAACGATAATTTTGCGAACGAACGAAATCATTTTTTTAAATTGAATATAACACGAACGAAATGGGTCATATAACGATGAACGAAAGAAATGAAAAAGTTGAAATAAGTTGAAATATTTTCCTTAGAGATGGAAGTCCAATTGTTCTGTTTGAAAATGAGAGGTGTAGAGTTATCTATTATAAGCCAACAAGCTGCGACCACATCATGTAATACATATCTAAATATTTTAGAATATAAATATCTAAATATTTTGGAATTTAAGTATTTAAAGTTTATCTTCTGCCTTTCTTAATAAAGGAGTCTTTACCAGTGCCACATACTCTGATTTTCTAATCCCTATATCTTTGCAACCCGATGTCGTAGACCTTAGATATAGATTAATAATCTATTTCATTATATCAAAGGTTTACATCATAAAGTTACAAAGATAAAGTAATGAGAAAGTTTGAGTTTTTAACAAAGACTAAATTCCTCTTGCTAATCATTAAATATTAGTCATTTTCCAATTATGTTTAAAATACATTTGTTTTTAAGACATTTTAAAAATGATAGAGTTATTCGTCACTAGCGCCAATTTAATAAAAGTCTTTTCATCAAACAGTATAATTATTTAAATTATAAGATTTAAAAGGTTGAAAAAGTCTGTGCGTAGGTTGAATTATTTAAAAAAACAAACAATATATAGTATGCCTTAAAAATTCAGAAAACAACAATGTTTTATGAAGATCAAACCCTTCTAGGAGCGTATACAAGAGGAAGGGGGGGTTATTTAGGGGCTGATCTCTTTCCTCAGAAAGTGAAAACTATGACAGCAACAGGTGCTGAGCCTCTTTTCTACCTACCTAAATCCCTGTTCAATGTTAAAAAGTACATTGCATATTGTCATTCTTTCCATTACTCTGGACAAGCAAGTCTCTTGAAGTCCTAGAATTAATTAAAATTTAAACGAAAAAAAGATTTTTTAAATTAAAGTGAAAATATTCAAGGGACTGTTTTAATTTTAGGTAACCCTCAATTCAAAGCATTACGTACCGGATTCACAACAGTACCTTTTAGCCCTGTATCTGATAAACAATGATGAAAATTTCATCAAATTGTGAATTGTACATGTAACTCTTTAAATAGAGGGTAACTTGAAATAACGTAAATAATCCCTTTAAGAATAAAAAAACAACAACTTATTAAGACCTTTAAATATAGACTTTTGTAAGAGTTAAGTCTTTTTTTATTAACTCAAATTTTCTAATCCCTTATATTTCAGCAACTTAATGGTGTAAACCTTTTATATTTTAAACTTAGACTATTTAAACCAACATAAATCCTAATTCATAGTTTGAAATATCTAAGGTCTACAAAATAGTGAATATTTATTTATATATCCTCTTTGGGTCTTCAACATTGGGTTGCATTACACGTGGATTTAACGGTTTTGTCGATATTTTTAAAAGCTTTGCCTTTTGATCTCAATTTGACCCGTCAAAAAGAACTTTTTAGCCTTTTATCTCAAATACTTTTTTGTCGGCATATACATTATGAATGAAAAAGTAAAGAATAAACAAAATCGCAAGTTTAAAGATTGTTGAATTATGACCAAAACATGCTTCTCACTCTGGTTAGTCCGGGGTGATTAAGAAAAACGGATTAGAAAATACTCAATTATTTTGAACTTTTTCTATCGGAACTGCACCCATAGTGATACAGGCGTAGATTTTGTAAAACAAAGATTTATTATTTATAATTATTAGTATTTGTTCATCACCTTTATAATTATATAGATGAGCTACGTGATAAAGACTCCAAATATCTTCAATATTATCTAGATCTTCAAGTTTTCCAGTGTAAACATAATCTCGGTAAATTAGAATAATTCTCTAAATAATAACATACTTCTTATTAATTTTTAAAGATGCATTTTTAGTAAATACCAGCTGAAGTGCCCGGCGTTGCCCATGGAATTGAAAAACAAATCGAATTTTGAAAAATATGATTCTTGAATATTGTTTTTGATTTTTAAAGAAAAAATAATCGATTTTTGAAAACAAAATTACAAAGGAGTTGAGTTTTTGCCACAAAATCAGATTTTTAAATCCCTGTATCTCTGTAACCCGTTCTTGTAGACCTTTGACATTCTGAAAGATCAAATATCCTAAGTTTGAAATATGAAAGGTTTACAGCATCCGGTTGCAAAGATAAAGTGATGCAAAAACTCAACTCCTTTCTTTACTTCCAGAATAAATTGTTCCTTCAAAGAAATGCAGCCAATTTGGTTCCGTCGTTTTGCCAGCTATAGTTGACATATATAAATGGATAGATGCCTTTAAGTGGAGAAAACTAGATTTATACAGAAAATGCGCTTCATTTTTTATCAATTGTGGTTTAAACCCTATGCATCATTGTTTATACATGGTTGATTTCTTTCTATTTGTTAATTCTTCAATATAAAGGAATTGAATTTTTGTCACAAACTCTTATTTTCTTATCCCTATATCTTTGCATACCTAAGATATTTCAAACTGTGAATTATTTTAGATCAACTAATGATAGTATGAAATATCAAAGATTAATACCATCATGTTGCAAAGATATAGCGATTTTAAAATCAGAATTTGTGGCTAAAAGTCAGTACCTTGATCATATGATGATAAAATTTAAGTAGTAAAGCTAAAAATGTTTCAGGTTTCCTAATAATCTCACGATGAGTCAAACGCCTTTTTTTCAGTCTAAACTGCACAATAAAGGTCAAATGGAATTTTCTTAAAAAGGGTTCGGCAGGGATTTCAAAAAATCTTCATGCTAGGTCTAATAATAGTCTACTTTTAGAATCTTAAAAACCTCAGGTGAGTATGTTCTTAAAACCTACTTTATTGCTGAGGTAAACTGTGATATATGTGTTTGTATTATAGCAATCAGAGATGGATATTAGCTTTTGCTGTTTTGGGTATTACCCCTGCATAATTAATATAAAAACATTTACAATATGATGAATATTAGTAGATTATGAAAGTTTACAATAAGTGAGGGACTATTAGTTAAATTTAGAGAGACAGAGATGCAGCATAACAAAATAATTAATTTTTTTAGTTGTAAAGTTTAGTACGCATAACAGAATAAGATTAAGCATGTACCAATATTTAATTAATATTATATATTTATTTAATTAAGCATCTACCAATATTTTTATTCATAATTTTCAAGAATAGCAAGAGGGCTTATTGCACTTTGAGGTGTAGGCATCAGATAACATTTCTAATAAACTTTTTCAAATATGCTTAACGAGGCACTTCTTTTTATTATATTGTATTCATGTATATTTTTGTAAAAACATATATATATATATCAACCCTTCTTAATATTTTTTCTTTTCTTTTTACCTTTTCAATACTAGGTAACTCTAATGTTTCCATGTGTAAATTAGTAGAGAATTCTTCATTCCTTGGATAAAATAAATCCTAAAAACATTGATTTATCCATTACATCACTCGCAAGTTTAGGTCATACATGTGCTCTTACGATATTATTGCCTCTTCAACGTTTAAGTTTTATGAATACTGATATTTATTTGTTTTTATATTTAAGAAAACATTCCATTGTTGTCATTTCTCAAGTTCTACAAATACACTGGTTTTTATAATATAAAAAAGCAATATAACATTCTCAACGATTTACAGGTACAATCCCCTTTTAACCTGAAACTATCAAAATATCCTCCATTTAATATTCTAAATGCAGGTTTTTTTTTATCTATAGTCAGAAGATGAAAAATCCAGTTAATCTGACGTCTTTACACAAGGAAATAATGCAAGGAAAGTTAATTGCAGTCTTAATTGCGTATACTCTATGTACATACTGAAACTAGTTATCTCTGGGCGGAATTTGTGAAAAAGAACAGATACATCAGTGTTCGTTTCAGGAATTATGAACATTTTGATAATTCATAATAGTTACCGATAACCAGAATATTTCATTGATTTTTTATGTAAAAAGATGGATCCCATGTCAGGCTTCGACATCCGTCTTGTGTTTACATTACCGCCAAGACACAGTACGCTGCAGTACAAATGAAGCGTAGACTTCTGAAATAACTTTCCTTGCATTAAAACCTTGTATCTAGTAATTAAAACGCACAATAGAGGCAGACCACATTTTATAATTGGCAGGACTAGGGCTATTTTGTTAATATCGTTTCATTACTCATATTTGTGAAAATAGATTGTAAAGTGGTCTGATTATATTTTAGATTACTGATTAATCCTGTAGCAAAATTATAGTATGAAAGAAGAAAATATTCTTGGACAGAAATGAAAGTAATAATATTCCTGAATCACGCACCCGTGACCCATCAGTAAAAGTAAATTCAACCTATAAAGTCTGACTGCGTCAACCTTGTTGCACCGGAAGTCCTATTGAGTGTCTACTGTAATTACCCAATGCCCGGGTGATACAGTACATACTGGGACTGGAAAGGTTGACCCGGTTTGGAAGTTCAAATGTACTACGGCTGACCGTGGAATACGCCCCTTTTGGTTCAAACAAAAGAAAGGTGAGGAACACATGTTTTTCGTTTTTGCTTAATTGGGCTTGAATATCGTTTAATTTTTCAAACAAAATTAACCAATATTGAAAAGGAAAGAGTTGCCTAAAGAAAAAAAAGTGTTTAAAGGCATAAAAAAAGAAGCAACGCCCCGACGAAAAAAGGTGTGATCAGAAGAAATAATTAAAATTGTGACGTCATTTGTGGTCAGTACGAAAAAATGGTGTGGTGTGCCTTCCCTCTCTTATGACACATCATATAGTCCCAATCTGGCAGAAGCTTTGCTTACATATATTTCCTTTTAAAACAAAAACGTTGCAGTACGGCCTGACTTGTATATATTTTCATATTTACATTTGTACATAATAGTTGAATTTTGAACAAGCGTCCGAGACCGCAAATGTTCACAATGTTCACAGATTTTGATCAACTTCTGATTCTCGACCAAATGGTTTTCGCTTAAGTGGTTTTCGACCAAGTGGTTTTTGACCAAGTGGTTTTAGACCAAGTAGTTTTTGACCAAGTGGTTTTCGACCAAATGGTTTTCGACCAAGTGGTTTTCGACCAAGTAGTTTTCGACCAAGTGGTTTTCGACCAAGTGGTTTTCGGCCAAAAAGTTTCTTCCTCATGTTGACAGTCCCTTTAAAGCTTTAATATATGGTAGATATTAGATATAAAAGGTGGTTCAAGAAAAAATCTTGGTACGGATAGTTTAACTAATTCTTTATAGTTGAACACATATGTTTAGGGTTGTTAATCGTTTTTGTAAACGATCGTTAAACGATCGTTTTTTGTTTCGTTTTCAAAAATGATCGTTTCGTTTTCAGAAAAAAACGATCCTTTTTAAAAACGACCCACTCGTTTTGAACTTTTAGAAAACGAATAGCGATCGTTTTTGAAAACGATCGTTTTTATTAAAACGATTTGCGATCGTTTTTTATACGATTGTTTTAAAAAAAACGATCTTTTTTGAAAAAACGATCGTTTTTGAAATTTTTTTATTGACAATTATGTTAACGATCGTTAACGAAGGGTCGTCGTTAACGATCGTTAACGAAAGGTCGTCGTTAACGATCTTTAACAAAGGGTTGTCGTTAACGATCGTTAACGAAACGACGAACTTTATCAAAACGGTTGTTTTTGGAAAAAAATTACATGCAACTTTATTGAATGTCGTCTTACATGAAGTTTAACAGTTTTGGGGGAGCTAAAACTCCTTGATATTTTCTTAAAAACTACTCAATGATAAGTACAGATGCACTTCAGGTCGGTTTCCTCTCTTCGTTAACGATCGTTAACGAAGGTCCGTCGTTAACGATCGTTAACAAAACGAAGAATTTTATAAAAACGATCGTTTTGAAAAACGATCGTTTTTAGAAACGAGCGTTTTGAAAAACGATCGTTTTAAAAACGACCATTTTAAAAAAACGAACTTTTTAAAAAACGATCGTTTCGTTTTCGATTTTTCGTCGTCGTTATCATAACGAAACGATCGTTTTTCTGAAAAATGAAAACGTTAACATCCCTACATATGTGCTAATCAAGGAGTATGGAATAAAAGGGAGATACAACTGACACAGCCCGCCCTACCATATGATTATACATGCTTTGCAGACGGTACTTCATTTGAATAAGAAATATTTGTCTAATGTACAATTACCGCGTATACAATAACCTATTCTGAATATTTCTTTTACAAATGGAGTACCCGTCTGAAAAGCATGCATAATCATATGGTAGGGCCGGCCGCGTTAGTTGTTCTATTCCATACTCCTTGGTTCTAATACTTTGCAAGATGATTTGTAAAGCTTTGACATTTAAAACTTTTTATCTTATATAAATTATAGTTTGAAACATCAAAAGTAAACAACTAAAATATATATTTAATAGAAAAGCTTTTTGTCTAAATTAGAAAATTTTCATTTTTCATAAAAGTTTTAGAAGGAGGTTGCACGGCTTTGGTGTTTGTTTCTAAAAAATGTTTAAAAAGAGGAAACTTTTGTACAATTTTTTATTTCTTGAATTGTTTAAGCTTTCCCTTATTTTACCTGAAAATATTGGGAAGTGAGAGAGAGAATGAACCTATTAAAACAACTCATTTATAATGAAACGAACCAACAAATATTTTATCATGATGATTGGAACTTTTTGAAAATATTTAACACAAATATTATTTACGCACTTTGTTCTGAGGTCTGGTTCATTGAGTACAGAGAAGAAGTTTAACTAGTTCTTGCATGTTCAACTACGCATGAAATTTTCATTCATGATAAAACATAGTGTCGCATTTGTTCTAGTTTTTGCCAAATTTATATTCGCGCAAAAGTTTGCACTGTTTTACGCAAATGCTCACACAAACAACAAAATAAGAAATTGAGTTTATGACACAACTCTGATTTTCTAATCCCTTTATCTTTGAAACAAAATGTCGTAGACTTTAGATATTTTAAATTATGAATTCTGTTAGATCTAAAAATAAGTTATGTTTGAAATATGAAAGGTTTAAAATTATATAAGTAGAAAATTTGATTATGTGGCAAAAACTCCGTTTTTTTTTGATGAATCCTTCATTTATTTAAAGCAAAAAAGATTTCTATAACATTTTTTTGGGAAAATTGGAAAAAAATATTTTTATAAATGAAGATTCCTGTGGGCTGGAACAATATCATCATTTTTACATTTGAAAACAACATCTGCTAGCAGGTTTGGATTTAAGTTATATAGTCTTTGACATTTTAAAACATTAAAAAACTGATTATTTCAATTTATACTTTAACGCAAATGTTTCAATACAAAAGAGCCAACCCCATTTTTGATGATTAATCACAATAGCCTTTAGCTATGGCCGTTTCACCAAAATTGTTTCGTTCAGTTGTGTTTTGGTGCATTCTTTTAAATTAACTACAGTGATTACCAGAAAAATCAGGAACAGGAAGAGGACTTTCAAACTCAATTATTTGACTTTGAATAGTCCAATGAACATATAAACCATCAAATTTGCAGTGAAAAAGAGCCAATTAATAAGTTGATTTCCAAGTTACTGCTAAACTAATTGCCTTGTGGCAGCATCAAATACACTTAAACACTATTTTAATGACGTCTTCATATTCCACTGTCTTCTGGTTTTCAATGTTGGTTCAGATTGAATTGAAGGGTCGATGAACTATCTCACGTCGGTTTAAATCTTGAATCACCAATTCAAATCCTTTTGAACCTACTTTGAATCAGTGATTCTTACTTGAATCGGCAGTAGGTAGCTCATCGCACATTGTAAATTAAAAATGCTGAAAGATAGATACATCAAATGCCAATCAGTCCTTTTACTTAAAGAGATGATTAAAAAGTTACTCTTTTAATGCTAAAATGCCTTGATATTAGTTTTTGAAGATTTCTTTCACCTTCCCTCCAATCACTTTCCATTATTTTATCTAAAACTTTCGAAAATAATAAAGATCTAATTAATAGTTCATCAAATTCAAAATTTAATGGAAGATCAAAACCTAATGGAAGATTAAAATTTAAAAATGTCTAAAATAAAAGATCTGGAATAAGAGAATTAAAGATTTGAATACTAATTAAGATACTGCATAGTTTGACTGAATACAGGGATTTAATGAATAAATGGCATGATATCTATGTCAGGGGAGCTTCAAAATTTTATAATTATTATTTCCTCGATTCGAAATTTTGACACAAAAATATTTGAATTATGATTTTTATATTTTATTAGACAAAAAAAAAAGCAAATACATATATGAAATTTATAAGTTTAGTTGGGAAAAAGGGCTAAACAGAAATCGGATTATTTTTTGCTCATATTTTTTATTATTTAAATTTCAAAGGAAAACCAAAAGTTTGAAAAGGACCTGAATTGTATCTGTGTAAAATGTTTCGTGACTTAACTTCTGAGACAGATGAACCTGGACAGATACATTGAACATGTCCGATACTTCTCATATTCATAGTCACAAAATTATATAATTAACATGCAGCATATGTAAAATATTATGTTTTGTGAAATTCAAAGAACGATTTTGAATATCTTATTTTAGAAAAAATACATTAAATTATATTTTTTATTTTATCATTGACTTGAAGATCTAAAAGCTTTTCAGATTTCATGAATGATGAAAAACCAGATTTTGAAATGCTTAAAAGGAATTGAGTTTTTGCCACAAACCCTGATTTTCTAATCCCTATATTTTGCAACCCAAGGTCGTAGACCGTAGATATTTCAAACTATGAATTCTGTTAGAACGAATAATCTAAGTTTGGAATATCAAAAGAAAGCACCTTCAGATTGCAGAGATATAGGGATTCTATTTGATCTACATCAAATTTCAACACTTCTACATGTATCAATTGTAGAAATTGATTTAAACTTTTTATTTGTTAATAAAAAAACTGTTTCTTTAATAATTATACTAATAAACTACAAGAAAAGCCAGAAAACTGTGGATTAAATTTCATCTCCACAGTGGACTGAGGTTAATTTAAATTCAAACCTGACCAACCCCTTGTACCGGTCCTACCTTATCCAATGCAGGCTCGGTTTCAACTTTGATGGCACGGCCAGACTGTTTACAGTGTCCGGCCTTTCACACGCATCTCTGCCCTTTTAGTAAAAGTAAAGTCAACCTATATGAAGCACAAAGTCTGACCGCGTCAACCTTGTTGCACCGGCTAGTCCTGTCCATAGAGCTAGTTACAGTATTAAATGGGACCGGGAAGGTTGACCGACTCGGAAATTCAAATGTACTACGGCTGCCGTGATTATTGGACAATTTGACCTACCTCACTATAGCTTTCTATTCTTTCTTGGAAAATATCGATATACTCCTGGATTTAGCAGTTCTGTCCTTATCACAGCAAGCTTTGACTTTCGATCACAATTTGATCTATAGTAATGATACATTTTTATTTGCCTTTTTGTTTACTTTTTTCGGCAAACACCTTTACAAAGAATAAGTATAAAAATGTTATAAAAGGTTAAATATTGTATAGTTCTACACGGGCAGCCGTAGTACATTTGAATTTCCGAGCCGGGTCAACCTTTCCGTTCCCAGTGTGTACTGTACCTAGCTAATATGGACAGAACTAGCCGGTGAAACAAGGTTAACGCGGTCAGACTTTATGCTTCATATAGGTTGAATTTACTTTTACTAAAACACGATTGCATTAAAATAGAAAATACCGAATTTATACTGATATATAGTTCAGTATCAAATTAAAGTCCTTTAAGATATTTAGTTATTAGAAGAAAATAAAACACGACCATAATCGTATTTTTCTCCGGTCCCCACATTGTGAACAGTTATCCTTATTTACATAATCAAACTAAATATATGTAGAGATGTATTGAGAAAAGAAGTATTCAACACATGATCAGAATTTTTGTTGTATCAACATGTATGCAAATATATATACATACACATATATATATATATCTATTTGTATACATATATTTGTTGTAAAAAGTTGTAATCTCTGTTTGTTTGCTTATTCGATCATAACGCAGGAACCCCTGGAATGATTTGCCTCAAATTTTGATTTGGGAACTCGGGAGAGGCACGGGAATGGTTTTGAGATTTTTAATTGACATGATATACTTTTAATCGGGAAAATAGCTAAAATCGTAATTTTCGACAATGCGAGGGTAATCGGTGGAATTAACTATGATTTCCCTGGGCAACGCAGGGTTCCCAAGCTAGTATATATATATAAAGCAAGAAAGATTGTGTTTAAATGAATAACATTATAATAACTGAAATATATATATGTAAATATATAAATATATATCAAAAATTGATATTTTCTTCTTTTACTTCGTTGATGGTTTTCGTTATATTTACATAATATTGTCATTTTCATATGCGTCAATTGTATCTGAGCATGCAATGAATGAGACCAGATTCTGTACAAAGAGTACATGTTTATAAATATCCGCTGTATTTCACTAAACAGTATAATAATCATAGAGAATAGAATATATATTAGAGGGGAATTTAAAGAATCTCTCGGTATGAATTTGTTCAGTCCCTTTCAGCCTGAAAGGGAGTTCAAAGTGTACAAATCATGTAAATGTTCACAAATTATATGCAGTAGAATACATTAATACAGTATGTTCCCAAGACTATTTAATTCAATTTCGAATTTTTAAAGCTGTTAAATAAACTTTATAATGAATTAGTGAATAAAAAACATCATTTGATTTATAGTTGTAACGGAAAATCATGGTTTGTAAAGTGAATGGCATAGAGTCTATGTGAAATAATCATTGGTCAATTATTTGGTTTTCTTTTAACATTAATTTTAGATTTTCTATAAAATGATATTCCAGGGCCCAAAAGGTTATATAGCATGAATGTGAAGTACACCTGCAGTATGGAAACAGTACAATAAAATGGCCGTTTTACACTTTTTTCTAGGAAATTCCATTCTAATATATATTCAATTCTCCTTGATAATAATATATTAACCTTCATCAATATAATCTGTTATTATGAATTTTTGACCTAGTTGCGTGCCTTTTGCTTTCCATAAGAGCCATATAACATGAGAAGTTATGGTTTTAACAAATGTTAGATTTCAAATCTTTACTCAATCTTTCCTCCTTTTTCCTCTTTTACTCTTATTCCCTACTTTTTCCTTTTTCCTACTGCCACGAAACGAAATTTTCTATTTCTCTATCTTCGCAATCTGATGGTGTAAAAGCCTTGACATTTTAAACGTTGACTATTTGATCTAGAGAATTCGTTAAACGAAAAATCAAAGGTCTACGACATCGGGTTGCAAAGATCAAAAACTATGAATTTCTTCTTAAAGCTCTTCTTTCAATTTTGAAATGTTAATTTTATATTTATATGTTAAGTAAGATTAAATGTTTTGAAAGCTCTTAAATGTAAATAGTTTTACGGTTCTCTCTGCGTGATTAATGAATATTTTCTTATTCTAATATATTTTCTTATACTAATATATTTTCTTATTCTAATATATTTTCTTATAATTAACAATAATTATATTATTAAAGCCTAAGGTTTCAATTGGTTAAAACTACAATCTTCTGAGCGATTATGATACGATTAATACAATAGATAATGATATTAATTTAATAAGCATATATGCATCTTAATGTTAAGGGATGTGATGCTCAAAACAATAATGGTAATTGTACATGTACAAAGTACAATTATAAAAAGATATAAATAATATTATACAATTGTTGAAGAGGACCCAGGAGATTCATTTTACAAGTCAGTTATCTGTGTCACAAGCTTTAGGGCTTTCGATGGAAAAGAGTGGGATAGGAACAAGAAAGAAGGGTAAACATATTTTTAAAAACTTTCCCAAAACTACAAGCAAGAATTTTATTAATTTTTTCAAAATCAAAATGAGTTTTTTTTTCAAGACTTACTTTGATGTTTTGTTAAAGGAAAAATAAAATTGTTTTCATTACAATGGTAGTATAATGATATTAGAAGAATAAAAATTGTAATTGCACAAATTTAGTTTTTTTTACACAAGCAATATAATACAAAACCATATCTTTCAAATATTTTAAAAATCCCTTTGGAAGATACTTGCAGTTTTCTCTCCAATTACATCTAGAAAAAAATTGAGATGGTTAAATTTGTCTTCAATGTCTAAAATATTTTTTAATGGTTTTTAACTCTGCATTAACTAGAACATATTTATTTAATGATACCTGTTTTAACTCTGCGTTAACTAGAACATATTTATTTAATGATACCTGTTTTAACTCTATGTTAACTAGAACATATTTATTTAATGATACCTGTTTTAACTCTGTGTTAACTAGAACATATTTATTTAATGCTACCTGTTTTTAACTCTACGTTAACTAGAACATATTTATTTAATGATACCTGTTTTAACTCTGCATTAACTAGAACATTTTTATTTATTGGTACCTGGTTTTAACTCTGTGTTAACTAGAACATATGTATTTAATGGTTCCTGTTTTTAACTCTACGTTAACTAGAACATATTTATTTAATGGTACCTGTTTTTAACTCTGCGTTAACTAGAACATATTTATTTAATGGTTCCTGTTTTTAACTCTTCGTTAACTAGAACATATGTATTTAATGGTTTCTGTTTTTAACTCTGCGTTATCTAGAACATATTTATTGAATGATACCTGTTTTTAACTTTGCGTTAACTAGAACATATGTATTTAATGGTTCCTGTTTTTAACTCTGCGTTATCTAGAACATATGTATTTAATGATACCTGTTTTTAACTCTGCGTTAACTAGAACACATGTATTTAATGATACCTGTTTTAACTCTGTGTTAACTAGAACATATTTATTTAATGATACCTGTTTTTAACTCTGTGTTAACTAGAACATATTTATTTAATGGTTCCTGTTTTTAACTCTGCGTTAACTAGAACATATTTATTTAATGATACCTGTTTTTAACTCTGCGTTAACTAGAACATATTTATTTGCCAGCGTCGCCTAAAAACAAATTGTTCAATTTTTTTTATAATTTATCAATACTGTTTTACTTTAAATAGCATGAAACAACCAGTTTATTGTTTTCACACATTAAATATATCTATTTATGTCATTGTAATGGTATTATAAGTGCGAAAAAAATTTTCCGGGATTTATTTCTCCTAGTTTGTTCCAAATACTTTTATTTTGATCAAAAACAAACAATAAAAAGTAAAAATCACAGCAAGAACTTTTTCGCACATATGATATCAATTACAATAGCATTTATAGTTGTATTCAAGATTACTCAGCTTATTGCATGAGCAGGTCGATAAAGTCACTTTGTCACCATACAACGGGACACAGTGGGTGGGATAAAAACCCTTTTACGTGGTGAACACTCCCTTTAAATATTACTTTTTTTGTTTCCCTCTGGGTTAGCTTGTTGCCATACTCCAGAAAATAGTGGAATATACCTTCTATCCTCACCAACATTTTCCCTTTAAATATTTCTTTTTTTGTTTCCCTCTGGGTTAGCTTGTTGCCATACTCCAGAAAATAGTGGAATATACCTTCTATCCTCACCAACATTTTCCCTTTAAATATTACTTTTTTTGTTTCCCTCTGAGTTAGTTTGCTGCCATACTCCAGAAAATAGTGGAATATACCTTCTATCTTCGCCAACATTTTTAATCTAAAGAAAAGAGTTAAAGGAACTGTATACGTTTATTGTATACAATAAGTAGCTGAGTGTTTGCCACAAATATCTTTGCAACCTGATAATACACACTTTTGATATTTCAAACTTAGTCTATTTGATCTAACAAAACTCATTTACAGATACAAATAAAGATAAAGAGATTAGAATAGTAGATAGAGTTTGTGACAAGGACTCAGTTCCTTTTTGATTAGTTTATTTTACTCACCGACTTTTTAGAAACGTGTCTAAACTGTTTATAGGACGAGAATTTATTCCAATCTTCTACATTTGAATATACAGGATATTCAGTAGATTCAGGGTGTCCAGGATATTCAGCAGATTCAGAGTGTCCAGGATATTCAGTAGATTCAGGGTGTCCAGGATATTCAGCAGATTCAGGGTGTCCAGGATATTCAGCAGATTCAGAGTGTCCAGGATATTCAGCATTTCCAAAGTGTCCGGGGAGCTAAATAACAAATAAATACTGAACCCTTGATTAAGTAAAAATTCTTTTAACTTTCCTGTAAACTATTTGTAAATAACTAAAATGGAATGATTATGAAATATAAAATGAAATAAAAACTGAAAAGTCAGAAAAAACGGAAAACTAAAAAGGGTGTAGTTTAGAGTTAGATGCCTGATGAAAAATAAAATTACTTATTCAGACAGCTTGTAAATAATGTCTCACTCTGTATGTAAATATATCAATTTATGCTTTTACAAAAAAGACAAATCTTTTGATCAAAAATTTTGAAACTAATAAGAATGATTCATTATTTTATATTTACCCCTCTTTTGATGTTTCTTAGAAAGAATTTTTTGATAACATTTGAAAAATTCTTTGGTTGAATACTGTTTCGAACCTAAATATAAAAACCAAGAAAAAAATAAAGGTTTATTCCAGGAAGATAATATTTATCAAATATAATCCAAACCTCTCTTTTGTTGTTTTCTGGAAACCAAAGACCACTGAACAGGGGAAAGGAGCCTCTCACATTCTGCTGTTTGGATTTAAGTTAAAGGGACTGTGATCGAAATTTAAAGTGATCCTCAATGCAAAGATGGAAATGCCTGATTTAAAACGGTATCCTTAAAATTTGATTAAGCATGAATTAGATATCCATGTCTTGAAAAACTTAAAAAAATTTAACACTTATCGCGTGAGAAAAAGGTTCAAATGGTTTATCCTTATAAATCAGGCATTGTCATCTTTGCAGGGAGGGTCACTTAAAATTTCGCTCACAGTCCCTTTAAGAAATGTTTGAAAATAAATAAAAAATATCAGTAAAATGTTACCTTTCGTTTAGAGTAGTTTGGTTGCCAAACACCGCTAAAGGTTGGATATGATCTTCTAACTTCAGGGGTTTTGGGATCCTTAAAAATTGTTACATTTGTGAATTTAAATCTTCAAAACAGAAAACAGCAGAAAAACCGACATTATTTTTTTTTCATCTGAGAAGCTAAAACTTAAAGGAGCGAAAAAATATCAGTATTAATTTCTTTTCAGATTGAAAAATGAAAACGCCTCCATCATGGTTTCCTCAGATATTGAGGTTGCAACGAAAAAGGTGTACATTTGTAAAACACATTTTTTCAAGATTTTAAAAACGGAGCCAAAAATCTACCTCTCGTTTTACGAATTTTGGCTTCCAAACCCCGCTGAACATTGGATACGATCGAACCAACTAAAAAAAAATCTATAAAACTTTCTATTAAATAAGTTTATCTAAAATATTTTTTTGATTCATAATTCCATCAATGGGTTAAATTGCGATTTTTTAAAATATAACTCTAAAAAAAATGAAGAAGAAAGATTTTCTAACAGGCCAATTTATTTTTGAAAATTTAGATTTTAAAATAGTACATAAAAATAACTTGAAAACAATTTTAGCATGACATTATTCTTTTTTATAAATCATTAGGAAAAAATATTATTTTCAAGTTTTAATTTTCAACCAGACCAAATTGCAAATTTTGGCTGCCAAACCCCACTAAAGGTTGGATATGATCGAACAACCTAAAGTAAATCGACCAAAATTTTCTAGTAAATTAAGTCTTTACTGCCAATTTTACTTGATGTATATTTTCGTCTTCAATGGATTGATTTGCAAAAAGTAAGAAGACTCAGACAAAGGAATTGAGTTTTTGCCACAAACTCAAATTTTCTAATACCTATATCTAGCAACCTGATGGCGGATACCCTCGATATTTCATACTTAGGCTATTTGATCTAACAGAATTTAAAGTTTGAAATATCTAAGGTCTACAACATTGGGTTGCAAATATATAGGAAAGAGAAAATCTAAGTTTGTAGTACAAAAAGACGCAATTCCTTTGATGCAATTGCAAATTTTCTAAAAGGCAAATTGAAAATTGAAATGTTAAAATCGGATATGAAGAGTATTTAAGAACAACCATTATACAAAATGGAATATTTTTATCTATTTCTAAGAAAAATTATTAAACCCTGCGATAAAATGTTATTTATAATGTTGGCCATTCTAGATTTTTAGATTTGTATCCAGACCTCTCGTTTTGCAAGTTTTGGTTGCCAAACTCCACTGAAGGTTGGGTAAGATCGTGCTTTTACAGACTTTTCCATGGCCTAGAAATCAGAAATAAATATATCATTGTTTTTAGAAGCTTTAGATTTTTTTTGAACCTCTTTTTTCTTGTAATTTGAGAACCAAGCTCCACTGAAGGAAGGATAAGGTCTAGGGCTTACTATAGGGTCCTTTAATAGATTTGATATATATATATAGATAATTTTTTATTGGTTATTAAGATTGGTTCTATATTTATACAGACTATAAATACAATGTGTCCTCATAAACATGGGATTTTAGTGACCCTTTCGATATTATATTTTAGAAATAAAAACAAACATATGTAGTTTTTATTTCTTCACCTCTCGTTTTGTAGGTTTTGGTTGCCAAACCCCGCTAAACATTGGATATGATCTTCTAGTCTCGGGGGCTCGGTGGGTCTGTCAGAAGCAAAAAGTTAAAAATAAATATTATGCATTTTTGGTCTCAAATCTCAATGTTTTATTATTTTAAAAAGAAATAAAGCCAAGATGACCTATTGTGATTTTTATTAGTCAACGTTTGAAATATAAAATTCAACACCATCAGGTTGAAAAGATGTTGGGACTAATTAAATTAAACTGTTTAGTTCCAAAAAATGTTTTCCTTAAAATATCGAACATCAATATGAGAAACTTCTCAATTTCCTTATTTTTGGATATGGAGGTTGCTTCTTTTAAAAATTTTTTTTTTGGATAATGAAGATTACTACATTTTTCTTATTTTTGGATAATGAAGGTTACCTCTTTTTTCTTATTTTTTGGAAGCCATACTCCACTGAACGTGGGGTACGATCTTTCAGGTACTTTAGGAGTAGATGACTGAAATTTGAAAAGTTATTTTGATACTTTGTTTGCGAAAATCTATTTATTTAAGTTACCTTTTTATCCGGGTTGTCAATCAAATCATTATACAGTTGAGATACCAAATCTTCTGGAGGTTGTTCCTGAAATATTTACGAGCATGATTAGATATAATTCTCTAAAAACACCTAACAATATCTCAACTCAAAGCAAAGACAACAAAAAAAAACCTGAAAACAAATTTGAGAACTCCCATAAAATAATGTGTACCACAGTTTCTGCAATATCTGAACTACCATAAAATAATGTGTACCACAGTTTCTGCAATATCTGAACTACCATAAAATAATGTGTACTACAGTTTCTGCAATATCTGAACTACCATAAAATAATGTAAATAAAGTGTCTGCAATATCTGATTTACCATAAAATAATGTGTACTACAGTTTCTGCAATATCTGAACCACCATAAAATAATGTGTACTTCAGTTTCCGCAATATCTGAACTACCATAAAATAATGTGTAGTGTGTACTACAGTTTCTGCAATATCTAAACTACCATAAAATAATGTGTACTACAGCTTCTGCTATATCTGAACTACCATAAAATAATGTCTACAACAGTTTCTGTAATATCTGAACTACCATAAAATAATGTGTACTACAGTTTCTGCAATATCTGTACTACCATAAAATAATGTGTACAACAGTTTCTGCAATATCTGAACTACCATAAAATAAAGTGTACTACAGTTTCTGCAATATCTGAACTACCATAAAATAAAGTGTACTACAGTTTCTACAATATCTGAACCACCATAAAATAATGTGCACTACAGTTTCTGCCATATCTAAACTACCAAAAAATAATGTCTACAACAGTTTCTGCAATATCTGAACTACCATAAAATAATGTTTACTACAGTTTCTACAATATCTGAACTACCATAAAAAAAATATGTGCTACAGTTTCTGCAATATTTAAACTAACATACAACAATGTGTACTACAGTTTCTGCAATATCTGAACCACGTAAAAAAAGGTGTACTACAGTTTCTGCAATATCTGAACTACCATAAAATAATGTGTACTACAGTTTCTGCAATATCTGAATTACCATACACTAATGTGTACTACAGTTTCTGCAATATCTGAACTACCATAAAATGATGTGTACTACAGTTTTTGCAATATCTAAACTACCATAAAATAATGTGTACTACAGTTTCTGCAATATCTGAACTACCATAAAATAATGTGTACTACAGTTTCTGCAATATCTAAACTACCATAAAATAATGTGTACTACAGTTTCTGCAATATCTGAACTGCCATAAAATAGTGTGTACTACAGTTTCTGCAATATCTGAACTGCCATAAAATAGTGTAAATAAAGTGTCTGCAATATCTGATTTACCATAAAATAATGTGTACTACAGTTTCTGCAATATCTGTACTATATAAAATAATGTGTACTACAGTTTCTGCAATATCTGAACTGCCATGAAATAAAAATAAAACATAGCTTAGCCCGGTATATTACCGCCAAAAAATTCTCTGAAAACAAGTTTTCGGAATAAAGGTCCTATATTTTGGCACTAAAAAATTCTTTTGATACAAAGTCCATAAACTGAAAAGTCCCTGGAAATAAATTTCTGCTATTTTGAGAATTTATGTTCTAGGAATTTTTGCCAGTATTGATTTCATACAAAAAGTCCTCCTATAGTGGAAAATGGATGGGAACAAAATATGTTTATAACCATGGAAAAAAAGGGACTCGATATAAAAAAACACCCTTGGCTATATTCAATATGCAGATGCTATAAACGTAAATTCCTTTTTATGAAAACGTCCCTGACTTTACACCTCAGTTTGCCAAGACTTTGTTCTTGTTTTTTTTCTTCGGATATATTATCTTCAGGTCTTTAATTCCTGTTTAATCTTATTTTCTAAGACTTTATTGGCAGCCCCCATATTATTTTAGGAAAAATTTCCCAAGAATCTAAAACTCAGGACTTACATTTTGTCCTAGGACAACGTGTATTAACATTCCTCTCAAAACAGGAGTACATTTTATATCCGTGTTTGCCCAAAACTATAAACGAGTGTGCTAAATAAAGAGTGTATGAAAATATAAGCTCTTTGAAAAAGCTTTTGTCCGAAATATCGTAATTAAGAATATTTTGTCCGAAATATCGTAATTAAGATTATTTTGTCCGAAATATCGTAATTAAGAATATTTTGTCCGAAATATCCAAATATAAGAACATTTTTCCCGATTTATCGAAATTAAGAAAATTTGTCCGAAATATCAAATTTAAGAACATTTCGTCTGAAATATCAAAATTAAGAATATTTTGTCCGAAATATCGAAATTCAGAACATCGACATTACGAACATTTTGTCCAAATTATCGAAATTGAGAACATTTTGGACAAAATATTGAAATTAAGAACATTTCGTCCGAAATATCGAAATTAATAACATTTGTTCAAAATTACAAACAAATTAAAAAGCTTGTGAGAAATTCCTAACATTCTGTTCAAGATTTTTAACAAATGTTAAATGTTAAATCTTTGCTCTCGATGTGAACCAATTTCAAACCTTGCTGTAGGAGATTACTACGCCAGGACCATCTTCCTCGCACCCCTCTTCATCACATTCAGCTTCCTCACACCACTCTTCATCACATAATCTGAATATATGATTAAAAAACTTGTATACAATCTTTCTTTCACAATGTGTGTTGATAGAATTTATATATTGGCCTGAAGAGCAAAGTAACAGATCGAGTGGAAATTTCCGAAAATTTTTAATTATTTTATTCTGGAAAAGGAATTGAGTCTTTGTAACAAACTCCGAATTTCTAATTCATATATCGGTATATTCCTAGAGAACGATTTTTGGACCCCCACCCCCCCTCCTATCAAGAAGTGTCTTAACTTAACCTAACCCGTGGCCGCAGCGCTCGGCACCCTAGCCCATCCTAGCCGCAGCGCTCGGCCCAGAAAGTGTCTTAACTAACCTAACCCGTGGCCGCAGCGCTCTGCCCCCTATCCCATCCTAGCCGCAGCGCTCGGCCCAGAAAGTGTCTTAACCTAACCTAACCCTTAATAACAAAAACATAAATAATAATAAATTTTCTGAAAAATAAATGGTCATGTACAAAATTGATAGGAGGGGGGGGGGGTTCCAAAATTCGTTCACTAGGACAGACCCCATATATAAGATTCTAGATAATATAAAGATTAATTTCTAGAATAGTGCAGTTTTACATAAAATAGAAGGGTTCACTTTTGTATCTTCTGAATCAACTGTATTGTAAGGTTTAAAATTGAGACACAGACTTTATACAATGTGAACACTCACTCACGACAGTATCATATTTAATCTCTCTATCTTTGCAACCTAAAGGTGTAAACCTTTATTCATCCTAGTTTTATCTATCAGAATTCAGAGTTTAAAATAGTTCTTCAACATTAGGTTGAATCCCTGATTCAATTCACAACGGTAATATATTTAAACCTATGATCAGTAATGCGAGAAATTGTTTAATTATGAGAATTTCCTTCTTTGAATTTAAATGATAGCTATCTTAATTATCTTTGATCAGAGCTGGAAACTTTAGAATGGTGGATATCGGGATTAATGCTTGATCCACTCTTTTTCTTAATCTCCAGATTAAATATTGCTTGTTTTCCTCATGAATTTCATCTCCAGATTAATTAACAGGTCGGAATTAAGGATTTCATATTTTAAAGTTTTCAGCTCAGGGCACACTCTTCAAATGAAGATTATGTCTCCAGTACTTTTATATTTGATGTTTGTTATGAACAATAAAGGACCTGTTTTGCTTGAAACCTGATGAAAAATGGCAGACTAGGAGCATTAGAAACAGAGGCCATTGTTGCATACCTCACCTATTAAATAACACATACAGTAAAATAATAAAACTTTTTAAAAAAGATTTAAAACTTTTAGCGATATTGTTTGTATGTATTTTATCTTGTTAGAGAAATTAGTTTTACCAGGTAGCTTGAAAATCAATTATAAACTGAGTGATATCTGTGTAAAGGAGTTGATTCTTTGCCACAAACTCTGATTTTCTAATCCCTATATCTTTGAAACCCAATGTCGTAAACCTTTGATATTTCAAACTTATGTTATTTGATCTAACAGAAGTCATAGTTTGAAATATCAAAGGTCAACTACATTGGAATCCAAAGATATAGGGATTAGAAAATCACAGTTTGTTGCAAAGACTCAATTCCTTTTAATAAAAAGTATGATTTATAAAGTAATAGTATATATAATGTTTGTTGATGGCCTATGTTTTAATGGAACCTAACGGCAGTAAGTAAGTAAGTATGCATACACTAGCTTGGGAACCCAGCTTTGCACAGTGTCATATTTAGTCCCGCCGATTACCGGCATTAAGACGATTTTACTGGAAATCTTAATTTTTGCTTTAAGAGTCGACCCATTATTTTTAAAATCTCTAAACTTGCAAAATAAGAACATTCCCTTGGATCTCCCAAGTTCCCCAGACAGACACCCAGACAAACAGAGATTACAACTTTATATATATATATGCATATATATATTTTATAAAGGCTTCTTTTTTAATAATTAAAATGAAAGCAATGTTTGTGAGTTTTCATTGACCTCAGCTAACAAATGTTTACAATTTCTTTTAGAGATTTCTCTCTTAAAATTTTAAAAGTTTTTACATCTTATAAATAAGTTTTTACCCCTCCAAGCCACTGATAGTAAAATATTTCAAAATATTTGATAACCCTGAACCGGATTGAATGAATTTGAACCAGGTCTTGAAACGGTTCAGCAGTATCTTAAACACATGATTTTTCCATGGTCTTTATAGATGATAACTACACCGCAGCTCTACAGATAAGTATTTAAATCGACAGTAGGTAGTTTAACGATCTAGATCAAAATCATTAATTTCGGACCCCCTGAAAACCCACTCCTACCTCCAAGCTAATGTTTGAGTCCTGAGGCTAAAATTGAGATAGTGGAAAAACATGGTATACTCACACTTATATACAGACTTACAGAGCACATCATCAGAGAGGAATTAGGAGATTTTCATGAGTGCCACATCGTGGAGGGGTATTAGGGGGGAGCCTCCGAGGGAAGGGGGGCCATGCGGCCATGAGCCCAGTAGTATCATGTTCGAACCCAGGTAGTTAGCAGAACCCTTCCCGAACCCCAAGGAATCCCAGCAAAAGACGGCTCAAAAAAATAAACTTTTGTTGATAATAGAATTTAAAAAGAAAAAATTTCAAAAATTTGTTACATACTCCTCTAAGCTTAAAAATAAAAATCAATGCTTTTAAACTCTTTTTTGGTGTAAAACTCTGTCTTCTCTGATTTAACAAATACTTTATATGGAATAAGCACAGTACTAAAATAGGTGATAACTGATAAGTAAATAAACTTGCATATAAATGTATTTTGAAACTTATTATTTATCATTCACTTGTGATATACACCATCTTTGCAAAATGTGTAAAAAGTATATTATGAATTATGAAAAAATTAAAAATACCATAATTATATAAATGAAAGAACAGCGACATCGCGGTTTGAAACTCCCAAAATAGTAAAGAAAAATTTTAAAATGTCCTGTCATATTTTATAAAAAAACACATGTAAAATGTAAAATGACTAATTTGTCTCATATATAAAAATGTCATGCACTAAAGCACATCTCTCATGAAAAACTGGCTCCTAAATATAGGAATTGAGTCTTTCCCAACAAACTTAGATTTTCTAATCAACAATCTGATGGTGTAAACCATTGATATATAAAGCTTAAATTATTTTAAACAGAGTTGGGTTGCAAAGATATAGGGATTTGGAAACTTTATGTAAAATATAATTATCATATTGCATGCGGTAAAATTCACAGCGTTATATAATCCAAGCAATTCATCTACAGGGTGTCCCACGAAACATGACAGTATGCAAGACGACTTGAATATCGTCTTGCATCTACAGGGTGTCCCACGAAATATGACAGTATGCAAGACGACTTGAATATCGTCTTGCATATACAGGGTGTCCCACGAAACATGACAGTATGCAAGACGACTTGAATGTCGTCTTGATTTTTGATATAATTTGCTGCATTTATTGGTCAACCTAATTTTAGAAGTAAACTTCTAGAGATAATAATCACAAAATTCCCCTAGTCCTGCCATTTCCAAAATGTGGTCTGCATTTTTTGTGCTTTCAATATTGCTCGAGATATGAACAATTTCGTTCAGATTTCGACAATTTTGCTTTTATTTAACAAAATTGAAATCTGAACCAAACTCTTTATATCTCCGGTAATATTGAAAGCACAAAAAACCCAAACCACTTTTTGGAAATGCCAGGGCTAGGAGAATTATGTGATAATTGTTTCAAGAATCATACATGTTAAAGTAGATAGACGACTAAATGTCATAAATAAATTCATATATCAAAGACGACTTTCAAGTCGTCTTGCTATTGTCATGTTTCGTGGGACACCCTGTATATGCAGGGTGTCCTTTTAATTGTGCCGAATTTGAAACCTTAACAATGAACAGAAATATAGCTCTTGTTACACTTATTCACTGCCATGTTTAATCTACAAATATGAACGTTTTGTTACATCAATTGGTTCAATTCTTTTTCTTTAAAATATATTCAAAAGAGAAAACATGTTCACAGTTGTACTAGAACATGGGCGCGAAGCGCTCTGAAAGCCTAATAATAATAAATTAGACAATCATAGTTTGCGAGAAAAGGACTCAAATCCTTTGTTGTTAGAAACGCGTAAATTTTAATATTTATTTACACAATATATCATATAAAATACGCTATGGCATTCAACGATGAATGTTTATGGATATATCTATTGGAGCAATAGCGTTTTTTGTAGTGTATTTTGAAACAAATTGAAAATTTTTGTTTGCATGTAATAAATATCGGGTAACACAATATTCTGTAGACCTGCAGTACGTTGTGCATTATTAAATATCTATGTTTGTAAACTTCTACGTAAACCCATTATTCATTTGAAGTGCGTTTCAAATAAATACGCGTAGAATGATTAGCTTAATCATGTGATATATAATGACACACTTCTTAATTGAGACTATTTCAACAGAGCTGAATATATAACATGATTGCCTTAATCATGAGATAGAGATAACGACGTAGGAATTGTAATTACGTCTATTAAAGGTACAGACCAGCTATGTAAGGTAATTGAACTAAGTATGCAGTGTTGTGGACAAATTCTATATAATTCATTTGAAACATATAAAACTGTAAATCTGTAAATCCCTAGTTTAAGCGCAAAGTCGACGTTCAAAATCGTACTTTTGTGTGGAGACGATTCGCGCTGAGTGGTAGTGGCGTTGATTGATTAGGAGTTCCATGTCCTAGTTGACATTGACAGTTGACCAGATTGTATCCGGATTTAGACATCGATAGCTAAGTGAAACTGGGTTGTACCTGGATAGATACGGGTTAGAGAAAACAGTCTGGAGTAGGGTAAACGACAGTTTAGAAAACGATTGTTTGGAGATGAAGATGACAATTATAGTATTTTTAATGAAAATAGAAAATTTGAATCTACAAACATCGCTTAACAACGAGAAAAATTTTTCAAATAAAATCAAAGCAAAAACTTTAGTCTTTGCTGGAAAACTATAGGTTTGCCATTTTATTTTTCGTTTTCAAAAGCTAAAAACTAACATCTGGGTAGTTTTAACAATTTGTTTTTTTCTGAAAACGAAGTTAGTTAGTTTTTAAAAATCCAATATGAAACTAAAAACTATCGTTTTAACGATCGTTTTTTAAAAGATGTCCATCCCTAATCATATATACTGAGATGGAATTTAAAGAATTTGAGCCGCGGTTTAAATCTGCCAAAACCCGGTTTAAATTTAGCGCCGGCTTAAATCTTGAAACATTTGATAATATTTTAAGTGGAACCAACCATATTTAAGCCGCGGCTTAAATTTAAACTGCCGCTCAAATTCTTTAAATTCGGCCACTGGACATTAGGCAAGGTCTTCTTATGCTGGACATTAAACATATTTTAGGTCAAGACATTTGATAGACAGAGAATGCCATATGCAAGGGACAAAAACAAAAAAATACATTTTGCAGTATATTTGATCAGACGACAATTCATAGAAAGGTGAAAATAGAAAATTGCAAGGGCATAAACCTTTTTATCTGTTTAACCCTGTACCTGCTGCGGTACATGAAAAACAGGATACGCAGGATACGTTTTGAAAACGATCGTTTGGTTTTTGCTTCTTAAAAACTATCTGAGATTCAAAAAAAAGTTTTTAAACTTTTGTTTCATGATTAACAAAACGAAACCAACGGTTTTCAAAAAAGTCAAAACTGCCATCCCTATATATGAAGTAATCTATTTAAATACTTGGCTTGTCTGTCTTTTGGTTTAACCGATTTTTTGGAAAATCCACAAAAAAAATTATTAAATCCGCAAAATGTTCATAGATAGAACAACAATTAAAATTACATTACATAAGCATACGATTGTCGCAGTAATGATATTAAAAAAACTACAAAAAAATAAAAGATCCTCCATAAATATTATCTACAAAAAACAAGTCTTTTAATAATTGGATTGACAGATATACATTGTTACTTATATAAATGTGCATTGCAAATATAATTTTTACGCATGCCAATGCATGGACTTTTTTAGTATTGATTAAGGCAATAACAGTAAATTCTCTTGTGTGCACGGTGCAACTGATTTTTGGCCAATTATTTAAAAACTGATCTTGATCCTGGTCTTGATCCTGGTCTTGATCCTGATCTTGATCCTGATCTTGATCCTGATCTTGATCCTGATCTTGATCCTGATCTTGATCCTGATCTTGATCCTGATCTTGATCCTGATCTTGATCTGATCTTGATCCTGATCTTGATCCTGATCTTGATCCTGATCTTGATCCTGATCTTGATCCTGATCTTGATCCTGATCCTTGATCCTGATCTTGATCCTGATCTTGATCCTGATCTTGATCCTGATCTTGATCCTGATCTTGATCCTGATCTTGATCCTGATCTTGATCCTGATCTTGATCCTGATCTTGATCCTGATCTTGATCCTGATCTTGATCCTGATCTTGATCCTGATCTTGATCCTGATCTTGATCCTGATCTTGATCCTGATCTTGATCCTGATCTTGATCCTGATCTTGATCCTGATCTTGATCCTGATCTTGATCCTGATCTTGATCCTGATCTTGATCCTGATCTTGATCCTGATCTTGATCCTGATCTTGATCCTGATCTTGATCCTGATCTTGATCCTGATCTTGATCCTGATCTTGATCCTGATCTTGATCCTGATCTTGATCCTGATCTTGATCCTGATCTTGATCCTGATCTTGATCCTGATCTTGATCCTGATCTTGATCCTGATCTTGATCCTGATCTTGATCCTGATCTTGATCCTGATCTTGATCCTGATCTTGATCCTGATCTTGATCCTGATCTTGATCCTGATCTTGATCCTGATCTTGATCCTGATCTTGATCCTGATCTTGATCCTGATCTTGATCCTGATCTTGATCCTGATCTTGATCCTGATCTTGATCCTGATCTTGATCCTGATCTTGATCCTGATCTTGATCCTGATCTTGATCCTGATCTTGATCCTGATCTTGATCCTGATCTTGATCCTGATCTTGATCCTGATCTTGATCCTGATCTTGATCCTGATCTTGATCCTGATCTTGATCCTGATCTTGATCCTGATCTTGATCCTGATCTTGATCCTGATCTTGATCCTGATCTTGATCCTGATCTTGATCCTGATCTTGATCCTGATCTTGATCCTGATCTTGATCCTGATCTTNACACTACGAATAACGGTCAATCGCATCCCAGTTCTTCCAAACCAGGGTTTCATCCAAAATCAGAGAGTTCAGGGTTTTTTTCAAAAGTTATTTTCAAAAACGTACACGAGAACATGTTTTTTAAAAATACCTTTTTCGGGTGAATTTAAAAAATATGTTCTTTGTTGAGATTGTATTTAGCCCTGTTGTGTTTAGTCTGAACTATTTCCTTCTCATGACATAACTATTACTCTGACTACCATCCAGGCCTTTACGCAGGCAACAGAACCAACCAATCACAGGCCAGTTTCCGCGTAAATTCAACCAATCACGAGCCTGGATTTCATCACGAGACTTCATGATTCAGGGAAGAAAATTCTACAATAAAAGTTGTGTTTTATAATTTTTCCCAAAAATGGTTTTATTTGCTGTTTGACCCATAAAAATCGTAGATATAGTGAAAAAGTGTAATTTTGAAGGTCTTTTTCTGTGCGTAGGTTTTCGACCCTGTTGTTGAACGGCTGTCCAAGTATTGCTCTCCGAAGTTCTCCATCAGTTACTCCCAGAAATTCCCATGCTACGGGGACATAAAATTAGTGATATATTGCCGACAGTTTGAAAAAAAAATGATTAATTAGGTTAAAAAATGGAGTAAAAATGTGAAATTTAATCTTAGTGAAATAAAAATATAGAGTAAGTATTCTTATTTGAAATTAATTTATGTTCTTCTTTTAGAAGTTAAAAGTAAAGATTTTAACTATCAACTATCAACTATCAACTATCAACTATCAACAAAAATATTAACCCTAGGACAATAACTGAAATGATAAATATGTTATGTAGTGAGTAAAAATCAATGTTTTCTGTTTGTGGATAGTTTTGCATATTTTTTCTCTTTTCCTTTGGAAACCTGTATTTTCAAAAAAAAATTTTTTTAACAAATTTAAACTACACCATTTATATATGTATTTATATCTTTGTGTGCGAATAAATCTTTATAATGATAATAATAATATGAATTATTTTTTTAAAAGCTTACCAAAGCTTGTTCATTCAAACTTACAAAAAAAAGTCTGAATTTTCAGGGGGATTTCTTTAACAAAAACACTGAATATTGTTCAATTTTTTAAATTTTTTAAATTTTGAAATTGGTTGGTCTAGGGTCAAAAAACAAGTTTTGTTGAAGGCTCTGGTACCGAGTTGACAGTTTGAAAGGTTTAGAGACAAAACTTAATATACAGTAGACATCTCTGTTTTGTCTGTCTGTCTGTTTTGTCTGTCTGTCTGTTTTGTCTGTCTGTCTGTTTTGTCTGTCTGCCTGTTTGTTTATCTTATCATGAAACTCAGGAACCTCTTAACCGATTTGCCTCAAATATTTATTGGGGAACTTGTTTGAACCACGGTAATGTTCATTCCATTGGTTTGGCTTTTTTTGGAGAATGATAAGTTTCCAAGCAAAGCTGGGTTTCCAAGGTAGTATAATATGGAAAAAGTAGTAACTATGTTATCATGAGTCATACGGCTTTTTGTATCGGTAAACTATCTACTATCAAAAAGAAAGAATTTAAAGATAAACGAGTATTACATGTGAAATGCCTGATTTAAGTGTTTGCTCCACCTTGTTTTTATAAATGGGCGCGAGATACGAAGACTACGTATTTTACAGTTGGATGCATTTAAAGATTCTACGCAAAATGAAAAGCGGTTTTATGATAATTACCATAGCTGATATTCCTGTCAAGAGACACTAAAACTGTCTAATATTTTCAAGTTAACATGCGGTAATTTCTTGAAATAAAAACTTTTTCAGCATTGACTTTATTGGTTTCTATATGAATGAAAGAGATATTTTGACAAAGGAATTGAGTCTTTGGAACAAAATCCAATATCTAAACCTCAATATCTTTAGAACTCTGTGTTGTAAACCTTTGATATTTCAAACTCAGATTATTTGATCTAGCAGAATTCATAGTTTGAAATATCTAAGGTCTGCAACATTTGGTTCAAAAGATTTAGTGATTAGAAAATCAGAGTTTGTGACAAAGACTCAATTCCTTTCTCGATTTTTTGTTTAAAGTTACACAAATCCCAAGACGATATTTTTCGATATTAACCGCTTAGAGATTCACACTCTCATCGTGTTCCAGAAAAAAATGCATTTTAGCTAGAATTAAGACCGTTTAAAAAGCTTAAACCATTTTAAGCATTGAAAATAATTTAACATTTTTGTTTGACAGATTGATATTTTGTTATCTTACCATCGTTGTCAGTTTTGAAACCACATTTGTAATGCCCAACACTTGACGTTTTTGATATTTACTGTTAAATTAAAAAAATGAAGATATGTTCTTTTAAGGGAGAGTGAGTGAGTTTTGTAAAGAACAGGAAAAATTGAATGGTTTTTTTCATACTTTTTGCCATAGAGTATAACATGAAAAACAAAATTAACTTATTAAACCAGACTATGTCAGACTTATTCATACAATTTCAGTCCAGATTTAAACAGAGAATATTAGATAAGACATAACCAGACAATATAAGGTCAGACTTAACCAGAAAATATTTGGTAAGACTTAATCAGACTATATTGATTTAGAATTAAACAGATACTATTAGGTCAGATTTAAGCAGACAATATTAGGTCAGACTTAACTAGACAATATTACATAGATCAGACTTAACCAAACAATATTAAGTCAGACTTTACCAGAGAATAAATTAAGTCAGACTTCACCAGAGAATAAATTACTGTTACATAGACCAGATTTAACAAGTCAATATTAAGTCAGACTTAACCAGACAATGAATTAGGTCAGACTTAACCAGACAATACTAGGTCAAACTTAATCAGACAATATTTGATCAGACATAACAAGACAATATAAGGTCAGACTTAACCAGACATTATTAGGTTAGACTTAATCAGTCAACATTAGGTTAGACTTAGCAAGACAATAGTAGGTCAGACTTAACCAGAAAATATTAGGTCAGACTTAACCAGACAAAATTAGATCAGATTTAACCAAACAATATTAGGTCAGACTTAACCAGAGAATATTAGGTCGAACTTAATCAGAAAATATTGGGTCAGACTTAATCAGACAATATTTGATGAGACTTAACCAAACAATATTACGTCAGACTTAACCAGAAAATATTAGGTCGAACTTAATCAGAAAATATTGGGTCAGACTTAACCAAACAATATTAGATCAGACTTACCCAGAAAATATTAGGTCAAACTTAACAAAACAATATTAGGTCAGACTTAACCAGGCAATATTAGGTCAAACTTAACTAGGCAATATTAGGTCAGAGTTAACTAGACCATATTAGGTCAGACTTAACCAAACAATATTAGGTCAGACTCAACCAGACAATATTAGATCAGACTTAACCAGAAAATATTAAGTTAGACTTAACCAGAAAATATTAGGTCAGACTTAATCTGACAATATTAGGTCAGACACATTTCGAAATGCTCATAGAAGTATTTTATTACTGCACATCATATATAAAATCAGTTTTTGTCGAGCTTTTTCTCATTAAATCAGTTATTTAATCTTATTAAACCTCTTAAACTAAACTTAAATTCCCGATTAACAGCGGAACCCTTGAAACCTTCAGATAATCAATCATGTGGATGATATTATCGTTTTATAAGTTTAAGAATGTTTATTTCTGATAATTCCTACATGTTTTCCTGCAGCAAATTAAAATATGCAAAAGTCATTTTTGTAGAGAAACCACAATTGAAAATATTCAGTTATCCAAAATAAAAACATTTTTAGCTCAATTATGCTTCATCAGACAAAGTTTTAACGGTTTAAAAGGTACTTTACCAAATGCATTTTTCCAAGAGCGACTTTCCAAGTGACAATTTCTCAAGTGGCAACTTACCAAATTTACAATTTCCCAAATGACAACTTTCCAAAGGATATAAGTCAGACCTTCATAGGCGCTGCAGGCTACACTGGGACCTAGCGCTGCGGATAAGTTGGGATAGGGGGCCGAGCACTGCAGCTAAGATTGGATAGGGAGCCAATCGCTGTTGGTAGAAGAGACTTGGGAAGTTGCAACTTGGGAAATTGTCGCTGGGGAAAAGGCCTTTGGCAAAGTACGTAACATAGTATTAAAGGGCATAGTAATCTTTTCATGGAGGGTCACTTAACAATTTCGTTTACAGTCCCTTTAATTGATGTTAATTATAGGTTGGAAAACACTGATGGATCAAAACGAGAAATCTTTATTCAAAACCTTTTTATTTCCCTGACCAGGTAGAACAAATTTTTTTTACTTTTCTTATTGTTCCTAATATTGTTCCTTATATTATTCCTTTTATTGTTACTTATATTGTTCCTTATATTGTTCCTTATATTGTTCCTAATATTGTTCCTAATATTGTTCCTAATAATGTTGGTTGGTAAACACTGATGGATCAAAACGAGAAATCTTTATTCAAAACCTTTTTATTTCCCTGACCAGGTAGAACAATTTTTTTTTTACTTTTCTTATTGTTCCTAATATTGTTCCTTATATTGTTCCTTTTATTGTTCCTTATATTGTTCCTTATATTGTTCCTTATATTGTTCCTAATATTGTTCCTAATATTGTTCCTAATATTGTTCCTATATTGTTCCTCATATTGTTTCTAATATTGTTCCTAATATTGTTGAAAATATTGTTCCTAATATTGTTCCAAATATTATTCCAAGTATGTTTCCTAATACTCTTCCTAATATTATTCCTAAAGATGCTTCTCAGGTTGTTCCTAATACTGTTCCTAATCTTGTTCCTAAATTCCTAATAGTGTTCCTAATATTGTTTTTAAAATTGTTCCCAACACTAGTCCTAATCTCGTTTTTAATAAATTGTTCCTAATACTGTTCTCAATATTATTCCTAATATTGTTTCAAGTATTGCTACAAATTTTGGCCCTTACATTGTTCCTAATATTATTTACAGTACGCCTAATATTATTCCTAAAATTATTCTTAATATTATTCCTAATATTCTCACAAAAATTGCTCATCATTTTCTTTGTAATATTATTGCTAATATTATTCCTAATATTGTTCCTATTATTGTTCCTAATACTGTTCCTAATACTGTTCCCAATATTCTTCCTAATATTCTTCCTAATGTTCTCCCTAATATTCTTTCTAATATTCTTTCTTATATTCTTTCTAATTATCTAGTTATCTGATTCGTTAAAGAATCTCTAGCTATGATTATTTGACACTTTAAACTCGATTCAGTCTTTAAATTTATGCAACTTTTCAGAATAGTCATCATCTATTTACCCTCCAATCTTTGTTTACAAAAAATGTGTACTTCACTCCTGTGAAGTGATGTGACCCAAGGTTATAATGCAAGAAAAGTTATTTCAGACGTGTGCGCATCTTTTGTACTGCCTTGTACTGTCTCTGGGCGGTAATGTAAACACAAGACGGATGTCAAAGCCTGACACGGGATCCATCTTTCACATAAAAAAATCAATGAATTATTTTGGTCATAGGAAACTATTATGTTAATTATCAAAATTATTAAATTTAATGCCTTTAAACTCCTTGGATACTGAACGAACACTGATGCATCTGTTCTTGTTTACAAATTCCACACGGAGAGAACTGGTTTCAATATGTACGCAAAGTAAACGCAACTGCAATTAACTTTCCTTGCATTAGAACCTTGATGTGAACTAAATCTGTGTTTAGTGCGTTATAAAATTACTCCTTATGACGAAATTATTTGTTTGTTTTTTTTCTTTCTGAAATTTCATCTTTTATCTTCGTTTCGTTCACTTAAAAATTGCAGGTCTATTTTCGTGTAACACCACCATTTAAACCTTTAGCTGTGTAACTTAACAAACTTGAAAAGATATAGATTCTGTTAATTTGTTTCCTTGGTTCTGCTGTATAATTCCTCTTGTCAATTTATTATCACTTCTAACAGAATTCATATTTAGAAAACAATGGATTGGACAAATATAGGAATTGGAAAATCAGAGTTTTTTGGTAAAACGTTTTCTTTACAGAACAAGATTAAGAAGTTGAATATTTCCTATTTTTAGGTGATGATGAATTTCGACATGGACTGTCTGGTGACTGAGAGTATTGTAAATTCTATCAAACTGACCGAAGGACCGGTCACACATATGTCTATGGCTGTTAAACAGACCTCCAGAACACCATACTCAGACGCTACACAGGTTGGTCCATCATGCTGCCAATCATTTAATTTTTTTTTACAAATATTCATTTGAAGAATAAATACATATATAGATATATATAAATCGGGAAAGGTCGCCAAACAGATTGAACCTTTTCACTAGGACTAACATTTTTAAATCTATTTTTAATGTTTTTTATACGTAAATTATAGATCCGTAGCTCATTGTATAAGTTATTGGCTGTTTGTTTAAACCCTATCGGGACATTTAGTGATTAGGGGTAATTTATTTATCTGAACAGGATAAGGTCAATAATCGAAATTACTCACTTTGTGTCCTCATAGTTCATCCGGTCACATATTAGAAATTGAAAATACTTTTTTTCTTCTCAAAATTGCGGCGCCCCCCCCCTCGTAGTTTCTCTCATTTTTGACACTATCATCGTGAAATTTTGTGACTTTTAATGAAAAGTAATTTAAAGGATTTTTTAAACAAATATTTTTTTAATGCATAGGGTTGGGTACAGCGCGGAAAAATGTCCGGTCTTAGGAAAAAAATCTAAAATAGCCCATAATTTTTTTGTGACTAAAGCTACATATCTAAAAACTATATTTCTGAAAAGCTCTCGAAAAATGGATAGAGAAACATGTGTCACACTTTCATATTTGTTTAAAACAATTTTTTTTTCATTTTTCTGACCCTTTTTTGGCGTTTTTTTCAACCCTCCCTAGCACCCAAACTTCTAAAGTTATCGGTCTATTTTTTTTCCAATGAGCTGGCCTTGGCAAATTGGGCTATACACATGCATTTTAACCCTATATCTATTCTCTAAGGCCTTTTTCTAGGGGGGGGCGCCAAAAATAAGTTTTGAATTTCAGTAAGATTCACGAAACGTTGGGATAGGACGGCGACCTCTAGACAGTCATGTGTATTTCCTGCTGTTATGCAGCAAATAGTTTTTCCAAGCTTGAATATCAACAAATATGAAGTACAATGGATCTGAGAACACTACACAGTTGCACATTCATTGGATTATTTATAATAAAAATATCTGATAGTCGTCTTCCGTTTCCACAGTATTATGGATCTCACTAAATGTATGACATTGTGTTTACTTAGGACACAGGGCATGGTTAATTTATTGAAAGAACGAATATAAAATCAATAGAAAAGTGTTTAATGTTGCAATTTTCTTTGTTATTTACAGACGTCTGTTTTTATCCCCCCCCCCCTGTCTACCCCCTGTGATTGGTTATATGTATGATTTGTAATTTAACCTTCAATATTGTATTTGCGTCAACTTTCCGCGTCAGACAAGAACCGTTATAGGGTTCGCGTAACTGTACACTTATTATTCTTACGAGGAAGTGCGTAACCGGTTGATATTACGGTTTATCTGTCCCAGGACCGCTAGTTCTACTATCTATCTATCTATTTACCTTTCCTTGTTGGTATGCTGGTTATATGGTTCATGAGGTTTGGTGAATGTTGTTTTAATGAAATATAGAATTATGCAACATGCATTGTACACTGTGCAGTTCATTGCATTTAGTATAAGTACACTTCATTTTTGTATTTCAAAAACTTTAGAAATCACCAAAAAAGTTAATATCAATAATAATTATAATAAGTTTTTACATTTTGATGCCACATTTGTGTTGTCGGCAAAGGTTTGTTAGTTTTGTTGTGGTTGAAAAGTTTGTTAGATTGGAAGAAGAGTCATTTACATAGATAATAAACAGTAAACAGTATTTACTTGATCCTTGATCCATCTCTAACATTTTAAGTAAGTCTGAGACGGTACCATTTACCGCGTAAAACTCTCCGACTACATCTTTCCATCCTCAATTTAACGGAATTGTGGAGACGTTCCATCTTCAAATCAAGGTTACCCTCCATTCTCGACTTGCTGGGTCTGATTGGTTCCATCATCTTCCTCTTGGCCTTCAAAGTATTTTTAGAGAAGATTCATCAGTATCTCCCTCTGAAGCTGTGTTTGATTCTCTGATAGTTCTACTTTGCGAGTTCCTGGATAGTGCTGAGCTCCTTTCTCCAGAGTATTTCTGACGAATACAACATATTATAAAGAATACTCCTGTTGCTCCGCCTCATCACAACTCATTTCCGCCATGTGAAGTTTCAGCACAAGTCCCTCCAAGTTTGCTCCGGTTAACCCATGTTTTTGTCAGATAAGACGTTTCCAAACATCCTCTGTCTCTGCTCTACAGAGGTCTGTACCTGGTGGTTTCTTGAACTCCAAAGTACTTTTCTCTTCAGGTTGGTTCCAAGACTGAATCCTTGTCTGTGGATAGATTAAAACCAGTCCTCTATGAGTTCCCTGTAAAAGCCCAGGAACCCCCTTGCCATGATAGACCTCTGGTGGCTCAAATACCTCCGTCTCTGGTACCTCCAGCTTTGATGTTTCCAATGCCTCCTGTGTCTCCGATACCTATGATGCCAAGGTTTCTTAAACCTCTTTCGACAGCTAGAAGTTCAAAGAAGAGGGTTTGGTTTTCTCCTACAGTCCCTGTACCATTCTCAGCGTGGAGAAACCCTAGAAGTTAGAGATATGCCGTCTATTTGTCTTGTTCTTTGCGTTGTTACAATAATAATAATAATTTTAATATTTTATTACAAACCCTTGAAACCTTTATGTGATCCATAACGTGGAAAATAACTTCATTTTTCTCATTCAAAATTTTGTTCATTCCATTCATTTCAAGATATGAGCAAGTCAGTCTTAAAAACAAAAACAATATAATTTATAATTAGCAGACACAGCTGTTATGGGTACCGTTATAATTCATACATGCCACTTTTTGAATTGAATGTCATTTGGAATTTTTTTTTTAATCATAACTACTTTTTTATCATAACTCCTCCCATTAAAAAAGCTGTCAAGAAAAACTAAAAAAATAGTATTTTTTATGTAATAAACTAATTTGTTTTGTTTTACTTTTGCGGAAAATCGAAACTAGAGAAGCTTTGAATTCACAAAGTCGTACCATTAATTATCATTAATTTGAACTTTTCCTCGTATCTAGCGTATAGGATGAATAATCTAAAATATTGATAATATAATTGTTGTAGACGAAGAAGCACTCCCCGAACCATATCAAGAGACCCATGAATGCTTTCATGGTGTTCTCCCACATTGAGCGGAAGAAGATAGTTGAACTCAATCCAGATATTCATAATGCAGAAATATCCAAACAGCTGGGGAAGAGGTAAGCACTTCATCATAAAGGAATATTTATTTCTAATTTTCATAAATTCAAACAATTTACAAATTTACATATTTTACGAAAATGCATGAATTCTTTTTTGGAAAAAGTGTAAATATTTCTATATTTTCCCACTTTTTAAAAATTTCCTCAATTTCTATTAAAAAAATAGATTAATTGGCAACATAAAAAGATAATTTTATGTTAATTTTTAATAGATAAAATATAAATGAGGAATAAATATGCATTTTGTGTTTGTTTTAACGTTATTAGATTTCTTTTAAGTGAGTGCAAGAAAACTTAATGAACTGCACTACTTAGAATCAATGCTTGGACTGTGCCAAGTCTATACAAAGATGGCTGTTCATAAATCCAGTGGAGAAATTGGGCGGAGCTGAAAAATTTGAGATTTGACGGATATTAGCAAGAATGTTTCGAACAGAAATACGATATTTTCTCCAGGAACAATTATCATTGGTTTTCAAAAAAATATTAACTTATGAAAAGAAACATGAAATTTTCAGGATTTATTTTCAGTTTAGGATTTTTTTCTCAAACAGAAGGCAGAGAGATGGTATATGCAATTGTTTTTACAACTTACAAGAAGAAGATACACTGCATGATATTTTCAAATTTAAGAAGATGACAAGAAGAAGCAAGATCTTGTATAAATGGTTAGACAAGAAGGGAAAAAAATTAGCAAATGAAAATTAAATGCTGACAATTAATCTTTTACTTTAAGAAGAAGACAAGAAAATGCAAGATATGCTATATATCACTGCACAAGAAGAACATGTATGCCATACAACATATGACTTTAAGAAGATTCAAGATCTGTTATATGTCACTGCACAAGAAGAACATGTACGACATACAATATATGACTTTAAGAAGACGACAAGAAGATGCAAGATCTGTTATATGTCACTAATCAAGAAGAACATGTACGACATACAATATACGACTTTAAGAAGACGACACGAAGATGCAAGATCTGTTATATGTCACTGCTCAAGAAGAACATGTACGACATACAATATATGACTTTAAGAAGACGACAATTCTTGTGAAACTATTTAAACTATTTAATTCAAAGTTTAAAATCATCTTTTATAAGATATTAACCTGATACTTTTGACGTTTCCCGTATTTGTTTAAGATTTCATCAATGTGGTAATACTAGAATTATAATAAAAAGGAAGTGCCAATGAAATTTATCAATAACCTAATTTTATTTATCTTTAAACTAATATATTTCCAGATGGAAAGCATTAGATGAGGAGAAAAGGAAACCCTTTGTTGATGAAGCTGAGAGATTGCGCCAACTACATATGCAGGTATCGACCCATCCCGGTGTCATGTATAGGGCGGACTCTTGCATAGGGCGGACTCATCCTAATGTTTTAACCATTTTAACACAATGTTAGACATAAAAAGTGATGTTATGACCAAAAAGAATAGAATATATATTAGAGGGAAATTTACTAGAAAAAAGTGTAAATTGGCCATTTTGTTGAACTGTTTCCATACTGCAGGTTTACTTCACATATTTATGCTATATAACCTTTTGGGCCCTGGAATATCATTTTATAGAAAATCTCAAATTAATATGAACCAAATTATGATATAGGCTGGTTTCATAATTGCCAATGATCATTTCACATAGACTCTGTGCCTTTCACTTTACAAACGATGATTTTCCGTTATAACTATAAATCAAATGATGTTTTTATTCACGTAATTCATTATAAAGTTCATCTAACAGCTTTAAAAAATTCGAAATTGAAATGGATAGTCTAGGGAACATACTGTATTAATGTAATCTACTGCATATAATTTGTGAACATTTACATGATTTGTACACTTTGAACTCCCTTTCAGGCTGAAAGGGACTGAAATAATTCATACCGAGAGATTCTCTAAATTCCCCTCTAATATATATTCTATTCTCTTTGGTTATGACATTATCCGATATTTATTAATGTATTGCAATTTGAAAAGCTCATTAAACATTTATCTAAGTCTCGAGAAACTATAAATTATTTGATGATTTGTAAGAAAGACGACATTTTTGCCTTTACCCAGAAAACAAAATGCGTTTTTTTATATATGTCAACTAATAATTTTTAATTATTAACATTGCTTTTTATGTCTAACATTGCAAATTTGTTAAAAATGGCTAAATGGGGAGATAAATATTTCAGAAATAATTTGACATTGTCATGTATCATCCAAGCCCCTTTAAGAAAATCTGTTTCTCATGGGCAACCTGTATATACCTTTCTCCCAACCATAGACGACATTAAAGTAAAAATATATTTTTTGATGTTGTTACAATACAAACAATTTTAGTTAATACTTATTAAATCACTAGTTCAGAGGTTTGGGCCTTTTTATACTGCACATGATTGCCTTGTCTCATGATCAACGAACTATTTAAAGTCATAAATTCAAAAAGTCGTCTTCATATTCCGAATTTTTCTGGTTCTCACTGTATTCTCAATATTTTAGGAGTACCCAGACTATAAATACCGTCCTAGGAAGAAACTTAAAACCTCTCCCGGATGTAATCTTCCGTTGCCTATAAAACAATCGAAGGTAGTTTTGGTAAAAATTGAAAAAATCGCAGATCTTTGCAAAGGAACTGATTTCTTGTAACAAACTCTTATTTTTAAATCTTTACATCTGTGCAACCCGATTCTGTAGACCTTTCATATTTCAAACAATTAATTCTTTTGGATCAAATAGTCCAAGTTTAAAAAGGGCCAGTTTTAGCTCACAAACACAATGGTGAATCCCCAATTTTCGAGTAATAGATTTCATGATATAAACAAATTAAGCAGTTAATATCTTTGGTACATGATGTGTTTTCTAATTATCCAAAAAATTATAATGCAGAAGAAAAGTGTTTTAAGTCGGATGTGAAGCTAAGTTTTAAATTTTTAACTTGCACTAATAAACATAATACGTTAAAAATATGATTTGTATCCAAATTTTGCGAACACTAACTTTAATTTGAATGATGTTTGTTTCAACATCTTGTGAATTAAATTGTAGGATAAAGGACGGTATGGGAGGGATGGATTAATGATTGAGAATAATAATATCAAGAACCAGTTTCTTCATAAAACTGTAATTACCTCTGGTGTTCAGGTGCAGTACTATATTTGCGCCATCTTTATTTTTACTTTATTTTCCGGTGTCTAAGATTTGTTTGAACATTTCATGTCCAACACATTTTCCCGCCATTTTAGTCGCTCACTATAAAGTTATAAACGTTCCAATTCTACAAAATTGTCCCGCCATTTTTATTTATTTTTGCCATTTTATCATACCATATTTTCCCGCCAATTTTTTAACTGGTTGCCATGTTAATTCCACCATTGTTTTGCGCCATTTTTAAAGTCAGTTATATTTCAAACAACTTAATTTTAATCGGTTTACGCAGTTAACTACTGATTTGATTTTATTATGTGATGTGATGTTAGCCATACCAAACTTGGGTAAGTTAAGTTTTGAAAAAGTAGAATTTTAAAATTAAAATTTTTAGAAATTGTAAAGTCGTTTCTAGATATTTGTTTCTGGAGAAAAGACGACAAGTAACAAATAAATACAGAGCTACCCACATAGAATGAAAATTCAACTGTTAAAATAAGGAATTTTAAGATAAAAGATATGAGCAGAAAAAAATCAAGTTTCATCCTTTGTATTTAGCTCTGCTTATTCGGACACTTTTCAACTTAAAAAAACAGAATTAATGATTTTCTAATAATAATTAAATCTGTTTGATGATTAAAGAGCTTACCAACGGGTTATCCTGATGAACGATTGAAGCTGAGGGTTACTATAGACCAGAGATTAGCACTCAGACCTGATCAACACCTCACACCAAAGGTTTTAAAAAAAAACTGTGTGTGCAAATTTAAACATCATTTTATAAGATCAATTTGATTTTTACTTTTTTTTCTACATTTCAAAACTGAAAATTTGCGTTAAAAAAATAAATATTGTAGGTTCCAAGTTCCCCCACATGTAGTTCTCCGGACCGTCCAGAATCATTTTATGAAAACTTTTATAAACCTCAACCCTGGTATAGCCAACCCTCTTACTCACAGCAGGTTACCAATCTAAGAGACATTGCCTACGAAAAACATCGCCGAATTTTAAAGCGAATTTCCAGTTTCAACCTTAATTAAATGAATTGTAATTTTCTCCTTACAAACTTTTTATGATTCTTGAAAAATTTTAAAGTTTAATTTTATTAAACGTCACCGTAACTCTTGAAAAGGAGAATCACTTAGAATTGATCAAAAAATCGAAATTTTTTTATACAGGGAAACTCCCGCCTCGTTGTTCTGAAGCCTGAGAATGATCAAGTGAGTTATCTTGTGAAAGCAGAACCAAAGATTGAACCTGAAGACTCCCTTGCAGATCTAGAGGGGATCACCGATTTACTGCCGATCCAGACAGGTATAATAACAGGGGATTATTGATCTTCTACTCTACAGATCCAGACAGGTATAAAGGGGATTATTGATCTTCTACTCTACAGAGGTATAGAGGGGATTATTGATCTTCTACTCTACAGATCCAGACAGGTTTACAAGGGGTTATTGATCCAATTTATTTATGATGTTACTGCAAAACCAAATTTTTGGTTTAAAAAAATCAGTTCTTAAAATATATCGTTCTTCTAGGCTTCCGTGTTGACTTGACTTCTTTGAATGACCTAGACAGCTATAGAGAAGATCGGTCAGCTCGTTTCCAGCAGATAGATAGATACAACCAGGCATACTCAACAGTATACAACCATGGATGCTACTAGGCCTTCATTGCGCTTCACGCCGCGCACAACTCTCTCACAATTTTTTTATCATTTTTTAATGATTCAAAATTTTAAGGTTTTTTTCTGTTTTTAATGTTAGCTCAGGACTTTACACGTGAAGAATCTATACAGCCGATTTGACGTTTACTGAATACAAACAAACAGACAGACAATAAAAATATATAAATAGATGATATGTGTCCATGTCTAAGGAATATATTTACAAACTGAGAATAACTGTCAGCAACGAATTCTCAGATTAAGTCTGTATTTAAAATCTATCATTTCACTTTTCAATCAATTCTACAAAAGTTTCTCAGTTTTGACCGTAGTTAGAAATTGTGAGTTTGATACAAGAGTATGGGTAGAAATGGTTGAGTGGACGGGAGGTGGACAGATGGGAAAACGCGAGCGTCGCGAGTAACAATAGCTCACATTGCTCACATTTTGACTTCAGCACAAATTCAGGTCAGTTAAAAAAAGAATCACAAATAATATATCTACTTATTGAATAAATCAAATTATCTCCAGAATTTAACGCTGAAATACGATAAAGCTGGAGTTTTCTGCGCGCAAATTGTTAATATTAGCTTTTTACATTATTTCTAAAAGATTCATTCTTGTAAAATGATCTGATTAGTCCCGAAAATCGCAATTTAGAGCCATAAACGATCCGAAATGATGTGGGGCACCCAGTACTATCTATATTTTGGTATGATTTGTTATTATTTAGAAGAGTTGTTTCATCAGATTGGAATCCCGGATACCTCTGCTTCTGACTTCATCACTCTTTAGAAGCATTGTTATGTTAAAAGAAAACTTTCTTAATAATAATTTATAATTCTCACCATCTTTATAAACCAAGACAATCCAATAGGATCCTTATCATCAAGAACAATCCCAATCGCCCTAAAGAGTCCTAATCACCCTGAAGAACCCTAATTACCCTGAAGAATCCTTAGCACCCTGAAGAACCTTAATCACCCTGAAGAATCGTTATCACCCTAATGAACTTCAATCAACCTAAAGAATCGCAATCACCCTGAATAATCCTAATCATCTGAAAAATTAAAATCTCTCTAAGAAATCACATTCACCCTGAAGAATCCTAATCACCCTAAGAACCCCAATCACCCTGAATAATTCTAATCACCCGAAAGAATCCTAATCCCAATAAAGAATCCCAATCACCCTAAGAATCTTATCATCGAAACAAAATGCCCAACACCCGGAAAATCCTAATACTCCTAACAACAAATACTATATCGATATAGGATTTTACATATCTATGATATTATATCATATAATGTTCACTAGATTTAACTTGAAAAATGTTTTCACCAATTCTTGCCAGATTCTCGACTATTAAACTTCTCTCTTTAAAGTTATTATCTGATTTTTGATGTATGCTTTACGTAAATCAGAAAAACTGTTGGTTCGGCGATTTCGCACAATTTTTGAAGCAAACGCGCAGTTTAGAGTGAAATTTGAAATTTACACATTTAGATGTGGAAAAATTCAGTATTGGTTATAAGCTTAAATTATTTATATATTTATTTATTTATTTATTTATTTAAATCTAGTCATAATTTGTTTAAAATGTTGTTTTTTCAAAAGTATATTTAAAATTATAAAGAGCCCGCGTGAAGCAACCCTGTATTTTGTATCCAATCTTCAGAAATATATTCTTATAAATAGTTATTTTTAGAGTTCATTGTTCAAAAGAATTTATTTCATAAATGTCGTCTTTTCAGTTAATCGATTAAATATTTGTTCATGTATTCTATTATTGTTGTGAAAAACAAGAAGAAAAGGAGTAAAGCCTTTCAGCCTTTTAATCATAGAAAGGCAAGAACGATACACAACGATAACCTTTAACCCATTATCGGAATAAAAATTAAAAAGATACCGTAATTTTTGTTCTTGAAAAGTTATATATTCTTTAAATTTTTTTTCTTGTTTATGTTGCATAAATCTGCGTAAATGTCCAACATATTTCTCCTAAATGCAGTGGCATCATGAAAAAAGGAGTTCGACCGGCAATGTATGGTACTTGAACAGAGAATATAGTATTGTAGAGAAATTTTTAAGTTTTAATGATATATAATTGCTGAGTTCGATTTTTCAAAATTATTAAATAACGAATAAACAAAATGTAACAAAAATTCTACTGTAACCTAATAAGTTATTTAAGAATAGGTTGAAAAAAAAAATTAACTCTCATCATCGAAAATAAGTAATCTTATTCAATTATTGCTTTCTGTAATCTCTCATTGTTCACAAACTTTTTCTGTACATTTTCTGGAATTTTTATTGAAACGACAACATTTGAAGAATTTGTAGAAATCTGCAAACAAATCCGTAAAACATGAGAAATTCAATATGATGATGAAAGAAAAATATTTGATTCTAACAATGATTTATTGAGAAATATGCTCCTAAACATCTATTTAGTTTACTGCAGTAGAATTTTCAATACATTTTTTTGTTGTTGTTTAATAATTTAAAAGAAACAAGTCTCAAAACGTAACCATCCAAATGGATAATTTTGAACGTCGACTTTGCGCTCACAATCACTAATTATACATCATTCACACATTTTTAATATTTCAAATGAATCCTAAAATAATTCTCCACAAAACTACAATCTCAGTTCATCTATATTATCGATCTTTCTTCAAAATCCCAGGACTTACATAATTTAACTAAAAAACTGAAATATCTTCAGCTAAGGGTTGCAAAAACTAAAAATAATGATTTAAGGAACTAAGGTTTTTGCCAAAAACTTAAATTTTATAATCCACATACCTTTTCAATCTGCAATGGTGTAAACCTTTGATGTTTCAAACTCTGATTATTTGATCTAACAGAGTTCACAGTTTGAAACATCAAAGGTTGCTGTAACATTTGGTTGCACAAATAGGGATTGGAAAATTGGAGTTTGTGGCAAAAACTCAGACACACACAAATTGTACTTAAACCGTTTATTGACCTTAAGTGATTTTAGTTACTTAATTTTACTGATCATATATGTAAATTATAGACTATAATATCCTGCTCTATCCTTTCCTGCTTTATCTTTTCCTGCTCTATCCCTAACTTCTTAATTTTTTTAATCTTTACTTTCTTGCTCTATCTTTTTCTGCTCTTTCCTTAACTTTATCTTTTCTTAATCTATACTTTCTTGCTCTATCTTTTCCTGCTCTTTCCTTAACTTTATCTTTTCTTAATCTATACTTTCTTGCTCTATCTTTTTCTGCTCTTTCCTTAACTTTATCTTTTCTTAATCTATACTTTCTTGCTCTTCTTTTCCTGCTCTTTCCTTAACTTTATCTTTTCTTAATCTATACTTGCCTGCTCTATCACGAAATACTCTATCCTTTCTTACTGTATCCTTTCTGTTCTCTTTTTTCCTCCTCTTTCCTTTCCCTCTATCCTTCCACGGGGTCCGGTTCTTATTTTTAAAATGTGCAATTCTAATAAAAAGAAATCAAAACTTTTGTGTTTCATTCCTTTTCGATCTTTCGTTATTATTGAAGAATTGGATGCGTTCGATTTTTTTAATTTGATCGTAAATCGTTCGTGAACGACCCATTTCTTTTGGTTCCTTTTTTTCAATCGCTTAAAAAAATTTATTTCGTTTGTTCTCATAATTATCGTTCATTTTTTATCTATTTCGTTCGTTTTCTCATTGAACAGTCAAGTTTTTTTTTCAAAAATTTGTTGGGAAAAATTGTTCATTCAGTAAAAAAATATTGTTTTAAAAAGTTTTTTTTTTGCGCTAATCTTTATTCATATATATAATATATAATCAATAATATATGTATATATATATACAATCAATTTATTATTTAATCAAAAACAGAATTACACCCTCAGGCACGGCGTTTCATTGAGTTGAAATAATCTTCATTGAGGTCTGTTCTATATATTATAAAATGAGAAGCTACCAACTATATATTATAAAATGAGAAGCTACCAATTGGCCAGGGATAATATGAAGACTTATATTTTACTGCAGTTTCTTAGTTATATTTTTTATTAAGATTAGTTTTGAAATTTAGAAAATCCATTATTATCATCAGTTTAACAATGCTTATTAACTGAAGAGGAGCAATCCGAAAGAATTTGTATTCATAAATATAAAAACTGAGAAATTGATCTGATTATTGCCATATCAAATTGTGAAGTAAAATGGAAATGTATATAATATATATATATTATATATATAACCTGTTTATAAAAGGACCTGAGTAGTCACTGGTCAGTATGATCAGTGATTTTGTCCAAAACATGTATTTACAGCTAAATTCATTAGACGCCGAATGATGATATAAAAAAACCATAATTTTATTGTCTTAGCACTCTCCTTTTTGACACTATCACCGTGAAATATTTTGACGTTTATTTTTTTTTATTTCTTAATTTTGATAGAAATCTGAGGAATTTTGTGTAAATATTTTTATTTGGCACATAGTAGGGTACAGGGCTCTTAAAAATCCTGTCAGTGTAAAAAAAATCTATAAAAGCCCATACCTTTTTTTTGACTAAAGCAACAGATCTAAAAACTATATTTGAAAAGCCCTTGAAAAACGGATGTAGAAACATGTGTCACATATTGGTTTTTGTTTAAAACAAAAAATAATGTTTCACATTTTGTTTACCCTTTTTTGGCATTTTTTTAACCCTCCCTAGCACCCAAACTATCAAAGTTATCGGTCTAATTTTTTTCAAAGAGATGGCTTTGAAAATTGGGCTATAAACATGCATTTTAACTCTATCCCTATACTCGATCTAAGTACTTTTTCGAGGGGGGGGGGGCGGGCGGGGGACGCTCCCCCCCTAGACTATACATTGATTCAGAGGAAATAGAACAAAGAGTCAATATGTCTAATAATAATCCGGTGGGACAGCATGCTTAGCGGGTTGTTCGTTTTTAAAAAATCTGTCCACACGTGGGAGTACACGTTAACACTGAGGACTTTGGTATATCTCATGTTACCCTTACACCCCCATCCTCACCCTCCTACCCCCTAACATACATCACGGGCAGATATAGTGGAACTCAGAAACTGCTTTACTGTGGAATCTTAATCAAAACTTTCTGAGAGAGATCATTATTGGTATCATGGGTGTTCTTATCCTATATGGGATAAACCTAAATTAACCTTGAACCTATCCGAATAAAGTCAAGGCTAGGAAATCTTTTAAATTACTTTCTAAATTGGTGCAGACACTGATACATGCAACTCAATGCAGCTGACAAAGGGAAGTTCTCATTACAAAACTTCAGCAATAAACCTGCATAGATGGCAAGTTTCAATTTTATTTGACTGTTCATAGATTTAGTGGAAATCAAACACAACTGGAAAAAATGAAGAAACACGAAACTGCATATTGGCCATCCTGGGGGGGGGGGGGTATGCAGCTAATTGAAACAGCAAAACAGGACAGCCAGATAACAAGAAGATTGGAAAAATGATTATTTGCATTCTGCATTAAATACATGCATCAATAGGCTTGATTCATAAAAAATCTGGAAAAAATTTAAAAATCTAATTGTTAAAAATAGATTAACACCGTTTGAATTGCGTATGAGCAGTCTGTGTTAGTCTGTGATTATAATATTTAAAACGATCAGTTATAAATATGTTTGGATGATCTATGATTGAGTGGTATATAATGTAACTTTTTGAATTTACATCTCCGCTGTTGACCGGAAGCGTTTTCAATAATTTCCTCCTTATATGTATATAGAAGTATAATTATTAACGAGCAAATCCAAATTTGATTCGGAGACAGCCTATACCCCTTACCATATTTTGAAAACACTCCCTTTATTGTACGTATTTAATGTAAATATTTAAAAAGTTCTTTGCTCAACTTATTTTCCCTTATATTCAACATTATTTTGATCTTTTCAGACAAATATAGAATAATGTTCAACTCGGGCCGTAAAAGGTCAGTAGAAAAATAAATAAAATTTCATCTTGAAAACAAAATAATAAAAACCTATGACTGTTTTTTTAATTAATATATCTTACCCTTTAGAATTACGTCGGTGGTTTCTTCAGTTCTTCGATCCTTCAATGGAACCTCTAAACTTCAAAAGGATTTTTTTTTTGAAATATTAATACATATTTTATTTATTCCGCTAAGAGAGTAACAACTCTAAAGAATACTTCAAAACCCCCAATTCCGAAATTCTTTAAGAATTTCCGCACCGAATGGGACATATTTAAGAAAGCATTATTACATTACCATTTTTATTTTTAACAAGGGTCAGTTTAAGGAGNCAATATCTGAAATTGCCTTCGCAAAATATTTTTATGACTGGAACCATAGATTTAATTTCTAAAAATTTAACAAAGAAAAAACATCAGGCTAAGGACACTTTAAACAAGGTGAGGATTACTTTTTTATCATTTTATTCTATTTTGAAACAATTCATGCATTTTACAAAAACTGTTGACGAACTGTTAAAAGAAAATAATCGTCTTGTTAAAATACTCATAAGATAAAATTTCCAACAAAAAAGATTTAAATTCCTAAGGGGCTGTTATTAATAACATTTTGAATATTTCTCTTTATTTAAAAAGTTTATCCTTTAAACCTCTTTACATCAGAAACATCACTAAAAAGGTTTTGTTAACTTTACCAAAAAAAAATAATGAAGGGTTTAAAAATACAACTTTTGTTATTTTTTAGAACAAAACAAGGGGAAATAATCAGTGTTCGATACATTCTAAAAAATGTAAAGTATTATAAAGTTTTCAGCTGTTTATTATTATTTATAAAATTCTTTGCAAGTTGCTGGATAAATAATGTAAAAAAATACTTTTTCTGGCAATTTTTCTTTTTTTTAATTCTGTGTAATTTTCACTATAATAATTTAATCTTTATTTTTTGAGACATTTGACTTCGAAAGTATTTTTTCGAGAATTATTGTAAAGTTAAAATCTTGTTTCATTTACATTTAATGTTAATAAACTTTGCCGTTTTACAGGGTTACCTACAAAAGATGAGACTGTAAAGACGATATAAAATTCTAAAAATCAAGTCTGCAATTTTTAAATATAGTCTTATAATAGTTTAAATGAATTAGCAAAGAAATAAATAAGTCTACATTTGCTGGAAATCATAAATATAAAGAAATAGTATGTAAAAATTCGGTACTGTCGTCTTTGAAGTCTTATCTTTAATACCTCTTCATGTTCGAGAAACTTCTCGGTGTCAATTTGAACTTTAATCTTATCACAGAAAATATAAAATAATAATCTATTTGTTTTTAGCCTGTTCATCAGAATGATCTGCCTCGGGTTGGAGGTATTGCAACCTTCATGCGTCTTCCATTTCATCCTACTACTGAGGGACTAGATGCTTGCTTGGTAAAGTACAAATAATGGTTTTGTTTCGGGGTTTGTTATTCAACAGCCAGGGGATATTTTACTTTACAGATCTAAACTGCAGATTGCTATATTTGAAAATGTTAACAGCAAGGGTGTGATGCAAGGAAAGTTAATTGCGGTCGTGTATACTCTGCGTACATATTAAAACCAGTTCTCTTTAGGCGGAATTTGTAAACAAAAATAGATGCATCAGTGTTCGTTTGGTATCCGAGGAGGATAAAAGCATTAAATTTAATAATTTTAATAATTCACATAATAGTTTCCTATGACCAGAATATTTCATTGATTTTTTATGTGAAAGATGGATCCCATGTCAGGCTATAACATCCGTCTTGTGTTTACATAATTACCGCCCAAAGTCAGTACATCTGCAGTACAAAAGATGCGCACACTTCTGAAATAGCTTTCCTTGCATTACATCCTTGGTTAACGGTAAGTTTCCTTAAATTTTACACATTAATCGGCGTTTATATCAATACAATGAAGACAACTTTTTAAATATACAACTTGAAATATGATAAATATCACAAATACTTCAAATTAAGCTTAACGAACTCAATAACGAAGATCATCTCTAGATACTGCTAAATAAGCCAAAATAAGGGCATCTTTAGTTAAGAAATTTTGAAATATGCATCTCTTATTCATGGAATTGTCAGAATACCACACCTTAAATAGAGGGTCATTTGAAATTCCGTTTACAGACCCTGTAACCGCCGGGTTCCCTTTTCTTATTTAACCCTATTCCATTGTGCAGACATTTTTCCAACATTTCCTACAGGGTGTCCCACGAAACTGATCTCCATCTTGTGCAGACATTTTTCCAACATTTCCTACAGGGTGTTCCACGAAACTGATCTCCATCTTGTGCAGACATTTTACCAACATTTCCTACAGGGTGTCCCACGAAACATGACATTTAAGAGACGATTCGAAAGTCGTCTTTGGTTTTTGGAAAATTTGGCCGCATTTATTGAAAACCAATTAGAAACAGAATTTTTGAATTGATATTTACAAAATCCCCTAGTTATGCTATATTCCTTTTTTGTGCTTTATAAAAGTCGGAGATATGCTATTTCAACATTTTTAGTTTAATTTAAAAAGTTTAAATCTATACTAAATTCGAATATATCCAGTATTTAAAGCAAAACAATAGCAGAACACATTTTGGAAAGACCAGGACAAAAGGAATTTTGTGATTATTGTTTCAAGAATCAAGTAAAAGTAGATTGGTGAAAAAAGCTTCAAATAAAGATCCCAGACGATCTTTAATTCTTCTCTTAATTATCATGTTTCGTGAGACAGTATGTAGCGGCATACAATTAAGCTGATAAAAATAGTTATTAAAGATATTAAAGACGACAAATATTACACTTTTAAATGGTTATTTTTACAGTGAATAGTTCAGAATTTTAAATTCTAAAACAATTGCACTGTATCAATTTGATAGAATCTCTATTAAAAATTTTAAATTTGAGCTAAAAATCAAGAAATGTGATTTTGAACAAAAGTCAAAATGGTTTTATACATCCTCTGTTTCATGAATTAATTAATATTTTTTATTGTCTATTGAAACCACTTTATCAAAGTAAATTTGAAGGTTGGAGTTCCTTTGGATACTGCCACCTCTAATCGTCCAGGAACAAGGTATTTATTTATTTGGAAAAAGATCATGAAACCTTAACCTTTTAAATTAGAAACTCAAACTTTCTAATTCATATATATGTTTTAAACTGATGGTGTAACCATTTGATATATCAAACTTAGATTATATGATCTAACATATTTCATAGTTTGAAATAGCTAAGGTCTACGACTTTGGGTTGCAAAGATATAGGAAGGATAAAATAATATAAATAGGTTTGGTCCTCGTCAAATAAGAACTGAATCAGTTATGGTTCGACCAAGAAATCATGCAACAGGAGAGAACCCTTTCAATAGAATCCAGGTATTTTACGTATTTGAGAAAATGTCTAACTACTGTTTCAAAATAATATTGTTGCTGGGCTTTTATTGACGCCTTTTTTGATAGAAACCGTTCAGCCACCATTTTCGTACGTGAAAAAAACAAAAGTTTCGCACGATATTTTGTTTACATGGATGGAATTCTTTTCAAATCGCAATTTTTCCAGACAAAATTTTTCAACATCGACCCGATAAAAACCTTTCCTGTGGTCATCGTGAGAATCAATACAACAAATTGAGCCTGCATATTTTCTGTCATTTTTAAAGTTACTTGGATACTTAAAAACCAACATCAAAATATATATATGGTACTGGTATAAACATCGGACCCACAAACGCAGGACGGAAAAAAGGTCGGACAGTACATATTTCGGACTTTCAAACGTATAAACGTCTGAATTCTGAATTTGATCAAATTCAAACGTCTGGTGCTATATCATGGAGGTTTAAGATGGAGAAAGAGATGTATAATTTTTAAAAAAACGTATTTTAAAAATCGGATTTAAATAAGAAAGCAGCACGTCAGAAAAATCCCTGGAATTTTATTTGTGATTCTGAACTTATCATTTCGAAAATTGTAAAATTCATTTGTTAACTTGTAATTTATGATTTTGCAATAAAATATTCTTTGGAGGAAAGAAAATGTGGAACGAGCGGTTTTGTGACAACCCCCCAGCGTATCCTGGTTTTCAAGTACCCCAGCGGGGATAGGGTTAATATCACTTTTTTGTCTTCACCAACTGTAAACACACATTTTGATACGGTTTGCGTTTAATCACTACAACGAAGACGACTTTTTATTTAAGTTTTGATTCTTAACAAGGTTTTTTCGAATTACAACTTTGCAAGCAGTGAAAAAAAAACTTTTTCTAAAAGATAATTTTTCTTGACTTTTATGTTTTTGTGTATCCATGCTGTTTAACAGCTAAGTTTATATGAAAATTCAATTCAAAAGTCGTATTGATATGATCGCCTACCACTCTAGAGCAAACAAATATATTTGCCACGGCAAACATTTTTACCCAAAGAATGTGATATAAGAGGTTGAGTCAATTTTTGATTAGAAAAAGAAAAAAACATAATGTCTTGTTCTCAACTTGTCGTAGAGTCTTGAGTATATAGATTGCGACCGCTTCTACAACCGCTACCGCTGATTTTTTATTCCAAAGTATATATCACTGATAATTTTGAATTTTGAGAAAAAAATTGTAATTTTAAAACAGTTTGTAATTTGAAAAAAAATCTTTTTTTAGCAAAATTAGTTTGGATAATATTCACGAACAGTCCTTTTAAGATTGGAGATATTGGAGATGTGCGAGCTAACCTATACAACACACCTAAAGCCTGTGAGGAAATAACCCAGCAATATAGGAAAATATTTAAAAAACAATCCACAGACATTTTTCTTCAACAGATATTTTTTTTCTTATTCTGGTAAAAGAATATTTTTTAGGTTAATGAATATATTATCAAATTTATGGTTCGTTTTATTTAATAATCATAATTTTACCAAATTGTAAACCTATAGACATTTGTTAATCTATTATTTTTCAACTAAAATTTTGCATCATTAAATAATGATATGTATCAAACTACAGGGTGGGTTTCCCACTAAACGTGATACTTTGAAAGTACACGTTTATTGCTGAACACCCTGTAGTTGAAGTATTTCTTATTTTATGAAGATCAAATTAAGCATTCATCAGAGATATTGTGAAGAACAAGTGTATTCCTGTTACATTAGGTGGAGACCACTTAATTACGTATCCAATTCTCAGGTGAAACAAACATATATTTAAAGGAAGTGACCGGCTACGTACTATAGTTAAACTGAGTATGCAGTGTTGTGGAAAACTACTTTCGGATTCATCTGAGACATATTAAACTTTTTAAAGATTTGAGTTTGAGAGCAAATTCGACGTGGGGTGGATACGTTTTCAGAATTATTCCTATATCTTTTTAACCTGATGGTGTAAGCCTTTGATAGTTCAAACTTAGATTATTTGATCTAACTGAATTAATAATTTGAAATATCTGAGCTCTATGACATTGGGTTGTAAAGATATATGGGATTACAAAATCAGAGTTTTTGGCAAACTTTGATCCATGCTAATAACAATGAAATGCAATTTATATAGAGATCCATTCATATGGTTACAAATATAGAAAATAATCTATCAACAAGATTAAGAATCAGAAATAGTTAATCTTTAGGTTTCATTTTTATTGAACTCAAGGTTGTATAATAAGATGGATACTTTAGATTTGCTCTAACGTAGATAAGACGACCTTTATATCAATGGACACTCTAAAACCTTATATGACGTTATTGCCTTTTGTATAGAATAATAAATTTTGCAGCTCAATTTTTAACTTTAATAATTTATTTTAATTAAATTTTACAATATTTTTAAATTATTCTCATAATGAAGAGGGAGATGACTGCTGAACCTGACATCTCCCTCCTCCATCGGATGTCAGAGTTAAGCGCTAGGGACGAAGTTTTGTTTTAATCTATGTACAATTCTTGCTTCCCCTGTAGGATACTAGATGCGTAACTAAACACAGCGCTTCCCCAGCTGCAATTCTGGGACTTCATAGTAGGTCCGTTCTGCTAGAGAGAAAGCAGGCAACTCAAATTTTGCAGCTCAATAGATATAATGTAACAATGGGTGATTTTGTTGATCTTTTACGATCAGCGATTCAAGGATCTTTTTTTTATTTTTGTATCTTTGTAAATAATAAACTGTAAGAAAAACCGACTCGTTGAATATTAATAATACAAGTGTTTGCATTGATTTATTTTCCTTCATATACAATAATAAACGAACTCAAAAATTTTAAACTTTAAGATTGCATTGAAAGTGACGTCATATAAGGATATAGAGTGTCTAATGCGACAAAAATGACATTTGTTTACATTGGAGCACATTCAGAGTATCTATTGTCTAACCTCATATACAACCTTGCTTACTAGTGTCTTTCCTACCACATGCGGATGACGACATTTAAATATGCCCTTTTTCACAATTTCACTGATTTTATTTATCCTTTTTTCTAAAATTCATTATAATTTTTAGTTATTTACTCGTTCTATCTTATACAGATGATTTCTTTTAGATTAAAGTTCGTCAATAATATTTAATCAGTTTCAGGTAATGATATAGATAATATCCTTTTTGTGTGAAAAATCCAGCAAAATCCCACAGTATAAAATGTACCCTGCACTTTTATATGGAGCAGTGTTACTGTGTTAGACAGAGGGTTCTGTAGAAATGATACATATTGATGCTAATTCTGAAACTGTTACAGACATATGATGTATATCTAATTTTTTCTATATACAACAAACAGTGCAGTATTTGAGCCATACATGGTCCTGTAGCAATGATACATATTGATGTACATTCTGATTGGCAGCTACATATATGATGCACTTTACACTTTACAAAGAGCATTATGTGAACACTAAAAAACATGGACCTGTAGCAATGATGCATATTATTGCACAATCATACACTGCTACAGATATGGTCCTTTAGCAATTGATGCACATTCTGATACTTCTACATATATGATGTACTCTCTATAGGGCAGTATGTGAGAAACATGGTCCTGTTGCAATGATACATATTGATGCACATTCTGACACTGCTACAGATATGATGGGAGAAAGATTAGCTCACGGAACACCTTTCAGGAAATCATTTTTTTTTATTTATACTGAAGAGTTCTTAATTAATAATAATGATTTTTAACTCCACAAATGTTTAAGCCAAATTAAATTTTGAAAATGAAAATCTCAAGAATAATTCAAACAAAGCCCCAGCATAGGATAACGACCTTCTGTAACTAAAGGGTTTTTCTGAGGAACTCTAATAAAGTTGACCCCATAAAACTGTGAAAAGGAGTACGACTGTTCGACTCAAAATCTGATTTCTGAGTTCAAGTCCTATAAACATGAATAAATTATATTGGGCATTGTGCAGTGTACACAGACCCATCTGTTTTCTTAGATAGCCGGACGTTTCACCTTCTTGTCTTGGGCAAATGCTTGATTTTACAGTTCTGGTAACTTGCTGAAACTATCATATTTTATGTTGGGATAGGGTTTGCCGAGACTTGCATATTTAAAAAAAATCCACAAAAAATCAATTTAAATTGGATATGTACTGTATACATTAAACACATGTACAGTGTACAGTGGTTGATGTAAATAAAAATTTTACACATATCCAGTTTTTCAATAATTGTCATGAAGAAATATAGGCTGTTGTGTTTTTGAACAATGCGGAAAAAATTTTCTCCAGAATGGTGATTTTTTCCAGTACTCAAAGAATTTTTTTTGAAAACACTTACATTGGAAAGGGAACCAAAAGCTTCAGAAAACCCCTGAGGCTTCCTTTAGAAATTTGGAATGTCTGAGATGAAACTTTTAATAATGAACCCACCACAAACAACCAAACTGAACGCATGGTTTAGACAGTTGCGTACGAGGGGGTTTAGACAGTTGTGTACGAGGGGGGGGGCGAGCCCCCCGCCCCCCCATATGCGTGCCCCCTCTGAGGGGGGACTCACCAAAACTAAAATATTAAGAAAAGAATTGAAATATATTCTGACTCACAACAATACCCTTTAAAGCTTTGTCTGATAAAGTATTGCATTAAAAATCAATGTTTCCCATTTTGAAAACTGAATATTTTTATTTGTGGTTTCTATTCAAAAGTGAGTCGCGCATTTCTTGCTTCAGAAACGATAGAGAAATGAAGGTTTCAAAGGTACATCGTACATGCCACTCTATAAATGGAGGGTCACTTGAAATTACGCAATTATTCCATTTAAGTATATTATTAACATTCCATTAAAAGAAAATGTAAGTTTTCCATTCATGTATTTAAACATGAAAATAGTAAAAATAGCAAAATTTGCTTGTCTGCACCGATAGTGCCCAAATTTTGTGTGTGACCTCACATGACCCCAGGGAGGGTTTATGGATGATCAAAAAGTTCTAAATTAGCTTACAACAAAATTTGACTTTTTTTTAGATACGTTTCCATCTATATTTTTCATCTCTTGAAGCTTACAGCACAGTAAACTGTGCCCCCCCCCCCCTACACAAATGCTCTCGTACACCCCTGGGTTTAGAAGTTTTAAAGCTGACCAGCCTGGAATACAAACTGCTGGGAAGTCCTTTTTAGGTCTTAGATGAGAAGACACATTGGTTAAACTGCTTTTCAAAGAGCTCAAAGACAAGACCTACACTGATCCGCAGCCATCTCAACCGGCAAAAATTCTTGAAAGAAATATTCGACTTAAACTAATTGTTAATTATTTGATGTATGCAATCTAAATTTCGATTTTACAAATAATGAATAATAATTTTTTTGTCAAATTATTAGTGTTATTCATTACTGTAATGTTAAGTTTATTTCGTATCACTAATATTGAAGAAATTATGCGGTATTAAAAAAAGCAGCCCTGACTGCAGTTTCAGTAATTTGCCGCCAAGGAAAGAAGGTGAAACGTCCGGCTATTACTGGGAAACCTTTAGTTCTTTATCAAAGCATTAAATATACATAAGATTGTTTAAATGTCGTCTTCCTATTAATTAGTTTACATGGAAAAATGTAACACTGTTTCCCATTTTCCGACTCTCTACTTTTTATGATCAATAATGTAAAAAGTCTGAAAGCTGCAGTTACACAAAAAAATGAATATTTTATAATTTAAAATAAAAATTTTATTAAAAGATGTGCTTGGGAGGACAAACTTTTCCTTGATAAGAAGGTAAAATAATATTTAAAAAACAACAAGCATAAAATATCAAAACATCACATTTATCATTTGCGTTACTTTCCTAGTGTATTTGTTTTTGATAAATAATTGTTTTTATTCAAGGTTGTATGGTAAGGTTTACTGAATTAGATATGGACACTCTAAATAAAGACGACATTTCTAGTATATTGAAGAGAATCCAGAGTATTTTACCTCAATAAACAACCTTGGTTTTTAGTGTCTTTTTGTTGATTTCTGATCTAAATTGAAACTCTTTATGCTGAAGTAAAAACATGCAGAATTTTTACACACAGTTTAGTTCCATCCAACTTGTTTATCTCGGTGCCGAACCATCTAGCAGAAAATTTAAAAACTATTTAAAGTGAAATGGACCGAATTGAATGGACCGAATTGCACTTTCTATTGGTTTTATTTCATAGATTTCAGGTCTTCATTATATTATTATATTAAAGTATCATCCTTTGTTGCTACCCCTGTATGCTGCATGTACAATTTGTGAATTCATAATTAATGTCAATATTAATGTTTTATTTTTCAGGTTTTTCAAGTAGGACTCCGGGGTACAGGTTGGGCACATGGAGATATACAATGGGGCAGAGACCAGGTACATCTCCGATCTCAGAATATCAGGAATATTAGGAATGCTTCATTAAATTCGTACTGGCCCGACCAGATCCTCGTGCTTTACTGGGATTTTGATTGGATATATAACAAATTTAATCAAAAGTAAGATATTTTTCAGGGAATATTTACGATTCTTTGATTAAAGTTCTAAGGATACAGAAAAAGTTTGCATTTGAAACGAAAGAAAAAGTTTATACGGGCTACCCCAGAGATTTTCAGACACGAAAGTATTTATGAAATGTCGTCTTGACATGTTTTCAATGGTTTTTTTACTATTATACGTAAATCTCAGTAATTGCAAAAAAATAATAAATAGTCATGGATATGCGGGAATACTTTTAAAGAGCTTCATATAATCATTTAATTAAAAAATCATTATTAGGAAGTTAAGTATACGACATTTTATAAATTCTTGCTGTGTCTCTTTATATTTGATCTTAATCATTATAAAAAAATAGGGGTGGACTGTTATACAAGCGGAGGAATGCTGGCACAAATCCTTAACACCCCTCATGGAAGATATAAAAAATAAGGTATCAAAAGAATTTAATGAATCAAAAATACGAATCTTTAAAAAAAATTGTCTTACTGCATCCCTGCCTAACAAAACAACAATTACAGAGTTCCAAATTTAAATTGTCTAAAAATAAATCTTGTCATCGAAAACATAAACTGACAAAAAACAAAACATATCTTAATTAAAGATTGGTGACAGTCCTGTTTATCTGAGCTTTGATATTGATGCGATAGATCCAGGATTCTGCCCCGGAACTGGTACACCAGAAATAGGTGGCCTAACCACAATACAAGCATTAGAGGTGAATATATACTATCTCTCTTTCTTTTTCTTTCTCTTTCTCTCTATATTTCATATATATTATATAATATTACAGAAATAGGTGGTCTAATATATGTATAAAAATACATAAAAATACATTTTTCACAAAATTAAAAAATGAACCAGCTTGAAAACCGGAGTTTAAAACAATTTACAAAATTGAAAAATATTGAAAATTTGGCAAGTTATTGTCAAAAATAGATGTTTTCTTTGAATAATTTACTAGAAATAAGTGTAAAACGGCCATTTTGTTGTACTGTTTCCATACTGCAGGTGTACTTCACATGTTTGTGCTATATAACCTTTTGGGCCCTGGAACATCATTTTATAGAAAATAGGTTAAAAAATTCGAAATTGAAATGGATATAGTCTAGGGAATATACTGTATTTGTGTACTCTACTGCATATAATTTGTGAACATTTACATGATTTGTACACTTTGAACTCCCTTTCAGGCTGAAAGGGACTGAAAAAATTCATACCGAGGAATTGTCTAAATTCCACTCTAATATATATTCTATTCTCTTTGCCTAAACCATTTTCCTGAGTCCTAGCCGCGATTCGTGCATTGGGCTCACTTTTCCTGTTTTAGATTATCCGTGGGTGTTCAGGATTGAACCTAGTTGGATGTGATCTAGGTAAATACAAATTCAAATTAAATTTTTCTTCCTGCAAAACAATAATAGTTTTCCAGTGCATAATTTTGTATCTTTATTTAAAATAGTTTTGACATGCCTTTTTCTGAAATCTGTCAACAACAAAAAATGTGGCGTCAAACTTTATAGAAATCCAAAGTATAGAAATCGCTAGATATAGCTAGCAAGAAGACGTATTTTCCGGGAGAACATTTTTTATAATTTTGAGAAATGAAATAATCAGTGTAAAGTAGATATAATTTTCCTAAAATCCTTTTATTTAAATGGTAAAACGGAATTTTTGAAATTATATTAGCATTACTGGAGAACTCTTTATTTTTGAGAAATTTTTTTTTGTAAAAATAAAACTGTAGATAGCATTTTCATAAAATATTTGTAACCATATAATCATTCATTTATGTTGTCAGTACATTAAACACAGTAGAGAGCAGCACAAATGTACATAATAATCTAGTTAGTTGTATAGTGTCTAGGGTATGTTAAAAATAGAAATAATGATAATGATAATTTTAAGCCGGAATGTTTTACAAAAACGTTTAATTTATCAAAAATATAAAAAAAAATTCTTCCGGAAAATACGCCTGATTGCTAAACCGAGCGATTTCTATACGTTGGATTTCTATAAGGTTTGACTCCCAAAAATGTGTCCCATAACAATGACAGCTGTAACAAATGCTGTTTTTAATTTACTTAAAATTACATAGAAAATTCAATTTTATGATATTTTCTTAATAAATAACTGTATTTTACGCAACAGCTTTATTATAAAACTCTGCCATAAAAATAGATCTTAGGTCGGAATTTTTGTGTGGAGTATCGTTAACGCTTGATCTTAAAGGGAGTGTTTGCGAAAAATGAAAGGGGGTATTATTTATTCGCTATAAGCCAAAAACCCGTTTTATTTTTCGCGAACACTTCCTTTAAGTTTGAGGATAATTGCTTAATGTCTAAATTAAAGTTAACCCTGCAGGGAATGACCCCCACGGGATATTGAAGAGGATTTTAATTGATTTTAAAAATAACAACAAAATTGATACCAATAAATCATAACACAGTTTTTGTTAACATCAACAACCTCTTAATGATTTCCACTGCTAGATACTAGATAGATTTAAACAATATATTGAAATTATCATCATTTATGTGTTTAAAAAATTTTAAAAAAATTGTGCTTGAAAAATAAACATCCAGCTTTTATTTAAGAAAAAACTGCGGCCGATTAAGAATAGTTATAGATTTTGAAATGAAAAACAAAGGGTTTTACATGACCCCCATTAATGCATGTTTTAATAAAATTGAAGGATTTTGTTACAAACCGTTTTGAAATTTTAATAATAATCCTGTAAAGATCTCTAATTGTTCAAGTTTTCTAGTTGAAGTGAGCCCTGCATATGATTTATCTGGAAATACTTCTTTAACTGGAGCTAACCTTGTATTCGAGATGCTTTGTGTTTTAAACAAATAAGAAAATAACAATTAATGTATTCTCAACAAAAACTTTATTATATATTTCTACAAAAAAATAAATGATTTTTTGGTTATCCACAATGATGATAAATGATATACTGAAAAATTGTGTATGTATATCCCATTAAACTGTAAGTTAAATTACGTAAATTATTATTATTTGTATAATAATAATTATACAAATTACAATAAGTCCTTTTCGATAGACACATTCTTTACCTCATTGAAAACAGACCTACTCAATATCCAAAAGTATTTTTGATTAGTTTATATTTGCATTGCGATTTTTACCTTTTTAATAGCCGTCCATTATTACTCCGTGTACCACCGTCAAACTCCATGAAACCAGCACAAGATAATAATACATTTACAGGTTGGAAACCCTGTAGGTCAGATAGCATTAGGTCAGAAAACAAATACGTCCCGGATCGGATGGTATGGTTTAAAGATCAAAGTTTGCTGGCCTATAAAAGTTTAACCGCTCAACTCGTTTTAACACCGCAAACTCTATACATTTATATTGTGAATGTAGATGAACGAATGTATCTCTGAAATATCAGTTTTTTTATTTTTGCTCAATTGAAATTGTGGCGGGAAACATAAAAGGATTTGCTCAGGGTTAAACAGCCTAGTCTAAAACTAAAGAATGAAAAGCTTTGACTTAAATTTTAAGTTTCAGCTTAAATGCCACTTCTGAGTCTGACTTTATTTAAACCTGAATATTTTAAATATATAAAAATTATAGGGATTGAACCCCCCCCCCCCCCCAAATAAAATCTATCTATATAATAAAACAAGACATTCGTATAAATGTTGCCTATGGCCGGCCAAACGACTGCACCGAATGGGATGACATTTTTTGTGGACAATCATGGGTGGCCGGAGGTGTTATAGGCTAAAAAATCAATTTTTTTCAAAATTATATTTTTTTCTTAAATATTTTTTTTTACATATAAAAAAAATTCACGGACAACGCCGGGCCCTTCAGCTAATATTATATAAAAATAGCCCAATCTGTATAATTTTTTTTTCAATTTTTTTTACAACAGTTATAATTCTTTCTAACATTTTGACCTTATCTGTCTTTTTCTTGTCTTGTTTTTTCTATTTGTTATTTTTAAATTTTATTTACAAAAAAATCCTTTAAGAATAACATCAAAATTAACATAATTAATTAACCAACATTTTTGTTTCGTATTTTAGATGTGACTTTAGGAATATAAACTACAGAAATATTGGAGGAATTTGTTAGAATTAAACACTCAAACTAAGAAAAATACAAGATCTCTCCCATTGTCGATCAGATATAGATTTAAATAAACTTTTTAATGTCTGTATTACTCCTGTTATTGACAATACTCGCAAAAATCTATATATTTTTATCAAAACATTATTTTAAAACATATTTACTATAAAATAAATAGATAAATAAATTAAACACTAAATCATATACATGTGTACGAAATACGCAAAAACTGATATCTTAACTTAAGGTTTGTGGACAAAATTTTGATTTGTTTGGGGGATATCAATTCAATGATGTTTAAAGCCTTGTACCAAGCTTTTTTGGTTTCTGTTCTTTGAAATGCATTAGTTATAAAGGAGACTATTTTGTTACATCGACTAGATATTAAATGCTATGTTATATTCTTATCCTTCCGAGTTATAAAGTATGTTAATATTTTCGCCTCATCATAAAGTTTGATTTTGTTTCAACTGATTATAAAGTTTTATCGTTTGGCCGCGTACTTAAGACAATGCACGCTGATAAAGCCGGGGTCTAAAAGACCTAAAGTTGAGCTAGGGAAATTAAAAGGATTGAATTAGATAAATTACATTAAAAATTAAAGTGAAAATTTCAAAAAATTGGGAGAAAATTCGGTTTTATTACCGTGCAATGTATAAAAATTCAAAGAAAATTAAGAATCTAAAGCACTGAAACAAATTTCTTAAAACAAAAGTTTTAAAGTGTACTTCTTACGTGATTACAAATATAAATAACATCGATCAGAGGGACATCAAGTTTGTTTTTTAAATCTTACTTTTTGCATTTTTAGAACTATAGGAACAGTTGTAAAAGAAGAAAAAAGGACTAGTATTCTGACTATAATGAAATCCATAACGGATTAAAAGACTTACATTGACCAGAGAGTTATAAAGTTCACAGAAAACCTTTTTAAAAGCGAACTATATATGCTCTCTGGGACATACAGTGAGTGGCATAAAATACAATAAGTATAGTCACTCAAATGGAAAACATCCTCTAATATGTTGAAAATATTTATTATGGATTATCCAGGTTGCTTGTTTTTTACTCTAAAAGGTAAAACTGTGTCATGTTAGGTTGTAAATATAATTAAGTTTCGCGCCTTTTTGAACTGACTGTATGGAACGCGAGTGGAGGTAGGGACATAAGAGATTAAAAAAAATAGTTTTGAAGTAGAATTAATTTGGATTGAGAATTCTGTTTGGTTTGGTAAAAAATGGATGGTTCCTTTTTTAAAATATTAGAGGGTAACAACTTTAAACAAGCTCAGTCTGGGGACAGGAAAGGAACAAAAGAACCACGAAAAGAAGCTAGGATAGTTAAAAGGATTGTTGGATAGAGTTCTTTATGAGTTTCTGTACAGTTTCAACTGATAGGATGGAATGAGAAAGGGAGGAGGAAAGAAGGATGTTAGGATGGGGTGAGGAGGGGAAAGGGGGAGGAGAGAAGGATGGTAGGATGAGGTGAGGAGGGGGAAGGGGGAGGGGAGAAGGATGGTAGGATGAGGTGAAGAGAGGGAAGGAGGAGTAGGATAGTAGAATGAATTATGGAGGGATCTGGGGAGGGAAGATGATGGAATATTTTACCTACCTAACAATCCTCATTACTATCCTAAATATATTTAGGATATTCATAGATTGTAAATTAGGATTGATTCTTGAACTTTATTCGACCTTGAACCTTCTGAATCTTTCTAGACCAATCATTAGCCCGGTTGAACCAGTTGTTGTACCGGTCTACAAAGGTTGGATCTGCTTTTCTTTTCTGATTGTTTGAAGATTCAGAATCCTCCTCCAGTTCAGATTCAAGCAACAAGTTTTCGGATTTCTAAAATATAAAATAGAGAATTCATTCATTCACAATTCCCAAAAGTTTGGTAAAATAAAAAAACTTTTTTTAATTAAAAGCCTGCCTGCTCTGGAGTTCCCACTAGAAGTACTAGAGGTTCATAGCCAGGTAGATCTTCAACCTTCTCTCCCTGAACCTTCTGAACTTGGATAGGAATATTTCCACCTGCAGGTTCATAATCAGACTCATCCTCCTCAGTATACTCCTCTTCATAACTAGCTTCGTCAGCGGCAATGCGCACGGTTGGTTCGGTCAAACCTGCGTCAACATTGTTACTTGGCTCAGTGATACCAGTCTCCTCTACTCCAAGCTCAAAGTCTTCATATTGAACATTTTCAACTTCAATCCCAGCAGATGCTGTTGTACCGAGATCAAAATCAATCGGTGGAGAATACGTTGTTATTTCAGGCTCCGGGGTCGGGGCTGCTCCTAATACAATCTTTCAGTTAGAGATTTGTGAAGTCTTGGGGAATTTTTACACTTTTCTGCATCGACTCCACAAGTCACTTTTAAAGAGAAACTATAACTGATAATAATCAGTTTTCAAATAGAAAAAAGCAAAAAAAGAAAATTGGTAATTTTTTTAATTTGTATCTCTATAATAGTGTAATACGGTTTAAGAGCAGCAGAGAAAAGGAAGGAAATTGGCAGAATCTGTCCTTAATATTTAAAACAACGGTATCCTCCTCGTTACTAAGCATTCGACGATGATAGATGGATGAAAAATGACGATATCTTACTCATTTTTACTAAAAAAAGGTTAAAAAATCCTGGAATTATTGTTTTGAATATGTAAGAAGTTTTGTTGAAAACTATAATCGGAATTTTAGGAATTTTTTTTATAGTTTTTAATTGCCTTCGTCGAATTCGATATAACTAACACATGTCTGGGGTTCCCCTAACAAAACACTACTACTCCTTTATTAGGTTTTTCGGATTTATCAAATTGTACAAAAAATCTGATTATTATATGTTTTTCCTTGACCAAATATTGGTAAATTCTCATTGTGGACTAGATATAACGTGTACACCCAAGAGAAATAAATTCAAAAACCAAATTAATTTGTAGGTGCATAAAGCACATTCAGCTTCTCCCATGGTCAGCTGTAGTGCTAGCGCTCTCAAAATGTTAACAATTATCTTTGTTTTGACCCACTTTCACTTATCAGATTTTGATAAAATTTAGCTTTTTGGAAAGCCTATGACATAAGGAAACGGATTGCACAAGGTTTGCGAAAAAAAAATTGCAAATTTTTTGCAAACAACCTGTCAAAGGAAATTTGCACATTTTTAGTTTTTCTTGATTAAAAATCAGGTTATTTAAAAATTTTCAAAAATTTTTGCATATTTCAAATGGCATGGTCAAGGGCTTTTCAAAAATGTATAATTTGTCATTTTTTGCAAACATTTTTGCTATAAAACTGGATTTTGCGATAAAAAATTCAATTTTCGCAAATTTGCAATTATTTTTGCAGATTCTTAAAGTAGAGCACAAGAGCTTTCTAATGATGTATCATTTGTCATATTTGGACATAAAACATGGGATTTAGAGGGGGGGGGGGCAAATTTCCCCCCCCCCCCCCAGCGTATCCTGGTTTTCAAGTACCCCAGCAGGGATAGGGTTAACATGATTGTAATAAAATTATTTGATGTTTTAGAAAGCTCTATCTCTAAATCTGAACATGGGAGAAACTGAAATGTGCTTTTTGCATTGTGTTCTCAATGTGAATTAACTAATAATTATTCAAGTAACAGTAAACAATGATCGGATTTTTTGTACAATTTGATAAATCCGAAAGACCTAATATTTGAGCGGTGAGCACCATCATGATCATGACACCCAAACTTTGAATTGTCAAAGGAATTGAGTCTTTGCCACAAACTCTGATTGGTTTAGCCTACAGGGTGTCCCGATAAACATGGGAATTCAGTGAGAATTCGATATCGTCCTTTTGAATAATTCTTTGATTTTGTATAGTGATAGATATTGAGAATGCTGTAATCTGTAAGAATTTCGTCTGGTATGTCAACATTTTGTTTGTTTATGTTTTGACTGTGTACGGTTGTACTTAGTAAAACAAGACAATTGTAGTATACAAACAGAGTAAACCTGTCCTTCTTCACTGTTTATCTTGCGGAGACATTATTGACACATCTTTACAGTCATTTAGCCTTTTCAAAAAAAAACTCTAGCAGACACAATAATATTATGGCTTTTGTTAGGTATTACAATGCTAATTCATAACAAAGACGATATCTAATTCGTCACTGAATTCCTATGTTTTTTTGGGACACCCTGTAAGTAGTTTAAAACCCAACGTCGTCGTCGATATTTCAAACTATAAATTCGGCTAGAACGAATGATATAAATTGAAAATCATTATTGGTTGCAAAAATATAGGGCCTAGAAAATTTAAGTTTGTGGCGAAGACAAATGTCCAATAAATAAATGAAATAATCACTTAGAAATACTAAAATAAAAGATTTCCTGTAGTGAAGGTGACAGATCTAAGATCAATTAAAAGTCCAGCATCAGAAGCAGTTGTATCAAAGTATTCAGTGGTAGGTAGAGAAATACCCTGGGCTAAAGCTTCATTAGCAAACTCATCTACAGGAGATGGAAGAGGAACCAATTCAGGAGCTTCTACTGGGGCCTGTTCAGGAGCTTCTACTGGGGCCTGATTAGGGGCTTCAACAGGGGCCTGCTTAGGGGCTTCAACCGGGGCCTGCTTAGGGGCTTCGACAGGGGCTTGCTTTCGAGCTTCCTTAGCTGTTTGTCCATAAGATCCCAGATCATTGGAACCATAACTGCTTAGTGATTCAGGAGCAGCTTGATCCTCAGGAACATCATTAGCATCATAGGCATCTTCGTAGTTAGAGTACTCATAGTCGTCTGGGAGTACGTTTAATGGATCAGACAGCTTGTTTCCTTCCTCTTTTACTGAAAATATTTTTGTTATGTTAAAAAATGTATTTACAAAAACGGTATGTCTCATTTACATTTGTGTTTTTGTAAATATTTACCAAGTGGGGCGTGTGTAAATATTCACCAAGTGTGGTTTTTGTAAAAATTTAATAAGTGGAGCGTATGCAAATATTTACCAAGAGGGCCGAATGTAGATATTTACCAAGTGGGACGTATGTAAATATTTACCAAGAGGGCCGTATGTAAATATTTACCAAGAAGGGCATATGTAAATATTTACAAAATGGAGCGTATGTAAATATTTACCAAGTGAGGCATATGTAAATATTTACAAAGAGGGGCGTATGAAAATATTTACCAAGTGGGGCGTTTGTAAATATTTACCAAGAGGGGCGTATGTAAATATTTACCAACAGGGGCGTATGTGAATATTTACCAAGAGAGGCGTATGTAAATATTTATCAAGGGGGGCGTATGTAAATATTTACCGAGAGGGGTGTGTGTAAATATTTACCAAGTGGGACGTATGTAAATATTTACCTAGAGGGGCGTATGTAAATATTTACCAAGTGGGGCGTATGTAAATATTTACCAAGAGGGGCGTATGTAAATATTTACCAAGAGGGGCGTATGTAAATATAACAGGAGAGCTTGTTGGTGTGAACGGGTCTTCATTAAAGTCTTCTCTGAGATCTACAAGAGTATTAACTGCTGCAACCTAGAACAAGAGTATTAACTGCTGCAACCTAGAACAAGAGTATTAACTGCTGCAACCTAGAACAAGAGTATTAACTGCTGCAACCTAGAACAAGAGTATTAACTGCTGCAACCTAGAACAAGAGTATTAACTGCTGCAACCTAGAACAAGAGTATTAACTGCTGCAACCTAGAACAAGAGTATTAACTGCTGCAACCTAGAACAAATGTTAGAATGTAAAAACAGTTTTCATTCATAATGTTAAAAAATGCAGAAGTTAAATATAGTTATTAGCTAAGAAACCCAGTCTTGCCTGGACATAAGTTTTCCTTAAAAACCAACTTGGAACATTTAAACCATAAATACATGCCCGTGGTTCTATTGAGGTCATTAATTAAAATTTGAGAGAAATCAGTCAAGGGGTTCGTGAGTTTTGATCGGGCATTCAAACAAAAGGACAAACAGAGATTACCACTTTATATGTAAAGAATATATTTCTTAAATAATCGGTACTTCTAAGCGGACAGTAGTAGAGGGTAAAATTCATGAAACATTACTTGGGTGACTTTGTGACCTCATAGCTCCTTGTGTTTTGATGTTAAACAAAAGTACCAAAACAAAAGAATTATTTGAAATTGAAAACATTTTTGTTCTTCTCAATAGCTTTTCAAAAAGAGGAGTTATGATTGTACACACTTCAAATTTCAAACATACTTGCATTTTACTTTAGTTTGATTTTGGTTTGAAATAAAAAAATTCCTTGCCAATGTGTCAAAGTGTAAAACCAACTTTAGATTTATGCGAGATAAAATCATAATCAAGTTCATTGTGCCAGCTAATTATAATTACTCAACTCTCAAGAAAATACAATAATGTGACTACAGTGTATATCAAATAGATTATCAAGTACAATAGGTGGCAACAGAGAAATGGACCAAATATACACGACGTCACAAGTGTCAAATAAAACAAGGAATACAAAACTTACTCACAATAGTTGACATGTTTTCCAAAATTAAATAAAAAAGTGTAAAACCAGAAAATAAAGAACACATAAAATTGCACTTATTTTTTTTGTAAGATAAGCTCTTTGTTTTAAAATTATAACTATTATTTATAATTTTGTCGGACACAAAACTAAATTGACACTTGTGACGTAAGAATACAGCTTTACTGAAAGTGTACACATTCTAAGTTGCCTTCTATTGTACTAGAATCTATTTGGTGTATATTATGTTTGTATATTCAAAAATATGTAAATTGGTTCCTTCAGGGTTACGTTGCCCCCCCCCCCTTTTGTTGCACCGTGTCACCCAAAAATATGAAAATCTGAATTCACGAAACCTCGGGGCTTTGAACATAGAATAAATACCCTTCCGACCTTGCACTCCAAGGTCATGCAGGCATCTTCACTGCCTGAAATTGTAGGATCTGACTCTGGGTATAAACCCAGCTTTGCAGTGTGACATTGAACCTTCTTCTGACAGTTGGGCTGGGGGGGGGGGAGGGGTGCAAATATTTTCTTTAGTATGACCCAGCACATACAAAATTTAAAGTCTACAGAATGACCTTGCATACCATCATGGAAAAACTCAAAATAAAAAGTGTATGTCTGATTGAGTCTTTGATAGTGATTCAACTCTTTTATTCAGGACAATCTTTGTTTACTAAGCAATTTAGAATTAAGACTTGTATTATTATTTCAGTGCAAAAATAACCGTTTATCCTAATACAAAGGACCGCAAATTGAAGAAGTAATATGTTTAGCGGTTGGAGTTAGTTTTAATCAATTCTAATGAGATAAACTGAATCTTCTCTGTGACATTTACTGCATGGATATCACTTTTTAAAAAGTTAAAATATATCTAGCGATTATCTTTTTCTTATTCAGACGTTTACAGCCCAAGTTGTAGAACAACTAATTTGTTTAGATTTATGATTTAAAGGCTTAGTGTAAAAGAAGTGTTCAATTCATTCAATTTGAAAATTTGAAAAGATTTATTTCTTCAAACTTAAATAATTTTGTATTTCTTGGCTATAAAACGAGTTTAACTGTAATTCTGACTTCAGTTCAGCTAACACTTTCCAAAAGTTTCAAATCCTATTAGCTAAATAAAAAGTTTAAGCTTTTTAAAATACTTTAAACATATAAAAATTATCTTATCATATGTTGAACTTTACAGTACAAGTGGTTAAATTTGATGGAAATTGTATTTTTAACGTCAAAAGAAATGGGACTCTAAGAGTTATTTGTGAGTGTTCACTCATTTTGAATTCATTTTAAGAACTTTTTTCTTTTCTCTAATTTAAGCTTTTTTAAAATACTTTAAACTTATAAAAATTATCTTATCATATGTTGAACTTTACAGTACAAGTGGTTAAATTTGATGGAAATTGTATTTTTAACGTCAAAAGAAATGGGACTCTAAGAGTTGTTTGTGAGTGTTCATTCATTTTGAATTCATTTTAAGAACTTTTTTCTTTTCTCTAATTTTCTTAAACTTTGTTTTACTACTTAGCTATAAAACCCTTGCAAGAACGAGGGGGTTGGGGGGGGGGGAGGGGAGAATATGTAAAGAGGGGAGGTGGAAAGTTCCGCTTTCCTACTCTTAATTATCAATTAAGAAGTTTGAAGATATTTACGAAAGTAAAAGTCTATTTGATCTTGCACTAATCATATATATAAATTAATCAAACCAAATAATAAACAAATGTAATTTACAATTTTAAAACGACGGAAGTTTTTATAATAAAGTTTAATCTTATTGTTTTATCTAGACTTTTCTCCTCTGCTGAAAGGGACTGTTAGTGTAATTTCAAGTAATTCTTAATGCAAAGATGTCGGTGTCCGACTCAAACCGGTAAACTTAACAACTTTACTTCATGTAGTATGAATTATGTTTTATTGTATTTAACTTTTAAAACTGATTTTCTTCCATTGTGGTTTCTTTACATAAGTGACTTCCGCATTTCTACTGCAGGAAAACACATAAAAATTCACCCTTTTAAACCTAGAAAAACTACACATTATGATAAGATATATGTTACCATATAGGTACCATATCGGGCATTGCTATTTTGCACGTAGAGTCCCTTGAAACTACACCTTCAGTCCCATTCAAGTGTTCCAAGTATTATGCAGAAGCGTGGTTAAATGGGAACAAATGTAATCAGAAACTGATGTTATCTATAATTAAACCACACATCATAAAAATAATTCATTGTTTTCTTTTTCATTAATTAGATGAAGGAAGGGGCGGGGAGTTAGTCCCCTTCCTTAATTTTGTTGTTGGTGTTATCTCAAGTTTTATTAATTTTCAAGCATCCGAGTTACCCACAATATTCACAAGTTTACATTAAAAGCAGAACAGATTGGGGCATTCATAAAGCTACAGATAAAAATTAACTTTTTAAAGGGCAAATTTAAATAATTAATAAATATCACAAGCTAGTTTAAGTTTGTTATTTTAGTGCACGTCACGTAAGATTAATATCTTATATGTTTTCAATAATAACTTCTCTCATTTAAAAGCTATTGTTTTGAATTTATGATATATAATCGGTGTCCTCATTTAATGAATTTGAGCCGCGTCTCAAATCCAACAAAAAACGGTCCCGGTTTAAATCTTAAAACATTGAAAACAATTTTAAGTAGAACCAACCATATGTAAGCCGCGGCATAAGTTCTTTAAATTCGGCCTCGGATAAATTAGCTATTTACATACTTGAGGTAGAATTAAAGCTAGAGGCGCTATTAGGTCAAAAAGTCGTACCAATAATTTCGAATATATATTTGACATTTTCATCCATGTCTATGAGTAAACATTACAACAATGTGAACCAAAAGTTGAGTATATGTGTGTTGACTAATTTAAATTAATGCTACTCATCAAAGTATACACAACAGTAATTCTACCCATTTCCTCTCATAGCCCCCTTGTTTCCTTTTTTCCTTCGTGTACAGTGGACCCCCAAAAAAATGATAGATTCAAAGACGACAGTTCCGCTTGATGTCTTATATCTTTGCAACCTGATGGTATAAACCTTAAATATTTATAGAATTTACAGCAAACAAATTCAACGATGTATGAGATCAGGGATATATAAAGGTTAGAAAATTAGAGTAAACACTTACTTTGACAGAAAATAACGATAAACGATGTCCTGAGTTCGTTAAGCATGTAGACTAATTGTCTAACTAACGATCTTTATGATTGAATTGCGTGGGATTTGTTGTAGGAAATACACAGCCAACCGTTTACTATTAAATTATCTCACCCTGTTACTATTCTTTTCAAGCTCATACGATGGTAACTTATAAGTTATAATTGGACACAACTGATTTGAATTGAAAAAAAAAACATTAAACTAATTCACTTCTGTATAATTTTATAACGGTTTGTAAGCTTGATTAGTGAATTATAGGAGAAAATATACTATCATAGTTAAAAGGATCCGGAATAAATTGACATTACATAACATCTCTGGCAATTTTAATGCTCAAAAAAGTCAGACAACATTTTGGAAATCATATTGATAAAATTAAACTGCAGAATCGTCTCTGATTAATCGTAAATTATTCCGGGGATTTCTGATTAGTACTGTAAAACCTATTTATAATTAATTCCTATCTTCCATTTAACTATTGCAGGCTCAAAAAAAATGAAGAAAAGGCTGACATGTATAGTTTTTTTTCGGTATAAACTAGGCTGTTAGGGTGCTTAACGCCCATCCTCTTTTAATTGTGGCTCTATCTGTGAGCATCTTCTCTTTGTACAATATAAAACAATAACAAAAAAAAGTTTGCGGATTTTTAAATATTTGTTTGCGCATTTTTAAATTTTCACAAAAATCAGAAGCTTTTAGATACATATTTTTGTAATTCTGAGCATCCGTAAACCTTCCTTGGGGTCATGCGAGGTCCCACACAAAATTGGGCCCGATCGGTTCAGCCGTTTTGACGTTATTGGATACAAACACACAAATAGACAACAGACAATCAAACCATATATATAGATGTCCCATCCTTTAACCCTATTCCTGCTGGGGGGGGGGGGTCAATTTTTAGTTTTTCTTGATTAAAAATTAGGTTATTTAAAATTTTGCAAACATTGCATATTTGAAATGGCATGGTCAAGGGCTTTTCAAAAATGTATAAATTTTCATTTTTTGGACAAATTTTTTGGCAAACATTTTTACTATATAACTGGATTTTGCGATAAAAAATTAAATTTTTGCAAATTTGCAAATTTTTTGCAGATTCTAAAAGTAGAGCACAAGAGCTTTCCAATGATGTATCATTTGTCATATTTGGACATCAAACATGGGATTTAGAGGGGGGGTCAAATTGACCCCCCCCCCCAGCATATCCAGGTTTTCAAGTACCCCAGCAGAGATAGGATTAATGTCAACCTAGAATGAGTTTAAACTATTTGATTCCCTGAAGATCTGAATTCTAACCTTGAGTTTCTGGTTATCAATCTCATTGTTCGATGTCAGATCAATATTCTCCGTCTGAGACTTAGGATTGTAGCTGTCAAAGCTTGTCTGGGCTTTAGAGTCCTGGGTGAAGATTTCCTCGGGAACTAAAAAATATTTTATAAAAGATAGTTTACAATAAAAATACAACACAATAAAAATAAAATGTTTATTTATTCTTAGTGTCTGCATTATTGATCATAATAATTAAAGAAAAGCAATAGGAATATTTTATAAAAATGTATCATAATATCACTTATGTCTTTTTTGTTTACCAGCTAGTAAATGATAATTTAGGAAAACAAAAAAAATTCTGAAAAATGAACCAAGACAAATGTTGGAAAAAGTAGTTTTTTATAGCATCTCTCAAAAATTACAGAATTTAAAAAAAAGGGTCTAAATTTTTTTCTAGATGTCTTTTTAAACCTAATTATTTCTCTTGAATCTGCTTATCCATTCTTATTTAACTTTAGCTGTACAATGCCTCCTTGCGGAACTCCAATTTATTGGGTGGGGAAGGAAGAGGGTGTTTCAAGACCTGTGTATTGCACCCCATCACAATAGTTACGCCTAGCCATTAACATAATTTATACAATTTGTATACTAAGCTCATCCTTCAGATTCTAATAGATGAGGGAGGAACACCTCAGCCGCCATGATACTTCCAGATTTCCACAAGCCTCCGCTTGGTACTGTATGGCAGAACTTGGAGGCTCATAGCGGCAAGGGTTCCCCTCCCCCGCTAGATTCAACTTTGGTTTACAGGCCGTGGTATGAGGTGGGGGGGGGGGGACGGGTTGAGTATGGAGATAGGGAGGAATGGAATGCAAATAAAGTTGAACGCAGCATGTGCGCTCATCTCGCACCAAAAAGGTGGCGACATTGACCTTTCTCCCGCGTGTTTCTGATTGATTGATATGACTTGCGGCATTGCGCTGGAGCTAAGAAAATCCAAAGATGGTCATACAGCGTAGGAATTATAGAGTTCATCCAGGAATGTTGAATTTTAATTTTATTCCCCATTGTTAGATTTAGATTAGAATTATAAATGAAGTAAAATATTACACGAGATACATTATTAGGATTCAATATATGTAATATGTAAAAGCAAATTTTGGGATCTTACTGAAAGTTTTAAAATTAAAGTTAAAAGTTTGTAAATTAGGATCGCAAGAAGAGATAGCAGACAGTTTTTAGTCCTGAAATTTAGATTTTTAGGAACAGATAAAAAATATCTTGGTAACACACTTTCCACATTCCACCCCAACTGGCGTGGTTTTTCATAAAATTAACCAAATTCTCTATAAAAAAAATCCAAAGGGGGGATTTTTACCAGGAGGGTGGAAAAAATTCGCTTCGCGCGCAATAATTTAATTATTTCCAGCCGCCTGGAAAATATCCTCCGCCGTCTAGGAAAGCACAGGACATGATAACCAAAAAGTAGGCTATATTTGTGAACACGTGACCAATTATACCCATTTAAATTTACCGTCTGTCTAAGTCTGAAATACATCCCTTGCAGTCCGTGAGTGCGTAGCTAAGACTGTTCCCAAGGAGAAAAACGTGACAGTAAAAGATTAATTTGTTCCTAATATTGCAATTTTAGATTTGTGTGAAGTCTTTTTAAATTCTTGAAAATGATTTGAACAATATTACGTAACGTAAAAAAAAATAAAAAATTTGTTTTAAACAATTTTCATAAAATTGTTAATCTTTTTATATTTAAGCAAAAAATATCTTAAACAGCAGATCTAGAAAATATTCCACTTATTTTGTAATGTTAAGAATTGGATGGTAGTAATATAGCTAGTATAATAGGAGGAATAGGTGGGGGTATACAGGAGAAGCCAGGAAGCCAAGAGGCGGATATAATCTTTAAATAAAACTCATTCATCTAAGGTTTTTCATCAAATTCATTGTTGAATACTATTTCGAGCAAAAGTATTTCAAGGACTTGAGCAAAGGTCCCTTCAGGGACTAGAGCAGATATTTTTCCGAATCAGTGGTCCCTGCAGGGCCCTAGACCTTGAGCTAGAGTTCCTACAGGCTTCAGCAGATCTATACCTGAAGCTAGATTTTCAAGAGATACTAGAATAGACATATACCTGGAGCTGAAGTTCCTACAAGGACTAGAACAGACTTATGCCGGGAGCTGAAGTTCCTACAAGGACTAGAGCAGGGCTATACCTGGAGCTGAAGTTCCTACAGGGACTAGAGCAGACCTATCCCAGGAGATGAAGTTCCTACAGGGACTAGAGCAGGCCTATACCTGGAGCTAAAGTTCCTACAAGTACTAGAGCAGGCCTATACCTGGAGCTGAAGTTCCTACAGGGACTAGAGCAGGCCTATACCTGGAGCTGAAGTTCCTACAGGGACTAGAGCAGGCCTATACCTGGAGCTGAAGTTACTACAGGGACTAGAGCATGCCTATACGTGGAGCTGAAGTTCCTACAGGGACAAGAGCAGACCTATACATGGAGCTGAAGTTCCTACAGGGACTAGAGCAGGCCTTTACCTGGAGCTGAAGTTCCTACAGGGACTAGAGCAGACCTATTCCAGGAGCTGAAGTTACTACAGGGACTAGAGCAGACCTATCCTAGGAGCTGAAGTTACTACAGGGACTAGAGCAGGCCTATACCTGGAGCTGAAGTTACTACAGGGGCTAGAGCAGACCTTTACCTGGAGCTGAAGTTCCTACAGGGGCTAGAGCAGAACCATAAACGTCTACAGGATCATCTTCAACAAGGTTGGTCTAAACATAGAATTTATTAGAATTTGACCAAATAAATGGTCATTATTGCGGGGGGTAAAACAGAGGGGGGGGGGGGACCGGGGGTACTATATAGTATAGGCGTTTAGCCCATCCACCTTTTTAAGTAAAATCAATAGCTTCCTTAGGAGTATTAAAAGTAATCCCTCCCCCTGGACAAATTATTACATAAGCCCCTGATTACTGCATGTATTTTTTTTTTTTTATAAATGATGATGATCAAAAGTTTTTAACATAAAAGTGCAGGAATATCTTTTTTATTTGAACTAAAACGATGCATGTCTTTTTATAAATGAATTTAATTGAATCAAAAAATTCCGGGAAGGTCGTCGTTGCATACCAGATTTTCCACGAGGACCATTATAGCATGAAATGCATAATGAGATGAACAAAATAATGTTCTCACGACTCTGGTTTAATATAGAACTGCACAACTCGTTTATACATGTTTAAATTTTTCTATTATATTATCTCGAACAAACGAGTATAATTTAATGTATGGCCATAATTTACATTACAGCGCAGCAGGGTGTCCACAAAGGATCAGCCTTTAATGACGACCCCTAATCATTCAAAGTCCATGGTGTTTTTAATGATAAGGTTTTAACCCTGATAAAACACACACAAAAAAACATGCTCTTTTTGAAAAAATGTAAATTATTTGGCGAACACTGAAAAAGTTTTGATCTTCGGATAAATAATCTTTTGTATGTAATTGTATAAATAAACAATATCATAGTCTGTTTTCCCCTTTCTTGGCTTATCTCTGAGCAAATCCATGGTTTCAAAGATATAAGGGATAAACTTTTCTGCTGAGTGCGGTTTGTTTGGTGTCAAGCCACAGATGTGGATTCCTCAATTATAGAATTGGTCTTTGCCCCAAAATCTGATTTTCAAATCCTTATTTCTTTGCAACCTCATGGCGTATTTTTAAACTTCATACCAAGATCATCCATATTTTTGCAACATTGGGTTGCAAAAATATAGAGATCATAGAAAATCAGAGTTTGTGGGAAAGACTAAATTCCTTATGCATATTTTCCTCGCAAGCCTACAGTAAAATAGTGTTTAACCCAACTATAGGGATCGTGTCAAGTGATCCTTGTAAGTTCTAATCCCTTTTTAATCCTTCAATGCATTCATATACTCCAGCTATTCAGCTTAAAGGGCTAAACATAACAACTAATTTCTTTAAAGGTCTTTCAATTTAATCTTAATGAATCTCAATGAATCTCAAAAAATGTGATCACTTTTGCATTTGTATAATCATGCTCTTTTCGCTTTTATTATTTAACTTCGTACAGTGAAACCCTTAATACCGAATACATCGGAAGAATTTATCAAATGTCGTCTTGAAAATTTTTCAATGAGATTTATACTATACTACGTAAATTTCAGTATTTACGAAAATAAATAAATAGCCATGAATATGCGGGAACAGTTTTAAAGTATTCCTTATAATCATTTAATTAAAAAACTAAATATCTGCAACATTCCATTATCAGAAAGTGAAGAATACGACATTTGATAAATATTTTCGATGTATTCGTTATTAATGGTTTCACTGTAGATCAATGCCCTTGGGTTGTCTCATTAAATGAATCGTAAACAGCACTATTAAATTAAAGAGTAAATTTTCTTGTTTTGACAATATGTTTAAAGTGGTTGTTTAATAATTTGAATTTTCATGTCAGGTCTCTAAATTGAAGTTATTTTCAAGGTTTACCATTGACTTTATAAAAACTAACCTGTTGGAGCGTGGATTGAATAAGAGCAATCTCATTCGAGGTTTGAACATTTCTTACATCATCATTCTCCAGGATAACGGCTTCTGAGGCTCCGGAGCTCACGATTGGACCCAATGCAGTTCCATAAGTGTCTGCTCCTTCGGATGAACTTGAGGTTAAAGCTAAAGAAGGGGACAGAACAGGTCCTTGAGCGGCGCCATATGAGTCAGAAGAGCTGGATGGAGCGATAACTGGACTTTGAGCAGCTCCATAGGAGTCAGAGGCACTGGAAGGAGCGATAACTGGACTTTGAGCAGCTCCATATGAGTCAGAGGCGCTGGAAGGAGCGCTAACAGGACTTTGAGCAGCGCCATAGGAATCAGAAGCGCTAGCAATTGAGGCCTGGAACAAAAAAATGGGAAAAAGTCTTCAAATGGCAAATAGTCTCAAAAAAAAATTTTTATCGAATGTTGAACCGACGCTTACGGAAATTAATTTGTTTGTCAAAAATTCCGCGCAAATTCACCGATTTGAATTTATCACAAAAATTTTAATTTTTGTGTGTGGTTTTTGTGTCATGTCTTTTAACCCCAAAATGTCAAAGCTCATATTCATTGGCATTCATTGACAGAGCAACGGAAATGCATTTTTTAACGGTGTGAAATAGTGTCGAGGTTTATTGCTACAGCTCAACGTTGATATAATTAATAATATACAGAATTGGGCGTATCTGCATTATGTCAGGATAATTGCGGTTTATACTGTTCATAACTCATGGAGAAGGGGTAAATACTCCTCTCTAATCTCTCCAATCCAACCCTGTTAGATGATTGTAATAAGAAATAAAAGCTATACAAATCTATGTCCATTGTCTAATATGTAGAAAATGGGTTAAAATGACAGAGTTTGAAATAAAAACCAAGCTATTGATGCAAAAATACAAAACATGTCTAAACATCATTCTATATTGCTATTTTTCACAAATACGCTTTGTTGGCTATTGTCTACAGCTTTTACCAAAATCAAGTAAAACAATTAATTCAATACTTGCTTGTTTGGTTTTAATCTTATATTTTAGAATCTTCTGACTTTTGAATTTTTGATTTAATTAAATTTCTTAAGTAGGTTTGTTTGAATTACAAAGGAATTGAGTCTTTGTCACAAACTCTGATTTTCTAATCACTATATCTTTGGAACCAAATGTTGTAGACCTTAGATATTTCAAATTATGAATTCTGTTAAATCAAATAATCAGAGTTTGAAATATCAAAGGTTTACAACATCGGGTTCTAAAGATATTGGGGTTTAAATATTTGATTTTGTTACAAAGACTCAATTCCTTTGGAATCCAGTAATTTTTGTAGTTATTTGCAAGCGTTTTACATAAACTTAAGTTTTACAAAATATGTGTAAAAACAGACCCACCTGCTGAAATGTGTTTCTTGTAATATCATCGGCTGCAATAACACTGCCGGATGGACTACCGTAAGAATCTAACAAAAAGAAATTATTACAAAGGAATTGAGTTTTTGCCACAAACTTAAATTTTCTAATTCCTAAATCCTTGCAACTTGATGTCGTCAGTCGTTGATATCTTAAACTATGAATTCTATTAGAATAAATAATCAAAGTTTAAAATATCAAAGGTTTACACCGTAAGATTGTAACGATAAAGGAATTAGAAATTTTAGTTTCTGGCAAAACCTCAGTTCGTTAAAAAATCTGAACATCTTTCTAAAAAGCAACTGGCAAAGTAATGGTTGATTTTCTTATTTGAACCAGAAACAACAAAACATAATTTAAAACCGTTACAATAAAACACCTTGTCCACAATTACATCTAGATTCAAGGCTTGATTTGTAATTTCATTCGATTAAGATAAAACAATGATATGAAAAAGAACTTATCAAATTCACTAATCATATTTGAAAAAAAAATTTAAGGTGACAAATGTGCCTTGGAACAAATAAGAGTTAAATGTCAAACTTGGGGAAAGGTATTGTTGAAAAATTGAGTGAATAGTAAACTGACCTGAACCCTGGTTTACGGAGTTAGAAGCAACAAAATTTGTGGAAGGAGCGGGGAGCACTTTAGCATCCCTAAACCCACTGCTGCTACTGGATATAGGAGCGGCCTGAGGAGCTCCATAAGAATCTTGGGAAATGGGATCAGCTTGAGGAGCTCCATACGAATCCTGAGAAATGGGATCCGCTTGTGGAGCTCCATAAGAATCTCCAGAACTGACGGCAGGAGCCTTAAATCAAAATATAAATATTAAGTTTCCAAATACTCTATTTGTAATCTGAATAAATGCAATGTCTACATTGTGAAATTGTGACAAGGAAACAGCCATTTTGATGCATCCTGTCAGATGTTACACAAGGATTAAAATTCAGTCATGGTCGCCATATTGAATTAGAATAACGTCATATAGTTCACGATTTCCAACATTGGACTGGTGTTTTGCTTTCATAAATCGGAAAAAATTTAAGAAGTATTATAAAAAATAGTTTTTTAAATACAAATATTAATTATTAATTATATTTTATAAGCTCTGAACATAACAAGTCTAAAATTTCCTTTTTCTATAAGAATTTGTTTACTAAAATAGTAGCAAGCGTTTAGAACATACAAAACTATAGCAATCAGTATACTTCTTGGTTTCCAGAGCATTTAAAAGGCAAAAATATTGCTTTGATTTAAAATTTATTTAAAATCAAAATTAACAAGTTTCCATGAATTATAAAATGACATGGCACTGGCAGAAATTAAAGCTCTATACTGAAATATTCAGTTTATTCAGTTACGATTGAAAAATAACTTCTTATTGTTCACCCCCATCAAACTCTGGAATTTAGAATACGACTGTTGGAACCAAATAGTCCAATATTAAACATTAAACTCATCTATTGTGTAGTGTACACAGACTAATCTTACTATAAAGGTTGATATTCAAGCTATTTGGAGCTTTAAAACCACTTTAAATTCACTTCAGATGGCTTAAATGTCGTCTTTCTAGTGTAAAGTTTTATAAATCTCACTGTAGATTCATTTACCTGATGCTAATGTTTTTAACCGTTTGGGTTTGTTTTTTAAAACTTTTTTTTTTAAAACTCCAAAATTTGTAAACTGCCTTTTATTTAGGTTTGCTTTTATCAAAACGTGGCAATATTTGTATTCTAAAAAATAATAAAATTGAAAAACGATCCAATAAAGATCGATAGAATACATTTTTGGATTGTTTTTGTATCGTCTTTTGCCTATTTGTTTTGTCCGGGTCAAATTTAGCAGACAGTAAAACCCAAAACTTTGGAGCAATCGAAAGAAATTATGTCCAAACCTACTTACAATGGAATGCTCCTGGTGCAGCTATTTAGTTTTTCAATTGAATAATTATGTGGAGTTCTTTAAAACTGCTCTCGCATATTTTATGACTATTTATTTATTTTTACAAATACTGATATTTAGGTATTATATAGAATAAAACCCATTGAAAAATTATCAAGACGACATTCTATAAATTCTTTCGATGGCTCCAAAGTTCTGTGTTAAACTGTAGTATAAAGAAATCAAATGTTTAAAATAAACAATATTGAAACAACTACAGTGATATCCAGAAAACTCTGAAATAGGAAGCCGACTTTTAAACTCAAGTTAGGACTTAAACTTCAATGAACGTTAGACATAGCAATTGTACAGTGTAAATAGATCCTTTTCACCTAAATTGTGCTTTGCTAAGTTAATAGTTAAAATATTTGCTTTGTAACAACATCAAAACTCTTAAGTTATGCTATAATGTCGTTTTTCTATTTCATTGTTTTCTGGTTATCACTGTACTTTGCTAAATTTTGACCCTGGAACATAATATAGACAAAACCCAACCACTTTAATCCACATCACTCACTACCTGAGGTGAACCGTAGCTGTCTTGGTTCTGGCTAGATCCGCTATATCCAGCATCACCGAATCCATTCTAAATAAAATAAATTAATATGGGGGAACATGTTACTTCCATACATATATTTTTCTACATGATGTGCTCAATCATCAGTTCATTCCAGAGGGTTTATTACAATAAGAACCAGAGAACTCTGGAATATGAAGAAGACTTTTAGACTCAAGTTAGGACATTACATAGTTCAATAAACATAAGAGAAAGCAATATTGTGAGTGTAAACAGATCCATTTGACTTTATAAGTGCTTTAATTGGTAATGGTAACTAGTATCTAATTTGAATTTACGAGCCGGGTAAACTATTCCGGTCACAGTTTGTACTGTACCTAGCTCTATGGACAGGACTAGCCGGTGCAACAAGATATACGCGGTCAGACTTTATGCTTCATATAGGTTGAATTTGCTTGCAATTACTAAAGGGGCAGAGGTGCGTGATAAATACACTTGATCATTGTTTTTATGGTGTCTACCTATTCCACAGTTTTTTGGTTTTCACTGTATGACTGTAAAAGCTTTACAATCAAAAGTTTACTTAACTTTTCTAAATTTTCAATCATTTGACTTGAAGAATATTTTGAAGAAAATGCAAAAATGTTTTTAAAAAGATGTTGTAATCATGCTTTTACATGTGTTGGAAGATGTAAACACCGTGTTCAGTGTGCATACTTAATGCCTAGAACTGTTGATATCAAATCCATGATTATATATTCTTTTTGCTTTAATAATTGGCAAAATATGAAAACACCTTGGGAAATTTTATCCTTTAATTCAACACTTCTCAAGTCCCACTTCCGGTTTCAAACCGTGCACGCACCTCACGCGCAGGCGCAAAGGGACTGCAGTCGTATTTACAAAGGACTTTTCATTTAAAAACGAGTGACATGTCTAATTCACAACGGTGGGATCAAGAATGAATGTTATATCCATGTTTTTCTCTGAACAAAATATATCATTTTCAAGTGTGCAGTTTCTATGCAAAAGTGCATTTTTGCTTTTTAAGCTAGAAAACTATTAGATAAGGTTTAAAAGAATACCGATGTTTAATCCCTTTAACTTATCTTAAACGTTAAAAACAAATCACTTTGCCACCGTTGTCACTATCGGCGACGATATACATAAATAAAAGTTGGTCGATCCAAAAATAGTGCTGTAGCATAAAGGCAAAGAAATGAATTAAGAAACCTAAATTTTTTCTATTCTTATTACGCTTTGATGTTAATTCCAGTTTGGCATGTTGGGTATAGTTAAAGGAAGAAGCTATAAAAACAATGTTCAAATATTTTTTTATCCAAGGCAAGATTTTAGCATAAGGCTAACAAACGTTTAAAAGGTCCTTCTATTAAAGAGACGGTTAAGGAAAAATGAAAAGGGGTATATCCTATAGGATGAAACCTGAGAATCTCAGGAGTTGAACGATACCTATAAGACATCTAGCTGATGTTCCCTTTGTCTAATATGATCTGTTTAATATTAAGCATCGTAAACAAAATCATACATATATACGTTTTGGTATGATTTTGAGTTTTGACACAGTTTTATATCAAATTCTCGAGACAAGAGCAATAATAGGTTTCAATCAGCTCATGAGATTCTCAGATTTCAGACTAAACCTCCTTTCATTTTTCCTTTACAGTCCCTTTAAAATAAAATAATAACCATAGGTAAAGGTTTATGAAAGGAGTTGAGTTTTTGCCACAAACTCTAATTCTCTAATCTTTATATCTTTGTAACCCAATGTCGTAGACCTTAGATATTTCAAACTATTAATACTTATAAATAAAATAATGAAAGTTTGAAATATAAAAGGTGTGCACCATCAGGTTGCAAAGATATTAGGATCAGAAGATTTGAGTTTGTGGCAAAAACTCAATTCCTTTAGATAAAATTATAATTTACTGTAGAGGTGCTATCTGAGTAAATATGTCGAAAAACTTGTCTTTTCCGGAATTAGGCAAATGTTGGCCATTTACCACTTTTTTATTAAAGGGACATTATAATAAGTACGTAAGTAACTTTTTTTTTTACAAAATATAAAAACATCAATCTCTGAGAAGGAGAAATTTACAGCCCTCCAAGAATATCGAAGATGTAACATTTTTTGCCCCCATTAGTAACGAGAAGGTCAATTTTGACCGGGTGAGGTTTTTTTAAAGTTCCTTTTTTCCTAAACTAAATGTTGTCTTGTCTTTTCCTGCGCTTTCATTAGGATTTCCTGTTTTCAAAACATATTTTATATTTGACGTAACTTCAAAATTGGTTTTTTTTATTTTCAATTTTAAAAAACCCAAAATACAAGATTTTGAATTCGGAAAAAAACAAAAGAACACTTTGTAATTTAGTTTTGACTCTATTAAATTGTCAATTTTTTGCTAGAAAAAAATTAAAGATATTTTTGGAATCTTCTTTTAAAGATCTAAATACCTAAATCATGAAAAGTAAAGTTTTGAAGATAATTAAATAATTATAAATTACCAAAGTTTTTTATATTTTTATATTTTACAGGTCACCCTGTACAAAAAAAATTCAAAAATTTAATTGAATATCATTTTTTCATGAGTACAATCAAGTTTTGTTTTGACAAGATCCTTCTAAAACAACTTCACGAATAGGTAATGGTCTCGTCACTAATGGGTTAAATTATCATCTGTTATTAAATCATAATTTAAAGGTTATATCAAATGCTAACTTCTAAGAGTTTCTTTCAATTGTTCTAAACTCTTTGAACGCCGCTTTAAACTATTTCCGGTCCCTGAATAAACATATTTACAAGGTATACTTGGTATTTATATATAAATATATACTGTAAATATTCCTTTGTGGTAGAGAGTTTTTCAACTACTTCAAAAAAAACTTGATGGTTCTCAGAGAAAATATATTTCGATATTTTAGATATCCTTCTCAACTCTTGAGGTGTAGTGCTATATATATTTGTATATACTAGGTATACTTAAACAAAACATTTACAAAACATAGATAATCCAGCAAATAATTCCTGACTGTTCAAAATTTTACGAAGTTTGATATATCAGAAAAAAAAGAATAAACTAAAAAATATTAAAATGCTGTGTATTTATAAACGTTAGGGTTAAAAGCGAGTTTTTGTTTGTTTTTAGCAGTCCCCAAACTTTCATCTTAAACCCTGAAGTGATTCAAAGATTGAAAGCTCTCACGCAAAACATTAATAAATCAATTATTTGTTAGCGCTTATAAAAGTGGGTTTCAGCTATTTACATGTCTATGGCTGCAGTGTGACTGTGTGAATAAGTTAATGAGAGTAATATTATATTACCACCCATAGGCTTCATCATTAGTAAGGAATCTAATATATCAATAAAAATTCAAGCTCAATATTAGAGATATGTGAGTTACAGGGTTACCCAGAAAGGATGAGATTTTAATGACGACCAGAAACTCTTTGAATAGAGCTATTCGAAGGCTTAATCCTGTGTTGTGCCTTTTAATGGATAAAACTGAGGCCAAAGCTGAGAGCTGCAACCGTAAATGTAAGAAAAAAAATGAATACATATTTTACAGCCGTCTCTGAAGTTAAGGTCTCATTCTTTCCCGGTAACCCTTCATGGTTTATTATTTTTGACCCAAATTAGATATAACATGGTTCAATATGCGGTTGTTGTTAAAATTTTACAACTTCCTTTAAATAGAGTTGAAGTAGAGACTCACTTCCCCCAATTCTACACTGGTCCTTCTATTAAAGAGACGGTTAAGGAAAAATGATCCAGCTCTTGCAGGGGGAATATTTAATTAGGTGGAGGTTAAAATGTCTAAAACAAATAGTTTCAAGGAACGTACTTTGTACTTTAGAGCGACTCTTTAAACATGACATGACGAGACTTAGGATGTTTATGTCCAGTATACATTGTTAATTCACAAAAAGTGTCTTTTGCTAAGTTTTAATGGAAAAAAAGATTTGGAAATTTAAAAAGAATAAGACCAACGAAAATTGAGAGGGGGGGGGCGGTCCAGAAAATTAAATTTTTTTCATTCATCTTGAAAAAGACAGTTCCAAAAATAGGGACTAATCAAAATCAAAAATGAATTTTCGAAATAAAATAAAATATATCAAATTTAAAGAAATATGTATGGAATTTGGTTGTTGGTAACGCGAAAATACGTGTTATTATAAGACAGAACACTTTTAGTTGTGTGCAATGAATATTATTTTACCCCAATATATCGAGTTTTTACACAACTATCATATGTTGACAAAATTCCAAAGATGTGATATTTTTAAATTTTTTTTCTTATTTTATATTATCTATATGGGTTATAAAAAAGCTCTTTTAAATAACAGTTTAGTAGCATCCCACTGAGACATGAATGAGTGATTTAAAACCTAAATAAAAACATGACTTTGATTCTTTTTAAATTGACAGTGTCTCTTTGAATAATATTGTGCAAAAAAGAAAGTGTTGATAAGAAATTTAAAGAAAATGATTAAAATTGATGCATGAAAGCTCTGTCTAAAATTCACTCAACTGGTTGAAGAAAGAAGTGATTAAACAAATGAAAAATTTTCATTTAAAAAAGTTCATCATGTTAATTATGCATTTGAATGGAAATCCCAAATCATGAAATACAAAATCATGAGGGGGTGTCCAAAATCATAAGGGGGTGTCCAAAATCATAAGAGGGTGTTCCAAATCACAAGGGGGTGTCCAAAAATGATCCGACAGTTTTCGATAATAGTAGGAATGTTCATTAGCGCTTCCATTTTTTTTATTTCGATCTAAGATTTTATCAAAAAACGTAATCGCAAGTGACCCTACGTCGAAAGAGTGCGGTACGGTCACATTGTCTAAACAAGTATGCATTAGATAGCCAATTATTTTTTTCTGAAAACGGATTTTTTCAATTTGGGTTTTTTTCCAAAAGTGACTGGCGCATTGTAACATTTTTCAAGGTGGAAAAACGATGTTATCTTCAACATTCTTGATCAGATTGATCTCAATAATGTGATTTTGAAATGTAGGGTCAATTGAAATTCCAGCAACAGTCCCTTTAAGGCTAAATTCCGCATAGACCTGTGACAGTGTAGGCGTGATCGTTGTATAATTAATGATGTTTTTAAAGAACCTCTGTACAAGGAAGTATCGTGGATTCATGCAGTGTTTGATATGCAATATAATCATCAACATTCACACACACAACACATTTTTCATATTTTTCATTGGAGAATAAAAACTGTAAAATGGTGGGATCCTGGGAGCAGACACTTGCAGACAATTAAATTATATAAATATCATCTTTAGATATATAATATCATGCGATTAATTATAAATCATTGGTTGGCAATAAATAATGGCTAATTATTTCATTTTGCACAATACGTCCACATGAAACATGATACATGTATTAAATTAATCTTTAAATGTGTTATAACTCCCCCCCCCCCTATACCTCCTGCACTGCCTTCCATGAAATTTATGAATTATTGAAAAAAGTGGTTTAATAAAAAAGATAAGAGGACTACTCCAAGAGCACTGAAGTTAATATTATTAAACATGGAAATATGTTCTGTGCTGTAAAAATGTAATATTCAGTTTTTAACTTTCATAACAGAGAAGCGCAATTATTTTTACTTTTCGAGTTGTATTGTGCTCTTTCTCAGGTCAAACATTGGGGGCGACATATGGACAGTTATATATATTTTTATCATGTGGTCACAAAAATATCAGAAACGTAACAAAATCCAACTTTAGAATCTCTTAAACCAAAAAGACTTCAGAATGTTAAGAAACTATATAACCAGACCAGGGTTACCAAGGTGGACCACATTATCAGAAAGATTAAGATTATTTTAAATAATTACCGTGGGTCTGGCAGTTGCTAGGTTGGGTGCAGGTAGCATCTTGATTGCATTGGAGGGTCCAAAATCCGTAGAACCACTGGAGTAGTTTGGTCGTGGAGGCCCTTGAGGAGCCCTTGGAGCTTGGGGAGCCTGAGGCGCTCCATAGGAGGGACGAGGAGCTCCATAGCTTGGTCTGGGTGCTCCGTTGCCTTTGTTTTTTGGTCCCTTGTTGAAGAGTCCATCCAATGATAAGCTTGGGAGTTGGAATCCCTTGTTTTGCCCCTTACCCCTAGATACTCCATTTTTAAACAAGAAAATAAAAAATATCAAGAGAAAGAAAACAGTTGGAAAACTTTTTTTTGTAAATCTTGGTAAAATATAAAAAATGTGGAAGGTTAAGGGTAAAAGCCTAGATTAAGAATTGCTAAAAAATTATATATGTTTAATTTAGGCGTCACATGTCTATGAATATGTTTATTTCCGTAAAATTCTGTGGAATTTTGAATTGTTTAGATATCAAAAATTTATTTGTATTTGTGTTTAAACGCTTTTGAACACATTTCATTCTCTACTGCACCATTAAAATACTATGTATACTTTACGTTGCGCGGTAAATTTGTACATGTTCAATGATTCTGTACATGTTTAATGTGAAGTGAGTCCTATAATAGTGGCTATGTACATATGGACCATATAGGTGAACATTTACAAAAGATTCTGCCAATTTGAACAGATTCATGATAGCTGCAGTACACAAATCCGAACAGATCAATTATAATAATCTGTACATATACATTATACACATAATGAATATATGTACATGCACAAACAAATTTAATTTGTACGTATATGTACGTACTAATTACAATACAGTTAATCTATGCATGTCAATATGGTTGGTGTAAATAGTCTGTATAATGTAGTGTGTACACGTGTACAAAAATGTATGTATGTAAAAATGTGTGTATATATATATGAGTATATGTATGAAGTATAGAAAAATCATTAAAGACTTCCCGGCCCTTCGTGTGCGGTAGTTTGAGTAGGTCTTGTCTAAACTCTAAAGCAGCAATACAGTCTTTAATATGAGCAGCACGCTACACCGATATATAATGTTTATATTACTACCGGTATTCGCTCTAAGCCATCAAAAGAAACCCTAACATTTTATTGTTTATTAGCGGAAGTGCCCGGCATTGCCCGTGGTATAGGTTAAAAAACTATTTTTGAAGAAAACATTTAGATTTTTTAGCCTATGTTACCTCCAGGGTACCCAAAAACATGTTCGCCAATTCGTTTAGCCGTTTGGCCAGCTATAGCTAACATAAATATTTATATATATATATGAAAAAAGAGCTTTGTTGTATACAGATTATGAACACAATGCTAGATACAGATATTTGTACAATATTCCTGACATTCTGTTAACTATTTACAACAAAATCTTCATAATATTCGATATTATGATACAATTTTAGGAGTTTCTATCATAGGCTTATTAAAGTGAAGATTTGATAATTACAATAGTTTCGAAGTATCTGTTTGAACCTATTTTTACAGCCGCGGGCAGCTATAATTTAGACAAATCTATATCATATTTCTAGGTTTTCGCTGGCCAATGTATCATCAATTGAGGGTTTTACAGAAATATAAATTATCTGTAATAACAGAGATGACCCCATAACAGATAAAATTAAATATCAATTCTTTTAATGGATTTGAGTAAGAAATAATAACATTTAAATTAGACAAAAAATATGTTTCCAAATCGGAATTAAAAATCAAATATGTATATATGTAATCCGATGTTGAAAATAATTTTTTCTAAGAACTGCAAATTATTAATTTAGTTGACGATGATAGATTGATAATATAAATGTACAGTTTTATGGTGGATGGCCAAACTAACACTTTATGCAATTTACAACCTACTCTGATATATAATTACCCGTGGGCCGTGGGTATATAATTAGAATGATAACACAACTGTACATTTTTAATTCAGGGCCGGGAAATTAAGAGAGCTTACGACAAACAAAATCAAGTTTGATTTTTGTTATTTAAAAAGTTTTGAAAACATTGAGCTTAATCTAGAAAAAACATTCATCACGAAATAGAATGTGTTTAATTATAATTTAAAACCGTGGAGTAAGAAGAACCAAATTGAAATTTGTGCAAAAAAAAGGCGAAAATAGCTAAAACGCTTGAACGAAAATTTGGTGTTGCAGATTACGTCTGAGCCTTATATATGTAAGTTTTATGAAAAATTTAGCTAAGAAAAAATGTCAACATTAATCATTTTCACTTTAAACAGAGAAATCCGCAAAACTATTAGTTACTTTGATTTGGTGAAATTGTTACCAGCAACGGGTTGTAGAGTACTCTAGTTATCCTACTTATCAAACCCTAATCTGATATTTTAAACTTAATACCACGTAATTGAAAATGCAATTTAATTTAAAGTTAGAAAAAATCTATTAAAAACAATCCTAATAAAAGACAACTGGTCACCTTCTCAAATCTTCATAGAGTTTCTTTAATGAACCATTTGTTTAATCTCAATTATTAGAGCATCAAATAAATAGATAAGGGGGCTAACGTATATTAATAATGCAATGATTTTTGGTTGTGTTATGTTGTTAATTGTTATATATGTTAATTCAGTTTGAGGTTTAAAATACTAAAATGAGTTTAAAATGAAGAAGAAAGAATGAAACACAAGAAATATAGAAGTCTCAAAAAGTGTACACTGATATTATATAGAAATTTAAAAATACTGTAAAATTTAATTAAAATAAATTATTAAAGTTAAAAGTTTAAAATGAGATCTTTAATGTATCGCAAGTAATTACAATCGATCATGACTTATAGATCCATATCTTGTATTCTTTAAACTGTTTATTTTCATGTGCGGTTTATCTGCACGAGAGTGATTTGCGGATTTCTTGCATATCAGAATAAATGGATAAATTAATAGAATTAAACGCTTTTCGAGACAGAAAAACAAAAGTTAATCTAACATTTTTGATCAGATTAAGGTATAAGCTGTACGTTTCTTAATCAGGGAAGTTCCTCTATAATGAATTTAAATGAATTTTGTCGTCTGCTAAAATGTAGTCTTTTACAGGAACATTTAAAGGTTTTGCACTGAAAAGACAAAAGAATTGAATCTGTGCAATGAACTCAGATTTTCATGTCCTTATGTTTTTGCAACCGAATTTCTTAGACAATTTTTTATTTCAAACTTTAAAGTCTGTTTTGAAATATCAAAGATTTACACCATAAAGTAAAGATATAGAGATTAGCAATTTTTAGCTTGTGGCAATCTTTATGTTTAAAAACAAAAATGATAAATAAATATCATAGAAAGGAGGTAATTCCCAACATTCGTCTCATAAATTGTAGAACGCAGGTAAAACTGTACTTCAGATAGGCTTGGTCATATTTTTCTCAAGAAATTTGAAAATTATAAATTTTATTTTAATGAAGTTCAACCTAGAATCATTCGGAGGCCCATAGCTGTTGCTAGGAGGTCCATAGCTGTTACTCGGAGGCCCATAACTGTTGCTCGGAGCTCCATAACTACTGCTCTGAGAATTTCCCTTGCCTCCGCCAAAAATCCCTCCGAAAATGCTTTGGATGAGCCCCAGTTTCCAGTTTATTATCTCCCCAATGGTTCGTTTGCTCCTCCGATGCTCCTTACCTCCTCTCATCCTAGAACTTGATTCAGCATATCCTAGAACTAGGACTAGGAGAACAACGTGGCGAACTTGAATCTTCATGGTTCTAGGAAGCTATGTACTAACTTTGACTACTAGCTAACTAAATATAAAAAACTTAAGTTCAGTTCAAGTTCATACCGGGGGGGTATATCACTACACGCTAAGCGGATTAACAGGTATATGTGTGTACACGCTGTGATGTATTGAACTTGACTGTCATAGGCTAAGGATGCGCTCAAACTTGGGGGTGCACGCGCGAAGATGTTCTTGTGTTGCTCATCAAACACACACATGCATGAACGGACAAACATGCACACAGGTGTTCGGGGTTTGACCTTACACGGACGGTTTGAGATTCTCCAGGGGGGGAATCTTCGTCAACAATAGAAATATTTAACCCCGGGGCGGGGAGGAGACACATTTTGTTGTCCTATCAATGGGAATATTAAATGCAAATTTAACGGATAAATCATAGCTTTCAACTTATTATTCAACATTGCTTTAAGTGAAATATAATATTCAGAGTTTAGACTTCAGTAGATATTAAAAGAAACAGCTTATACCATATTTTCCAGGATCTATTAGAAAAAAAATTGCAAGAGAGTAATTTAAAAATTAAATTAAATACTTTTTTTAGTGTTCATTGTTAATACATTTTCGTTCTTCGCAACTTGAATAAAAAATTACAAAAATCTTAAATTATGATGATGTTTTGAATGAAATCATTAAAATTGTGAGTGTCATGACCGAATATTAATGACGACGGACACGACCACTTTATTAATGATCTCGAGTTTATTTGAACCCTCTGTATGTGATTAATGTGAGGAACTAAGGAGTGGTGTATATTTATAAATACCTCGGTGTGGGATGGGAAGGAAGAGATAAAAGGGGAAAACTTGGAGACGTCAAGGTCACTTTTTTCTGGAGGTCAAATTCATGTTTGCGGAGCCAAACTTTGAAACAGGAAAGAAAGAAATCAAAGCTGTGCGAGAGCGACCAGTTCAAATTTAATGTTGGAACAGAAAACTATTTCATTTCTTCGGAAGACATCTTGAAAATTCCCCAAAAATATGTTCCGCACTTTGTATACTTATAAGCATACTTTCAACCATTTTCATCAATGCTACCTCTGGGTCTTTTAAATTTGAATCATTGAAATCTTTTTTTGTTTGTTTATTCTACATGCGATCACGGTTACAAATGGTTAAAATAGTAATAATATTTGAGTTTTAACGATATTTCCAATTCATTAATGTTTTATAAAATCGAATAAAAATATTTTGTCATTTGAATATTTTTCATTTCGTCAATCTTTTTATAATTTGTTCAGAATTAAGAAATGATATGATTAAACAGTCCAAAACTTTTTTCAGTGAAATTTATGAAAGTTCAATGTCGAAACCTTTTTTTAAAAATGAAAATGTTTCTTTGTCAAATTTTTAGAATGAAAAGGTGGGGATGACAGGTCTTTAGAAAAGGTTGATTGTGATATTTTAAACCAATCAGGGGAACTCAATCCTATCAAAATTTCCCAACAAAGATATTCTATATCTGGTTTGATATCTTGAGGCGATAAGACCTGAGAATTGGTAGAATTAGGAAAATCCTAATTGCTTCACAGGTTTTACACTCCACAAATTCTAATTTTAGAACTCTCATATCTTTGCAAGCTGATTTTGATGGAGCGCTTGAGCCAAATTAAACATATTCTTCAAATGTTTATTAAAATTTGAAGACTTGTGCTACCAAGTTGAATTTGGCTGAACGGTGCGCTACAAAAAATTTGCCATTTCAAATTATGAATAAAGTAAGACAAAATTTAAAATATCTATGATTTAAACTACACCATTATGATAAGGGATATACATTCAGAGTTTAAAGTAAGAATTTAAATATCTATGGTTTAAACTACACCATCATGATAAGGGATATACATTCAGAGTTTAAAATAAGAATTTAAATTATTAGATTTAAATCTTTTAAGTTTACAGTAATAACTGCTCTGTTTAAACTACACCATCATGTTAGGGAGTATACATTCAGAGTTTAAAATAAGAATTTAAATTATTAGATTTAAATCAAGTTTACAGTAATAACTGCTCTGTTTAAACTACACCATCATGTTAGGGAATATACATTCAGAGTTTAAAGTAAGAATTTAAATATCTATGGTTTAAACTACACCATTATGTTAGGGAATATACATTCAGAGTTTAAAATAAGAATTTAAATTATTAGATTTAAATCAAGTTTACAGTAATAACTGCTCTTTTTAAACAGCCATTGAAAATAATTTTTTTTCAATTTCTAATATGTACTAATCAAATTTGTTTTCTCATACTAGAGGAGCTACAAGGTCACAAAGTCTGACCAATGATGTCGCATAAATTTTACCTTTTCTCTGTGTGTAGTTTTTAATGCAAATTGTGTCTAAAATTACCTGAAATAAACACTATTAAAGGTAGAACACCGGCGTTAGCTTCCACAATATTGATAAGATTAAGGTTTTAATTAAGGGCACTCTAGTGAATTTTGAATCCCCCGTTTTTACTTGAACTTTCATGGACAGTCTCTTTAAAACATTTTTGAATGCCGCTGAGAAATTTATAACTGCAAATCTTAGAGTCTTTGTCACAAACTCTGATTTTATAATTCCTATATCTTTGCAGTCCAATCTTGTAGACATTTGACATTTCAAACTTTGACTTCTGTTAGATCAAATAATAATATAAGTTTGAAATATTAAAGGTTTACGACATAGGGTTCAAAAGATTAAGGATTATAAAATCAGAATTTGTGGCAAGGACTCAATTCCTTTGAAAAATATGAAAGTATCTAAAGTTTCTTACGGATGAAGAATACGAAAATTTATAAATCGAGATTAAAAAGAAATATTCAAAATCATATATTCAAAATATTTTATAATAATGTTATTAGGAAAATACAAAATTAAACTTATTACGATTAAATGTCTAAATTTTTTCTTTGAAAATTTTATGAATTTGAAATAGCCTGTACAAAAAACTAAAATTGTCAACATTTTAGAATCCCAATTTAAATAAAATAAAGTGATACAATATATATTTATTGCCGATAACTGTTAATAATATTATTTAGGTTCCCACGCTTCTTCATGACGTATACTAAACTGTCTTTGTCAAAGGACACCGTAACTTTACAAGACTAGGTTACATTAATATATTAAATTAACTCACTCACTATGCAGTGTCGAGATCATTACATTAACTCACTCACAATGTAGTGTCAAGATCATTACATTAACTCACTCACAATGTAGTGTCAAGATCATTACATTAACTCACTCACTATGTATACGTCAAGATCATTACATTAACTCACTCACAATGTAGTGTCAAGATCATTACATGAACTCACTCACTTAGTAGTGTCAAAATCATAACATAAGCTCACTCACTATGTAGTGTCAAGATCATTACATGAACTCACTCACTATGTAGTGTCAAGATCATTACATGAACTTACTCACTAAATGTAGTGTTCAAAAATACGGATAAAAAACGTAAGTCCTACAGACTTTACGGAAAACCAGTCTATAAGGAACATTTCTGAAAACTTTCTAGACAAAAATTGAAATGTCGTGTAATAATTTTTTATTTTGCGACAAAAACTTTTATTTTTATATAGATTGTGTAAATCTATTTTTTTGGCTTTACTTATTTAGATAAAATTATTTTTTTATTTTTGGTTTCTCCAAACATTGCGCATTTGCTGCTCTAGAAACGATGGTAAAATTAACAGAATCTAACACTTTATAAGCTCGATAAAAGACGTTATCTTCGCATTATTTATTAGATCAAGATTTCAAGGGTATCGTTGTTAATCTGACATGCATGCCCTACTTAATGCTTATTGGCCACTTGTTTTACTCATTGATCCTGGGCCCAGACTACAACATCTCTCTTTGTACTTCCCCTGGGTGAATCCTGGCTACGGGCCTTGGTGCAATTATCATATTTACTTATAGTAAACAATAATCTAGCACTTTTGCATTGTGTATGGGGTAGAGAGGGTGCAATTATCATATTTACTTATAGTAAACAATAATCTAGCACTTTTGCATTGTGTATGGGGGTAGAGAGGGTGCAATTATCATATTAACTTATAGAAAACAATAATCTAGCACTTTCGCATTGTGTATGGGGTATAGAGAGGGTGCAATTATCATATTTACTAATAGAATACTAATATAGCACTTTTGCATTGTGTATGGAGTAGAGAGGGTGCAATTATCATATTTACTTATAGTAAACAATAATCTAGCACTTTCGCATTGTGTATGGGGGTAGAGAGGGTGCAATTATCATATTTACTTATAGAAAACAATAATCTAGCACTTTTGCATTGTGTATGGGGGTAGAGAGGGTGCAATTATCATATTAAATTAATACCCCGTGTAAGTTTTCGTCTTATTTGGTCAATTTGCATAAAATTATACACCAATGGTTCATCCCAGGGTTCAAGGCGAGTACATGTGGGGTCACACCCTTCTAAACTTAAAGCCACGCCTTTATATAGCATACATACATAATTATATATCTATTCTTATATATAGTATGAACCGGTAAAAACAGAAAGCTGTGGAATAGGATGACGACATTAAGGCAATCATTAAGTGTTTTTGATGTTGTTAAAAAGAAAATAGTTTTACTAGTAACTTATTACTTAACTTTTTAAGTGAAATGGGTCTGTTTACACTTCTCAATTGCTTTGTTAATGTTTAAAGTCATAACTTGTCTCTAAAAGTCGTCTTTCTATTCCAGAGTTTTATGGTTATCGCCGTGTATAGTGTATAAATAATACCGTTGTTTGTTTTTTGTTTAATATATTATATTTCTTACAAGATGTCAGTTAAGCATTTTAGCGGTTTATTAAAATTATTTGATTAATAAACTTATGATAATGATAATAATAGTCCTAATAGTATTAATATATAATAATAAAATATATTTAGACCAAAGTAGATGAAGTATTACAGATAAATATAATGCTTAATTTGAATAAAAATGTTGACACATAATTGATGTTTGTCATTTAATTAGTTTTTTTATTTTCAATATTTCCTTATATTTATAAATTTTTTATTATATATTTATAAAAATAAATTTAATAATAAATAAGATTTAATTCATTACTTTCCTTAATGTGATCAATATGTTTGAGCTAGAAATTGGGTTCAGGATTAAGGTTAAGGATGCCCTCTCCGAGCTACGACCAGAGTTGGAAACTTTTGAATAGTTTTTATAAGCTCATTGATCAATAGCGATCATTAATCTCAAGTAAGATATCAGTAGACAAGCTGATTAATTTTAGAATTAATAATTTATAGTTTAGATCAAAATGTCATTTATTTTAAAATACGAGTTAAGCAGTGAATCTCTAAACTCAACGGTAAAATTAGGGGGGGGGGTTTCCCCCACTCTTTTCTACTCATT